AATCAATATAAATGTTAATTTTCTTTAATAGAATAAAGAATGGTTTTTATTAATAAAATAAAAACATTAACGGATCAGTCAAACCCTTAATTGAATAAGGCAGAGAATGACAATTTATAAATGATGAGGAGGATTTATTCTAAAATCTAATAAGTGATAAATAAATTTATTTATTATGATATTACATTTATCAAACATATTCCATGAAATATTCCTAACATGCTGAAACACATAAAAAATATAAAAATTCAAATAAAGTAAAAATAAAAATAAAATACACAAATAAATATATATAAATATTTAATATATGAATGTACCTAATAACATTCTCTTTAGAATGGATATGAATTCCGAACAAGAGTTGGTTGAACATGTGACGGTGGATAATGACGATGAGGCAGACAGCCTATGTGAGATGGAAGAGTCTCTAGAGTTGACCGGAATGTGTCCAACTGAAAACGTGACCGTCACAGCTACAACCTACTACGAAAGGGATGTAGATATAGAGGAACTTTTGCGTGATACTCCGGAACCAACAAACCATGAACTAACGACTCAAGATGCAGTTGCAGATTTAACGAACGGATTGGACACTAAGGAGTTGCAAAACAGTCTATTAATTGAAGAACGACACTTGAGAAAATATCAGAAATGGAAAGAAACAAGGAAATGCTGTCAGTACTAAAAGAGCAGATACGAACCATGCTAGGATCGATTTTGGAAAGGCTGAAAGCTACTAAATACCATTATGATAAGGTAGAAACTTTAACGTGGATACCATCAGACATTACAGTACAAATGGGGGAATGGGAAAAGGAATGGCTAGAACAAGAATACGAGGTATGGAAAGAACTATGCAAAACTTTAAACGATAATTGGAAATGTAATGAATACAAAAAAATACTTGAAGATTGCTCAGAAGATTTTGAAGAGGAAGATTTGGAAATTGTAAAGGAATGTAAACGTCTGGAGACTTATCTGGAAGCCAAGAGAAAGAAAATATTGGAGACTGGAGAAGAAAAATATAGGAAAGCAGGAATAGATATCTAAACCACAGGGACATGATTATATATAAATATAATCATAGGAAAGAAAAATATATTCATATATATTAGTATACATATAGACAAGTATATGAAACTGCTTCTGTACCATAGAAAATTGCTTTTATAATATTAAAAATAAAAAATAAAAATATATAAAATATACTGAGGAAAAAAAAAAAATAAAAATCTTATATTTACGCTATTATACTGTGTTATTACTATGATTATTTTTATCAATTTTTGGAAATAGAAACCCAATATTTTGTTTTACAGAAAATATGTCGGGACAGGAAAAACAAAATATTAATCTGACGGAAACAATTGATTATGCTNTCAATATTGTGAATAATTTAAGAATAACTGAGAAAATAAATTAAAACAATTTTAAGATATAAATGATAATTAAAATGTAAAGAATTTTTGAAAATAATAAAAATATTTTCAGTTATACTACTCAGAAGAGACAAGCTCTGATGATGAAGATAAAGGCCAACCAACAAAAATTCAACGCCCACGCACACCAATGGCAGCGACCCCTTCAACAAGCAACACGAAAATCGAGAACGACATGGAGGCTAAATACTGGATATCAATGGCAGATGATTTGAACACTTACTCAACCATAATAGCAATGATGGATGAGGATAAGGTCAAAAAGGAAAGTTGCCCTTCAGAAGTGGAATTTGGCAGTTTTGAATGGAATGGGAATAGTCTGGTGACCGTCTATGAAGATGCTTTAACGAATTCTATCACTAATCCTATCGCTAAGGAAATACTTTTGGATACATGGCCAGAAGGAATAGAAAGTGAATATATCTCAATGGAAGAACGAGAGAGAATAAAAGCTCGGAATGACATTGATTATATGCTGAGTAAACTGAATATCGCGGAGGACGATATCTACCATCTGAAAAAAAGGATAGCTAGGTTTGAGGGTCGAGAAGGAACAGTGTTTCTCGCCTTAGATTCACTAGCAAGGAGAATGACGAAGTTTACAGGGATGTTAACTCCGGACAACCTGACGAAACGTGATCAGGTCAAGGAAGATGAAATTATGCAAACTAAAATCAAAGTAATTGCTCACGAGATAGAGATAAAAACACTTAAGACTTTGGTTAAAAGGCAATCAGTTCGAATAAAAGAATTGGAAAAACAACTGGAAACTGTTCAAGAAGCAAATTGGAAAAACGGGAATATTTGGAGAGAAAATTATAATCGCTTGGAGGACGAACTGGAATCTACTCGAACGGAACTTCACCATTTAATGTTCTCACGCAGAAGGGGTGAACATGCCAAGGAAAATCCCCTCCTGGAGGATTAATATTCGTAATAAGGATATCTGTATATATCTATGCGGGAAAATTAATTTTAAAACTTTAAAAAATTCGTTTCAAGCAAAATTTCAATAAACAAACTAAAAAATAATCGAAAAATTGCATATAATGCCTACTCAGCTAAAAATACATAAAATAATTGATTAATGAATTGGTAAGTGATTGATTGATTAATAACCGCAAATATATATATATATATTACAGAAACCAATGCATTACCTGGATTACAACGTAGACCAGAGCATTTAACCAAGAGAAACAAAGTAAGAATCCTTAAAATATAAATTTATAATATCACATAAAAATGTATATACTATTTTAGTTATGAAAAAAGATGACAGAAGTAAAAACAACTCTGGAGGAATACTGTAAAGACAACGCGGAAGAAGTAAAACCAACATTAAAAGAGCTGGAATGTCTGAGACTATTTAGGGACGGTCATGAATCTGATTTTATGATAAATAATGAACGGTTTAACAACCGGTCAGACCAAATCCGACGAGAAATCGAAAGATTAAACGAAAAAATAGCAGAAGAAATCTCAAATCATCAAGATCTTCAACAAAGCGAGTTCATTGATCATGAAAATGACGAATTTATGATCGGACATGAGGACTCAGTAGGCCTGTATAGCTGGATGAAGGAAAAATTACTGGAAAAATGGAAAGCAAATTTAGAACTACAAGAGAGAAAGTTTAAACAATACCTAACTAAAGGGCAGGCATACTACTTCATGCACTTGTGTGGTACAAGACAGTTGAACATAGAAGAACCAGAGTAGTGTTTGACCTGGAGCATAGTAGGATATCAGAAGAAAATAGAAACCTTAAAGATAAGACTTTTGAGATAGAAAGAAGATTAACAAGAATGATGAACTTAAATAACAGATACGAGGATTTATTAATGCGGATTAACATAGAAATGAATGGATTAAAGAGGGATAATTATATTTTGAAATTAAAATTAGAAGAATTAGCAAATATCCATAAAGCACAAATGACATATTTAAAAATAGATAATGACGAATTAAATTTGAAATTAAAAAATATTCATAATTTTTATCAAACAATTCTGAATGGTTTTAAATTTGTGAAAAAAAAAATAGACATAATGCAAAGAATCAATGATATCTACGAACACAGATTGAAAATGTTTGACATATTGAACACATATATATATTAAAATTTGCTTATACTTTAAAGTTTTATCTCAATTAAATCACTGCAAAAATGTAAAATTATACACTCTGTACATAACATTGATAATTTCAAATCTCTGCTAAATAACAAAATTTTCAGAGAATATGGCAGAATCCGTGGAAAATCAGGATGAAATTTTGATGACCATTACCTGGAGACAAGAGGAAATACTCAAAGAACTGATGGCTATTGAATTGGAAGACCAGGTAGCCTAAGATGAAATTGAAAATATCAGATTAAATATAATAATAATATTTCCATATTGGGGAAATTAAATGAATATTCCAAATAGGGATTTATTTAAGAGTAACTGAAAAATAAATTAAAACAAATTTCCAATTTCAAGATATAAATAATAATAATATTAAAAAATTTTGGAAAAAGAATAATAAAATATACATTTTCAGTTATACTACTCAGACAACACAAGCCCTAATGATGAAGATAAAGATAAAGGCGAGGACCAGGTAGCCTAAGATGACATTAAAAATATCAAATTAAATACATTAATATTAATTCAATATTGTGAATAATTTAAGAATAACTGAGAAAATAAATTAAAACAAATTTCCAAATTTTAATATATAAATGATAATTAAAATTTAAAGAATTTTTGAAAATAATAAAATATAAATTTTCAGTTATACTACTCAGAAGAGACAAGCTCTGATGATGAAGATAAAGGCGAACCAACAAAAATTCAACGCCCACGCACACCAATGGCAGCGACCCCTTCAACAAGCAACACGAAGATCGAGGATGACATGGAGGCTAAATACTGGATCAATAAGGCGGACGACTTGAACACTTACTCAACCATAATAGCAATGATGGATGAGGATAAGAACAAAAAGGAAAGTTCCGAAGTGGAATTTGTGGGTTTTGAATGGAATGGGAATAGTTTGGTGACAGTCTATGAAGAAGCTTTATCGGATTCTATCACCGGTCCTATCGCTAAGGAAATACTTTTGGATACATGGCCAGAAGGAATAGAAGATGAATATATCTCGATGGAAGAACGAGAGAGAATAAAAGCTCGGAAAGACATTGATTATATGCTGAGTAAACTGAATATTGCGGAGGACGATATCTACCATCTGAAAAAAAGGATAGCTAGGTTTGAGGGTCAAGAAGGAACAGTGTTTCTCGCCTTAGATTCACTAGCAAGGAGAATGACAAAGTTAACAGGGATGTTAACTCCGGACAACCTAACGAAACGTGATCAGGTCAAGGAAGATGAAATTATGCAAACTAAAATCAAGGACATTGCTCACGAGATAAAAATAAAAACACTAAAGACTTTGGTTAAAAAGCAATCAGTTCGAATAAAAGAATTGGAAAAACAACTGGAAACTGTTCAAGAAGCAAATTGGAAAAACGGGAATATTTGGAGAGAAAATTATAGTCGCCTGGAGGACGAACTGGAATCTACTCGAACTGAACTTCACCATCTAATGTTCTCACGCAGAAGGGGTGAACATGCCAAGAAAAACCCTCTCCTGGAGGATTAATATTCGTAATAAGGATATCGGTATATATTTATGCGGGAAAATTAATTTTAAAATTTTAAAAATTCGTTTCAAGCAAAATTTCAATATAAACAAACTAAAAAATAATCGAAAAATGCATATAATGCCTACTCAGCTAAAAATACATAAAATAATTGATTAATGGATTGTCAATTGATTGATTGATTAATAACGGCAAATATATATATATATATATATTACAGAAACCAATGCATTACCTGGATTACGACGTAGAACACAGCATTTAACCAGGAGAAACAAAGTAAGAATCCTTAAAATATAAATTTATAATATCACATAAAAATGTATATACTATTTTAGTTATGAAGGATGACAAAGGTAAAAACAACTCTGGAAGAATACTATAATTACAACACGCAGGAAGTAAAACCAACATTAAAAGAGCTGGAACATCTGAAACAATTTAGGGACGATCTTGAATCTGATTTTTTAGAAAATAACGTTCGGTTTAATAACCCTTCAGACCAAATCCGACGAGAAATCGAAAGATTAAACGAAAAAATAGCAGAAGAAATCTCAAATCATCAAGATCTGCAAATTGTAATTATCAAATACAAATGAAAGTTAATTCTCCACCTTCATCACGAGAAGACAGCTCCGAAGAGGAGAGCACAGATGAGAGTGATGAAGCAAACGAAGATTAGAATTAATTTAAAAGTGGTTTTTCAAGATTTTTTGGCTAAATAATACTTATAAAATAATGAAATTGATTATCTAATCCATTTCAGAAAGAATGGTGTTACAAACCAATTGAAAACCAAATTTGAGAAACAATATAAACTTAACAGGTACGACACATATCAATAACGAAAATATTTCCCTAAAAACAAACCAAAATTGCAAAATAATATTAAATATTTAGTCAACCCATATAAGGGACATTGATTTAACAAGGAAAACAAGACAAAAATTAACATTTATAGTATTGATTGATTGATTAATATTCGAATATTTATAGATCGAAATTCTGAATATTCGGAAACGGAATCGAATCGTGTAGGAACGGAAACATTAGAGGAAAAGACAGGTACACAATGAAAACGTCAAAATGAAGTTTTTTTTAAAATAATTCAGATGGCAAAATAGAAAAATATAATAAAATTATTTTCTGAAATACTTAAAACAAAAATGAAATATATTCACAATTTTGGAAATATCAAAAATTTAACAATTATAGATTGGATACTTACCAGCAGGAGTTAATCTTGCAAGTACTGAAACAACGGAAGAAAGAATAATTACGGAAAATTCGTCAGGTAGAATGAAACTGAATTCTTATCCTGTTTCATATACAGAAACTATTATTATAATTATGACTTAATAATAAAATAATTTTAATTTAGACATCGAGGACGAAGTACTCTACGAAACGTGGAACTCAGACCTAGAAACAGTTCTAAGATGAGGATTTAAGACCTAAATCTGACCATCGAAATATAAGGTAATAAGCGAGGAAGGTTATGTGATACTCAATAAACATGAGTAACTTTCAATGGAGATACCGGAACCCATTTCATATTGAATTTTCCGATGACTTGGGAGGAGGAATCGATTCCAGACCAAGATTCAACCCTAGAAGATAATATTAGACACGAGAAAAACAAGAGCGAAATTACTTCTGATGAACCTGTTGCAAATTATAATACACCGGAATATAATGTTTTTAAAATCCCGAGAAAGATAGAAGCAGAAAGAAAGAGTCGAGACCCTAAGAGGATAAAAGCAGAAATATTAAATCAAGATGAAGATCGCGGATTTGACTACAATAGACTGGGTAGAGGGAATCGGATAGGTGGAAGAAGTCAAAAATTAAAACACAGATTAGGTGGAAGAGGTTCAAAGTGGAACACTTATAACAGAAGAAGACCATCATCATCTCCAAGAGGACGTTTTAGAAATAATTATACCTCGAGACCAACCCAGAATACATTTTCAAGCGTCGAAAACTATCACCAGAATCAACCCGGACACAGTTCTAATTATCCAAACTGGAATCAAGGCAAATATAGCTCGAAACAAGACATACTTGCAAGAAACTGGGACGCAATTGGTTATTATTCAGGAGTAGAATATATGGACAATAACAAGAGTCAAAAGGATAATAGCTCTGGACCAGGATACTACACGGAACAAGAAAAACACTTGGAATATAAGAAACCGGATTATACCCGGGAAATAGATAATAATTTGGTGAATTCAAGTACCAGACAAATCATCAAACGAGATTGTGATGAGGAGAGCGTAGGAACACTTATAATCGATGAAGATGATGATAAAGATGAATCAATGATGGGAAATACAAGCATTTTCAATAAAGTGAAGATCTGGAAGGAAAATGCTAACATGAGGATGTCAATGAAAAAAGAAATCAGCCATCTGGAATTAAAACGACATCGAATTGAATTTGAAGATCCAGCTCATGATGTAAACAGGTCCGGACTACAGTTCGAGTTAATGCAGAATTTAAACGGGGAGGATTTTACACAAGGAAAGAGGAATAAATGTCAAAGTTTACTGAAAGAATTAGTAAATATAGAAGATGGCTATTTATACCAAGGCCCGGAAATGAAAAATTTGATGAAGATCATGTCCGTGATTAAGAAAACCAAACTTACTATGGAACCTAAAATGAATTACATAGAAGAGAAAATCATATTAAATGGGAAAAATTATCAATTCAAATGTTTTAACGGATACTTAGGAGACCAATTAAAAAGTGAGGCTATCCATAAGATGGTGGATAAACCAATTATGAATGTGTTGCTGGAAGCTGAAGGTTACGACAGCTCTAAAGAAGATTTAGGAGAAAGATATCGACAATGTGCAACTTTGAAAGTCTGGCGGACAATTCTTCGTGGCAGAGAGGAAAATAAACCTAAGGTCGCTGGAGATCTACTAAACAGTTTTGATGACAGTCAATGGGAAGAGGAAGATCTCAATATTAACAGTACGGAATTGGGATCAGAATCTCAACGCATCGTACAGCAAAGATATTTTCCCCTAGGAATTGACTTGGAACATATGAAGGCCAATTTCCCAAATACCTACGAACTAAATATGATCATGTGTTTACAAAATCTTCTGATTGAATACACAAAAAACCAAGGATCCTGGAGAGAGACACCTTCCAGCGGATTAGTTTCAATATTTCAAGAGGATAAACCTTTTGAGTGCAAGGAATTCAGCATAGATCTGGACTTAGAAAATATAAAACATACGTTCAGAATCCCAAAACAGAACAATGTTTTGATTGATACATTCCCTGATCTAAGAATTCTATTAAGTGCCGGATATCTCAACAACAGAGGCAGACTGAGAAAATATGAAAAAACAGCTAAAAAAATTATCATTGGACAGAGAGTGATAAAAAAGTCTAAAAATATAGCCGTTAGACCAGGATGGAGAAGAAGGAGAACATATGTTGACATAATTAAACACACGGAAAAAGGAACAAAGAGCGAACTGGACTTCACTATAGAAGATATGAAGTCCGAGGAAAGATCGGAGCAGAGCTGTAGATGCCAAGAAACATTGCACGCTCAGATATGCTACACAGAAGAATTCTATGATAGGTCGAGATTAATGCATCGTAGAGAAAACGTGGTGGAAGATCTGAATCCTTGGATTAATAATGAAATTATACTGAAGAACGGAGTTAACCCAGCTATGAACTCCTACTCCATCAACTCCAACAGACCTCTGGTACCGTCAGAACCCGGAGCAATAGTATCCAGCACTCCACACGAAAAAACAGGTTTATTTTGTGGAACTACAAACACACTATTTCGTGACAAAATCATGGAGAAACATGGAGACAGAGACCTGACTAGGATAATTGAAAAAGAAAGAAATCAATTACCGGAGAGACTGTCAAACAAGGCAATGATAGGGGAACAGATAGAGGAAGAAATAAGGAGAGGTTACAACACCATTGCTTGCTACATAGCCGGAAACCCAGTAGTAGCACCGAGCATGTTCACAAGTTTTGAAAAATTCGGAGATGTGAAAGAATCAACAGAGACATGGAAAGTGAAAGACATGGAACAGTTATTATCAGTTATTTACGACGACCTAAAAAGTTGGAAGGAAATATGTTGTCCGTGGTGCTTTGGAGTCATGAAGAAAAAGGAATTTAAAAACCACTACCTGGACCATCACAAGGATAGTATAATACTTGTGAACACATGCGATATGATCAGGTCAAATCACAGATCATACATTAGCTTAATCCTCTTCCTAATCATATGCTTAGAAGACAAAGTTCATTCATATTATTCCGAAGAAATGAACAGGCTGAAACAACGAATTGATAGTCAAAATCGTGAAAAAGAGATTTATAGTCAAGCACCTGGATATGAAGAGCTAAAACGGACTCATGACCTGTTTGTGATGAAGCATTTTGAGAAGGAAAAATCTTGGACCGATGAAGTTGCAAATCTAAAAGAACAACTGAAAACTATGACAACACAAACTAGAAAGACAAAGGACGAGGATATGAAGAATACGAAATTAAAAAACGAAATAAGAGCTAAAGAAAGAGAAATTATGGAAATAAAAGAAAAATTGAAGAATGTAGATGAACAAACCAATGAGAGGATAAAGGTACAAGAACAAACCAATAAGAGGATAGGAGAAGTGAAGAATGATAAATCACAGTACGAAGACAAAATAAAAGAACTGGAAAGAAAATACAGAGAGGAGAAGATAAAAAATGCTGGTTTAACAAGGAAAATTAATGCCATCGAAACGGAAAAGGATGAACTGAAACAGGAGATTGAGAATGTTACAGAATTTTTCAACGTATTAGACGGAATAAATGAAGAATTAAAAAATAGAAATGAATGTTATTCAGCACAAACAAAAAAAGATATGAGATACATAACATACTTGGATAGTGGAATGGCTGAAGGAGAAGAGTTATTCACGGTAATAGACGAAATGAACGACGAACTGATAGCAGAAAATGTAGGTCTTAAGGAAATAAACAGGAACCTGAAGACAGAAAACGAGCGGTTAGAAAGTGATTTAGAGGATAGCGAAAATGCATGGGGAAAATTTGCAAATGCAGAATTAGAGGAAATGGAAGATAATTCAGATGAATTCTTCGTGGTAATAGATGAGATGAATGACGAACTGATAGCAGAAAATGTAGGTCTTAAGGAAACAAACAGGAACCTGAAGACAGACAACGAGCGGTTAAAAAGTGATTTAGAAGATAGCTAAGATTCATGGGGGAAATTTGTAGATGGGAGATTAGAGGACATGGAAGAAAATTCAGGAGAATTCTTCGCGGTAATGGATGAATTGATAGACGAAAAAGATAAAAAATCAAAAGAAGCTGTAATCAAAGAACGAAATTTGAAAAAGAAGTATAAAACACTGAAAAATAAATACAACAATCTGGAGAGAAAAATAAAATTCAAAAAATTTCAGCTAGAAATGAAGAATAAAATGATGGTGAGAAGAATTAAGACGATTATAAATAAAGAGAAAAAAGAGAGAAAAAATTCTACCTATAGCGATGAGGAATCTCAATTGTATGATGAGCTGTATGAAGGACTCTGCACTTATGAAAGCACAATAGCAGTACAGCCAAAGAGCTCCTATACAGAACAGGAAACTATTCCAATATCCAACATTGACAATTCTAAAAAAGAAACAGTTCATCAAAGACAAGATATGCTACTGGATGAATTCTTAAAAAATGAGTTCAAGATACGTCCAGAAAATGAATCAGATTCTGAATAGATTCCTCAAATATTTGATGGGAAATAAAATATAATTAAGTTTTAATTTGTAAATACACAAAAAGAAAAAGATAGAATATAAATGATGATTATTTATAATATAGTTCAAAATATAAACACTTATGTTAATAAAAATTAACTGTTTACCTGTTATTTTAACTTGTTAGTTTGATCGAACAACAATTATTGATTTTTTCGTTGAAACATCATTCTGAAAATATACATGATTTTAATTTATGTGTGAATTAAAGAAGAGATCAAATTAGGTGTTAATAATGAGAGTAGAGAATAAATTAAGAGTGAATTCTGGAAAGAGTAAAAAAAGGTTTTTTAATATACATGATTTAATTTACTTATGAATTAAAGAAGATCTAAAAATGAAGAGTATATGTTCATAATGCAAGCAGAGAATAGATTAAGAGCAGAGATAAAGGGTTGTAATATGAAATTTTGAAGAAAAAAAAATATACACAATATTGAACTATAACAATTTTGTTAAAATGAAAATATTAATATAAGGTTATTCAAAGAAAGGAGAAAAAGCGAAGATAATTTAAGAAAATGTGTAATTAGACTTCAAGACGACATTTTAAAGCATTGATATAAGGTAATTCTTAAATTTAAAGCATTAAGGGAAGTAAAAGATAGAAATGGAGACTTGCTGAAAATCATTAATTACATGTCCATAAATTCGGGAAAATTATTAAAGCAAATACCATCTCTTTAAAAGTAACTTATCGAGTCGGGATATTTATCAGAAAGATTTTATTCATGATCTTCACGAAGGGATATATCTACTTCTTCAACAGGATCTCCTACTTCGTCTCTAGCAAAGAGAGGCTCCTCATCATCACGCTAAAATAATAAAGAATTTTTAAACCTAATAATTACATTGTATAGTTACATTGTATAGTTATTCAAAATGGATTAAAAGGAATAAAATCGAAGTACACCTGATTCAATATTCCTATAATAAAATCTCTCAGCTTCAAACGAATAAAATCAGTAATAGCTCGCATTATTGTTTCAATTGACATGTTTTATCCTTAAATGTAATAAAACAAAATTATTTTTATCGGAAGAAATTTAAAACAATATAATATTACAGATAAGAATGGGAGAAAGAATATTGTTCACTCTAAGTGTGTTACTTCTTTATCGAAGGTAACAAATATACTGAAGATCTAATATGAAATTTGTTTATAAACATGAATCATCTAAATTTGAGATCCTTGGCAAGTCTAATGAATATCGAGTATTTATTTGCAACGAAAAATTTGGATATTATGTCTATAAATAAAATGAAGTAGTAAGCGATAAAAATATTTCAAAATATATACATATATGTATTAAAATATAAAGGTTTAATAAATTTTTTTTACAGGATGGAAGGAATTCCTCCAGAAAGAACAGAACAGATAAACAAAGCAGACAGATTGCCAGATAGAAAACCCTTAATTGCGGACACTTTAACAAAAACAAATTTGTAAGAATCACGATAATTTGTTTTTGAAAATGATCAAGAAAATATATGATATAAAATGGAATCTGAAAACTTGGTCTATTATTTATAAAATAAAATCAAGTCTGAAGAACCTGTAAATAAATTGATTCATTATAAATATTGGATTTAAAGAGTGATCCGTTTAAAATATACAAATAATAAATAAAAGCTGCAGTGGGGTTATTGTTCTTATAAAGCTCCAAATAAAAGATAAAAAGTATATATATATATATATATGCCAAATAAAGATCAAAAGAAAAATAAAAGATCTACTATAGTAATGTTTGGTTACAAAAATAAAATTTAAAAAAAAAACAATGGGGCCAAAATAGGTTAATATAATAAACATAAAGAACCAATATATTCCCTATAAATTGCCAATTAAATAAATTAAGATTTCCTAGAATAGATTCTAAGTTAATTGAAATAGCAGAATATTTTAAAAAAGGTGTTTTAACATATATATTACTTTCTCTAATTCTCTCTTTTTTCTTCTCAATCATATTTTAAAACTCATCCGTGCCTTAGTAACACAACTGCAGGTCTAGACTTAAAACCTACACATTACTCTTGGTTTATAAAACCCACACAGTCATCTTGGTCTAGACAGCATACAGTTAGGAGTGTCCATGCGCTTTAAAAAACTGAGGATGAGAAAATTATTTCAGTTACATAGTATCTAGCATGATGAACACTGAAATTGCAGCTTTCTTTGCGAATAGCATTCCCGTGGGTCGTAATGGATATCGTTTAATCCCTACCATAAATAATATGGTATCAACCATGGAAGATAGTGAAATGATACTATACAAAAATGGAGAGGTGTTGAGAGTGAAAGATGTGAAGAGTCTGGCTCCTAGGAAGTGGATCACTAGCCAAGTCCTGAACATGGCATTGAAGGATATGACAAGGATAAGTGTACCTTATCCAGTCGTACTGAGTCTGGAGGATGGAGAATCTGTACTTAGAAAACAGAAATTTGGAAATGCGGCAATAAACAAACTGCGAGATACGGCTGTCGGCAGGATCATTCTTCTCCCTCTTTGGAAAATGAACCACTATACCCTTGTTTCCATAGATAGGATGGCGGACAAAATTCATTTCTTTGACAGTAATAAATCATGTTCTCCCGAAGATTTTCCAGATGAAGTCTTTCAAAAGGTTCAAAATGCGATGTGGAACTCGAATATGCAAGATGGAAACTACACGTTTGTGAATCACAAGATAAGACAGCAGGGCAACAGCTACGACTGTGCCCTGCATGTCCTTACGCACGGAATGAATATAAACATGACTGTGAGGGAAAGAACAAACGACGTTCGGTTCAGCATGCAAGCAATGTATGACTTGAGAAAATCATTGCTAGCGAGTTTTCTGGAGGATAAAGTATGGGCAGACCAACAAGAGAGACAGATCAGACTACTTAAGTCGGAGTACAGGGCTCTCCATCTGAGATAATCGAATTAGTGATGACGACATTGAAATAATTGAACATGAGAAAGAAAACAACCCTGAAAAAGATCAAGAACCTGAACCTGTCTCGGACGAGAGCTGGAAGTTGGTGAAATCAATCAAGGAGTTAAATAAAAAGTTTGGTTCCCTTCACAAAATGGAAACAATCTTAAGAAGAAACCCAAATGTCATCAAGGAATGGATCCAACGTAGTTATGAACCCGCATCTAATCCAAACAAATTCAAATTTGGACCGTTACGGAAAAAAATAAAATTAATAGGAATGCTGAAACAAGTTGAAGCCAAAAGGAGAAAGAATCAGAATAAGAGGAAAAGGAGGGCACAGAAAATAGTTGATGGAGAACAAAGGTCTCCTATTTATTCTCCTTTTTAAAAAGGTTGCTCTGATTCGAAAGGACCTGTTCTTTTTTCAAAATAATTTTATCTTTTGCAGACGTAGCCACGCAAGTTATACAGAAATACTCATCAATTCTGTAGATGGGAGCTCAAGTCTAAATGATTTCCCATTGCATATTATCTGAAAGTAAAATATAGGTTTAAAATTTAGGTTAGTTATTACTATGCCGGATGGTATGGAAGTGAAGTGAAGAAGGCCTTACAAGGCCTGATGAAAACTTGGTGCCGCGCCCCGCTTGTCTACTGCTCCTACGCGCTCTTTTTGCGCTCACTCGTACCAGCCTCGTGTTCGTACCATTCTAAAAGTTTATAGTTCTAAAGGGACTATTCCTGACAATTTGGATGAATCATCCAAATTGCTGTACTCGAAGGAATTAGGATGGTTTAGCCAGCCTCAGATGGGTTTCTTTTCTTATATTCTTGTGTTTTGATGATTCGTATCTTTGGGATTGTTTTAGATCTGTTCTCTCTTTCTCGCTAAGTTCCTCTTTGTCGTCTTCGATCTGAGTTTCCACCACGTCTTTTTGTTGGTATCTCTATGGTGGAAACTAGTTTTGTTTATATTGACCAATCACCGCGGTGTTTAGTCGGTCTCTGGAATATTTCTAACCAATGAGGAGAGTTTATTCTGAACTGACCAATCCTGACACGAGAAGTTTATTTTCCATCCAATAGCTGGCTTCCATAATGAATTTATTTCATCATTCTCCATATAAACATATGTTCGGTTGTGTGCTTATCCTTCTTTCCCAGGATATCCCTTTATATATCACTTACGAGTCTTACAGGTATTTTATAATGTCCTTACCTTCACTTTTACTATGGTTATTAAATTTTTAAAGTATAAAATATTCCTGAAAAATGAAAAGTATGAAAATTAAACTCGAAATTAAACTTAAAGTTAAACTGAAAAATGTAAAATATGAATTTTTGAATAATCTTGCTTACATACTAAGAATAATTTTATCGTAGATACATTTGGCTTTTTTCTTTTTATATTTTTTTATTGTTTATATTTTATTTTGATATTCACGAAAATATTAAAAAAATAATTCTACTGTTGCGTTAGTTGTAATTATTTTCGGCATGTTAAAATTACATTAGTGTTACAATTTTAATTTATATATTATAATTTACATTACTAGGAAATATTTTAAAATTTACGTTACTAAAGCATCTTACATCACTAGGAAATATTTTAAAATTTACGTTATTAAAGCATCTTACATACTAAAACTTACATCACTAAACCATCTTATATACTAAAACTTACATCATTAATGCATCTTAAATATTGAAACTTACATCATTAAAGCATCTTATATACTAAAATTTACATCATTAAGGCATCTTATATACTAAATTCCGTTGTATGTTTTTGTTATGTTTTAAAAAATATTTTTATGTTTTTTTTTTTCTTCTTTTCTATTTTTCTTACTTTTCCTCATATTCTCCTTTGTAGTTATACTATGTTTGTTTCTGGGATAAGTTTTCTTGATTCGTCGCGTTTTTTCTGTAACGCTTTTTGCATCGCTTTTGATAGTAATGGTATTTCGTCATTTTTCTCTCTTCCCGACCACGCAGAAAATGTGACGGGGTCGAATTTAAACACTTTTTCGTTTTCCGTATAAATTAGGTATGGTTCGTCATCAATAGTTCTGATTGTCCACTTAGATTGAAGTTTCGGAGTGTTATATATTTTTGGTTCTGCAGTGTGAACGTTATCGTTGTTAAGATTTTCAAACTCGTGTATTTCCCCTTGTTCATTGTCCGATTTCAATCTCTTTCCTATAAATAAACAGTATGCATTTGCAGGGTCCACAGCATAATGATGTAGAATTTGAGCAAACGTTGAAACAGCACATGCAGACTAGTAGCATTAGAATGATCACAACTGTGTAGGATAAACCCATTGTAACCAGTTTATGAGTGTCATAGGTTAAAGCGTTTAGAGGATGGAAAGAAAATTTTGGTATTGTTTTCATTTCATTTAAAGAATCCACATTAAGTTGTAGTTCTTGTAGAGACTTATGTTCTAACAGCAATTTATCTTGTGTTGAATTTATGGTGTAAATTAAACCTGTTAAATTGAATGGTTTTCGTAGTTTAGATTCCATGTAACCGTTCAACTCTATTAAAGCTTGATCCATATCCAAATCTTCTTGATTGATACTCATTGTAGTTTTATGTGACACAAATCCTCCAGGTATAGACAGATAACTAGTGTCTAGCCCGCATCCATTTATGTTAACTATTTTTGAAAGCCCTGCTAGAACATTCAACATTTTTGCTGTTTCACGTGAACCTCCTGTACAGCGGTAACGCCCTGTATCTATTGTTTTGCTCATTATGAGTATGGAGTTCTCCTTAATAATAAAATCTTGTTGTTTTGTTGGTCTTACCACTATGTTATTGTAACATGGATAGTACGGTTTTGTATCATTATTTAGCCAGTTGTGGACAAGGACTAATTCACAGATATCGGTTCCGTTTACATGAACTAGGGTATCCTTACTATCGCAGTATATAGAATTCCCTACTGGAGTACATTTTTGTATATATTCCGAACTTAGTACATATTCCCCTATAGAGTTAATTGCAACTCCAGGTTCGATCAGTAATGCATTTCCCATCTCTAGATTAGTTTTATCATAGGACACTACCATAGATTTAAGATTGAAGATCTGAAATGGTTCCGATAATCTCCGTATTGTCACTATAATAGTAAATTCTTCATTTACCCATGTAATTTTGGCTTTTGAGAGTTTTAGCGATTGAATCGCGCTTGAGCCGAAGAGTTGACTTAGATCTCGCATGTTTAAATCAAATATATCTAGTCTGTCCATTAGAACATTAGTTATCCAAAGTTTGTATTTGTCGATGGTTTTCTCTAACAGTAGCAACTCCATTATTACTTGAGTTAATTTATTTGATCTTTTTATATTTTTGTCTAATATACTAAGTATTTTATTTATATTTTCCTCCCCTGATACTTGTGAGGATATGATTCTCGTTATTTGTTCATTAATACTTTGTTCGTCTGTTAGACTTTTTGCAATTTTCTCAGAAATCTCTTGTATCCGTTTCGTAAGTTCTTCATCTTGTAGGGTCAGATTACCAAATGTACTTCCTAATGAATTTTCTCGTTCTAATAATTCATTTTCAAATCGTCTTATATCCTCTAATTCATTTTCTTCCGCTAGACCTGTCATTGAACTAAGCCAATATGATACAAATAATCTTTTAATTCTTCCTTGTACTAATGAATCTACTTCATTTCCTTCATCAATAGTTGGAATATCATAATAGTCCAAGCTTGTATCTATGGTTGTTGTGCTTTGGAATGCTGTTGTTACTGTTGATATTGTTCTTGTACTTTGTGTTGTGCTACGTCTAGTAGTTTTTATTGGTTGCTTGGTTGTTGTCTGTGATCTTGATCTTTCTGTATTACTTGTCAGACTGGTTGTAGCAGTAGTGCTTCTGAAAGCTGTTGTCGTTGTCGTTGGTCTTGAAGTTGTAGCTTTCGATGAATGATTCCTTGTTTTTGTTGTAGTTGTACTTGTTGTAGTAGTTGAAGAAGTTGTTGATGAAACTGTAGCAGTTGTAGTAAATGCAATTTCAGATGATGTTGTTATAGACGTTGTTGTTGTAGTTGTTCTTAAAGTTGTAACCGTTGTTGATATTGATGTCGTAGTGGTTGATGTTGTTGTTGTAATCATAGTTACTGTAGTATATGGTATTTCGGATGTTATTGTTGTTGGTATTGTTGTTGTTTCAGCTGTAGATCGTTGTTCTGTTGTTATATCCGTAGGAGATATTCCTAAAGTTGGCGCAATTGTCATATCATTTGTATACGAGTATGAGCTCATATGACCCATTATGTATAATATCGAAGTTGTTGTTGTTGATAATATTGATTCCAGTGTGCTTGTAAATATAGTGTTTGTTTGTTGAGAGTCCGTTTTCATAAATATTTTCTTCTAGGAGGTTAGTGTATCGTCGTGTTCGTGGTTCCTGGTTATCGCTAGCATCAATAATAGGTATCAAATTATAATCAATTTCATTATCTTCGTTATTTGTTTCTATATTATTTGATGGAGCCTGGTCGTTTTGCAGCCGTTCGATAGATGGTACATTATTGTCTATAAAATCATCTCTAGACTGATCCTGTTGTGGCCTATCTATATCGTTAGAATTGAAATCTTGTTTACTCATTGACAGAGCTCGGTTTAGGTCTTCCGCGTTGTTTGACATTATTATTGATTTGTTCGTAAATTTCTTCCTCATCATTTGTTTTGGTTTGCTTGGAATAAAATCTTGTCCTAAATTTAGAGTATATATCAAATCTGTCATTGCTACTTATTTATCTCGCGACAATATATGGTATAGTTTTCTTAACGCTCTAGAGGAACATTCACTGTTTAAGACTTGCGCACAATAGCATTTAAGATCTTGTGCTGTACTAGCTGAATTCCATAAAATATTCCATGGTTTTTCTTTAAAGTTTACTTTTCCTTCAGACTTTTGTAAACCTTTTACTCTGTTAGAAATTCTGATATAAAAATTGAGGATTATTATATATGTTTTTGTCAATTCTAACCTCGTTGCTGGTGGAATTTGTGTTCTCATAGTTTTCCTCAAGAAATTGAAAAATTCTATTTCATTATTTGCTTTTGTATAATCTTCAAATTCATCCAGGTCTATATCTTCCTTGTTTACATTTATTGAAGTTTTTTCGCATGATCGCATAGGTCCAGGTAGGTACATTAGAATTCTTGCAATTAACTCGTTGAAAGTTAATTCGTTTATTTTTAATGATGGATCCAATAGAGAATCAGATGATAGTTCTACCAGAGTATCAAACACGTTGTATATGTCTAATTCAAGATTTTGTAACTTTGAAAAAATTACTTTTCCCAATGTGGAAAAAAAATTGTTTCTTAGCCCCTTTTCAATCACATCAATTTCTGTCAATGATTCGATGTCACCTACACAAGCAAAGACGCCATCATCGTCATCCTCTGCATAGATGTGTGTGGAGTTGATTTTTATTGCTTTTGTTTGTCCCTTGTATTTTCCATAAAGATTGTAGAATTCCGTCATTGAATTGACGAATAAATGATTTGATCGTTTAGCCATTTGTCGCAGATATTTTACACAAGCCTGATCTGTTTTTGATTCTGTGTCACTTTTGCAGGTAATCTTTGATTCTGTGATTTCTATGGTCATTCCCGGTGTAATACTCTGTAACCTGTCATCCCAGTTCATCACAACCATATTAATAGGTTCAAACAGTTTCAAATTTTCTGAATTGCATATACTTTTGGAGATTTCAGCTGTCTTCCTTCCTTTCAGAACGTGTAGAGTTAAACCTTCAGAATTCACTGTGAAATCTTTTTCTGTGTCGAATAAATTAGTATCCAACAACGTTTCTGTTGATGATGATAGGGAATCCAATGTTGTGAAGAAATTTTTCGTGTTTATTGGGATTGATATGGTTTCGGTTTCTTTTTGCATGTACAAAGTTCCCCTCTCTTCTACACTTGTACTGGAGTGTATAATGCTGTTCAGTTTTCTATCTGGCAATCTGTCTGCTTTGTTTATCTGTTCTGTTCTTTCTGGAGGAATTCCTTCCGTCCTGTAAAAAAAATTTATTAAACCTTTATATTTTAATACATATATGTATATATTTTGAAATATTTTAATCGCTTACTACTTCATTTTATTTATAGACATAATATCCAAATTTTTCGTTGCAAATAAATACTTGATATTCATTAGACTTGCAAGGATCTCAAATTTAGATGATTCATGTTTATAAACAAATTTCATATTAGATCTTCAGTATATTCGTTACCTTCCATAAAGAAGTAATACACTTAGAGTGAACAATATTCTTTCTCCCATTCTTATCTGTAATATTATATTGTTTTAAATTTCTTCCGATAAAAATAATTTTGTTTTATTACATTTAAGGATAAAACATGTCAATTGAAACAATAATGCGAGCTTTTACTGATTTTATTCGTTTGAAGCTGAGAGATTTTATTATAGGAATATTGAATCAGGTGTACTTCGATTTTATTCCTTTTAATCCATTTTGAATAACTATACAATGTAACTATACAATGTAATTATTAGGTTTAAAAATTCTTTATTATTTTAGCGTGATGATGAGGAGCCTCTCTTTGCTAGAGACGAAGTAGGAGATCCTGTTGAAGAAGTAGATATATCCCTTCGTGAAGATCATGAATAGAATCTTTCTGATAAATATCCTGACTCGATAAGTTACTTTTAAAGAGATGGTATTTGCTTTAATAATTTTCCCGAATTTATGGACATGTAATTAATGATTTTCAGCAAGTCTCCATTTCTATCTTTTACTTCCCTTAATGCTTTAAATTTAAGAATTACCTTATATGAATGCTTTAAAATGTCGTCTTGAAGTCTTATTATACATTTTCTTAAATTATCTTCGCTTTTTCTCCTTTCTTTGAATAACCTTATATTAATATTTTCATTTTAACAAAATTGTTATAGTTCAATATTGTGTTTATTTTTTTTTTCAAAATTTTGTATTACAACCCTTTATCTCTGCTCTTAATCTATTCTCTGCTTGCATTATGAACATATACTCTTCATTTTTAGATCTTCTTTAATTCATAAGTAAATTAAATCATGTATATTAAAAAACCTTTTTTTACTCTTTCCAGAATTCGCTCTTAATTTATTCTCTACTCTCATTATTAACACCTAATTTGATCTCTTCTTTAATTCACACATAAATTAAAATCATGTATATTTTCAGAATGATGTTTCAACGAAAAAATCAATAATTGTTGTTCGATCAAACTAACAAGTTAAAATAACAGGTAAACAGTTAATTTTTATTAACATACGTGTTTATATTTTGAACTATCTTATAAATAATCATCATTTATATTCTATCTTTTTCTTTTTGTGTATTTACAAATTAAAACTTAATTATATTTTATTTCCCATCAAATATTTGAGGAATCTATTCAGAATCTGATTCATTTTCTGGACGTATCTTGAACTCATTTTTTAAGAATTCATCCAGTAGCATATCTTGTCTTTGATGAACTGTTTCTTTTTTAGAATTGTCGATGTTGGATATTGGAATAGTTTCCTGTTCTGTATAGGAGCTCTTTGGCTGTACTGCTATTGTGTTTTCATAAGTGCAGAGTCCTTCATACAGCTCATCATACAATTGAGATTCTTCATCACTATAGGTAGAATTTTTTCTCTCTTTTTTCTCTTTATTTATATTCGTCTTAATTCTTCTCGCCATCATTTTATTCTTCATTTCTAGCTGCAATTTTTTGAATTTTATTTTTCTCTCCAGATTGTTGTATTTATTTTTCAGTGTTTTATACTTCTTTTTCAAATTTCGTTCTTTGATTACAGCTTCTTTTGATTTTTTATCTTTTTCGTCTATCAATTCATCCATTACCGCGAAGAATTCTCCTGAATTTTCTTCCATGTCCTCTAATCTCCCATCTGCAAATTTCCCCCATGAATCTTCGCTATCTTCTAAATCACTTTTTAACCGCTCGTTGTCTGTCTTCAGGTTCCTGTTTGTTTCCTTAAGACCTACATTTTCTGCTATCAGTTCGTCGTTCATCTCGTCTATTACCACGAAGAATTCATCTGAATTATCTTCCATTTCCTCTAATTCTGCATTTGCAAATTTTCCCCATGCATTTTCGCTATCCTCTAAATCACTTTCTAACCGCTCGTTTTCTGTCTTCAGGTTCCTGTTTATTTCCTTAAGACCTACATTTTCTGCTATCAGTTCGTCGTTCATTTCGTCTATTACCGTGAATAACTCTTCTCCTTCAGCTATTCCACTATCCAAGTATGTTATGTATCTCATATCTTTTTTTGTTTGTGCTGAATAACATTCATTTCTATTTTTTAATTCTTCATTTATTCCGTCTAATACGTTGAAAAATTCTGTAACATTCTCAATCTCCTGTTTCAGTTCATCCTTTTCCGTTTCGATGGCATTAATTTTCCTTGTTAAACCAGCATTTTTTATCTTCTCCTCTCTGTATTTTCTTTCCAGTTCTTTTATTTTGTCTTCGTACTGTGATTTATCATTCTTCACTTCTCCTATCCTCTTATTGGTTTGTTCTTGTACCTTTATCCTCTCATTGGTTTGTTCTTCTACATTCTTCAATTTTTCTTTTATTTCCATAATTTCTCTTTCTTTAGCTCTTATTTCGTTTTTTAATTTCGTATTCTTCATATCCTCGTCCTTTGTCTTTCTAGTTTGTGTTGTCATAGTTTTCAGTTGTTCTTTTAGATTTGCAACTTCATCGGTCCAAGATTTTTCCTTCTCAAAATGCTTCATCACAAACAGGTCATGAGTCCGTTTTAGCTCTTCATATCCAGGTGCTTGACTATAAATCTCTTTTTCACGATTTTGACTATCAATTTGTTGTTTCAGCCTGTTCATTTCTTCGGAATAATATGAATGAACTTTGTCTTCTAGGCATATGATTAGGAAGAGGATTAAGCTAATGTATGATCTGTGATTTGACCTGATCATATCGCATGTGTTCACAAGTATTATACTATCCTTGTGATGGTCCAGGTAGTGGTTTTTAAATTCCTTTTTCTTCATGACTCCAAAGCACCACGGACAACATATTTCCTTCCAACTTTTTAGGTCGTTGTAAATAACCGCTAACAACTGTTCCATGTCTTTCACTTTCCATGTCTCTGTTGATTCTTTCACATCTCCGAATTTTTCAAAACTTGTGAACATGCTCGGTGCTACCACTGGGTTTCCAGCTATGTAGCAAGCAATGGTGTTGTAACCTCTCCTTATTTCTTCCTCTATCTGTTCCCCTATCATTGCCTTGTTTGACAGTCTCTCCGGTAATTGATTTCTTTCTTTTTCAATTATCCTAGTCAGGTCTCTGTCTCCATGTTTCTCCATGATTTTGTCACGAAATAGTGTGTTTGTAGTTCCACAAAATAAACCTGTTTTTTCGTGTGGAGTGCTGGATACTATTGCTCCGGGTTCTGACGGTACCAGAGGTCTGTTGGAGTTGATGGAGTAGGAGTTCATAGCTGGGTTAACTCCGTTCTTCAGTATAATTTCATTATTAATCCAAGGATTCAGATCTTCCACCACGTTTTCTCTACGATGCATTAATCTCGACCTATCATAGAATTCTTCTGTGTAGCATATCTGAGCGTGCAATGTTTCTTGGCATCTACAGCTCTGCTCCGATCTTTCCTTGGACTTCATATCTTCTATAGTGAAGTCCAGTTCGCTCTTTGTTCCTTTTTCCGTGTGTTTAATTATGTCAACATATGTTCTCCTTCTTCTCCATCCTGGTCTAACGGCTATATTTTTAGACTTTTTTATCACTCTCTGTCCAATGATAATTTCTTTAGCTGTTTTTTCATATTTTCTCAGTCTGCCTCTGTTGTTGAGATATCCGGCACTTAATAGAATTCTTAGATCAGGGAATGCATCAATCAAAACATTGTTCTGTTTTGGGATTCTGAATGTATGTTTTATATTTTCTAAGTCCAGATCTTTGCTGAATTCCTTGCACTCAAAAGGTTTATCCTCTTGAAATATTGAAACTAATCCGTTAGAAGGTGTCTCTCTCCAGGATCCTTGGTTTTTTGTGTATTCAATCAGAAGATTTTGTAAACACATGATCATATTTAGTTCGTAGGTATTTGGGAAATTGGCCTTCATATGTTCCAAGTCAATTCCTAGGGGAAAATATCTTTGCTGTACGATGCGTTGAGATTCTGATCCCAATTCCGTACTGTTAATATTGAGATCTTCTTCTTCCCATTGACTGTCATCAAAACTGTTTAGTAGATCTCCAGCGACCTTAGGTTTATTTTCCTCTCTGCCACGAAGAATTGTCCGCCAGACTTTCAAAGTTGCACATTGTCGATATCTTTCTCCTAAATCTTCTTTAGAGCTGTCGTAACCTTCAGCTTCCAGCAACACATTCATAATTGGTTTATCCACCATCTTATGGATAGCCTCACTTTTTAATTGGTCTCCTAAGTATCCGTTAAAACATTTGAATTGATAATTTTTCCCATTTAATATGATTTTCTCTTCTATGTAATTCATTTTAGGTTCCATAGTAAGTTTGGTTTTCTTAATCACGGACATGATCTTCATCAAATTTTTCATTTCCGGGCCTTGGTATAAATAGCCATCTTCTATATTTACTAATTCTTTCAGTAAACTTTGACATTTATTCCTCTTTCCTTGTGTAAAATCCTCCCCGTTTAAATTCTGCATTAACTCGAACTGTAGTCCGGACCTGTTTACATCATGAGCTGGATCTTCAAATTCAATTCGATGTCGTTTTAATTCCAGATGGCTGATTTCTTTTTTCATTGACATCCTCATGTTAGCATTTTCCTTCCAGATCTTCACTTTATTGAAAATGCTTGTATTTCCCATCATTGATTCATCTTTATCATCATCTTCATCGATTATAAGTGTTCCTACGCTCTCCTCATCACAATCTCGTTTGATGATTTGTCTGGTACTTGAATTCACCAAATTATTATCTATTTCCCGGGTATAATCCGGTTTCTTATATTCCAAGTGTTTTTCTTGTTCCGTGTAGTATCCTGGTCCAGAGCTATTATCCTTTTGACTCTTGTTATTGTCCATATATTCTACTCCTGAATAATAACCAATTGCGTCCCAGTTTCTTGCAAGTATGTCTTGTTTCGAGCTATATTTGCCTTGATTCCAGTTTGGATAATTAGAACTGTGTCCGGGTTGATTCTGGTGATAGTTTTCGACGTTTGAAAATGTATTCTGGGTTGGTCTCGAGGTATAATTATTTCTAAAACGTCCTCTTGGAGATGATGATGGTCTTCTTCTGTTATAAGTGTTCCACTTTGAACCTCTTCCACCTAATCTGTGTTTTAATTTTTGACTTCTTCCACCTATCCGATTCCCTCTACCCAGTCTATTGTAGTCAAATCCGCGATCTTCATCTTGATTTAATATTTCTGCTTTTATCCTCTTAGGGTCTCGACTCTTTCTTTCTGCTTCTATCTTTCTCGGGATTTTAAAAACATTATATTCCGGTGTATTATAATTTGCAACAGGTTCATCAGAAGTAATTTCGCTCTTGTTTTTCTCGTGTCTAATATTATCTTCTAGGGTTGAATCTTGGTCTGGAATCGATTCCTCCTCCCACTCATAATTTAGCTGAACCCAGGTTTAAGGTGAGTGTTGGAGATCCTCGTCCAGCTTCCATGTCTTTATCTAGAATATTTATTTTTAGAAATTTTTTGTAAGACATATTTTTAATTTTCCCAAAATTTAAATATGTATTTATGTCTAAATACAATTTGCTTTATGTGCAAATATTTTTATTGNTATAATTATAATAATATTTTCTGTATATGAAGCAGGATTAGAATTCAGTTTGATTCTACCTGATGAATTTTCCGTAATTATCCTTTCCTCCGTTATTCCAGTACTGGCAAGCTTAGTTCCTGCTGGTAAGTATCCAATCTATAAATATTAAATTTTGATATTCCCAAAATTGTTAATAATTGAGATAATAACTTTATTTTATTTTTCTCTTTTGCAAATTGAATTATTTTAAAAACTTCATTTTTACGGTTTCATTGTGTACCTGTCTCCTCCTTTAATGTTTCCGTTTCCACACGATTCGATTTCGTTATTGAATTGGCAGAATCTCGATCTATAAATATTCGAATATCAATCAATCAATCAATAAATGTTAATTTTTGTCTTGTTTTAAAAACTTCATTTTTACGGTTTCATTGTGTACCTGTCTCCTCCTTTAATGTTTCCGTTTCCACACGATTCGATTTCGTTACTGAATTGGCAGAATCTCGATCTATAAATATTCGAATATCAATCAATCAATCAATAAATGTTAATTTTTGTCTTGTTTTCTTTTTAAAATCATTATTCCATATTTGGGTTCACTAAATATTTAATATTATTTTGCAATTTAGGTTTGTTTTTTTTTGGGAAATATTTTCATTATTGATATGTGTCGTACCTGTTAAGTTTATATTGTTGCTCAAAATTGGTTTTCAATTGGTTTGTAACACCATTCTCTCTGAAATGGATTTGCTAATTAATTTCATGATTTATAACTATTATTTAGCCAAAAAAAAATTGAAAAACTATGTTTAAAATAATTCTAATCTTCGTTTGCTTCATCATTTTCATCTGTGCTCTCCTCTTCGGAGCTGTCTTCTCGTGATGAAGGTGGAGAATTGACTTTCATTTGTATTTGATAATTACAATTTGCAGGATGCAGATCGTGTGTTGGTGTGGGTTTTATTTCTTCAAACATCAATTCTGAGACGTCCAATTCCTTTGGGTCTTCTATGTTCAACTGTCTTGTTCCACACAAGTGCATGAAGTAGTATGCCTGCCCTTTATTTAGGTACTGTTTAAACTTTTTTTCTTGTAGTTCTAAATTTTGATACCATTTCTCTAGTAACTTTTCCTTCATCCAGCTATACAGGCCTACTGAGTCCTCATGTCCGATCATAAATTCATCATTTTCATGATCAATGAACTCGCTTTGTTGAAGATCTTGATGATTTGAGATTTCTTCTGCTATTTTTGCGTTTAATATTTCGATTTCTCGTCTAATTTGGTCTGAACGGTTATTAAACCGAACGTTATTTTCTATAAAATCAGATTCATGATCGTCCCTAAATTGTTTCAGACGTTCCAGCTCTTTTAATGTTGGTTTTACTTCTTGCTTGTTGAAATTATGGTATCCTTCCAGAGTTGTAATTCCTTTGTCATCTTCCTTCATGACTAAAATAGTATTTACATTTTTATGTGATATTTATAAATTTATATTTTAAGGATTCTTACTTTGTTTCTCCTGATTAAAGGCGGTGTTCTACGTCGTAATCCAGGTAATGCATTGGTTTCTGTAATATATATATATATATTTGCGGATATTAATCAATCAATCAATTACCAATCCATTAATCAATTATTTTATGTATTTTTAGTTGAGTAGGCATTTTATGCAATATTCGATTATTTTTTAGTTTGTTTTTATTGAAATTTTGCTTTAAACGAAATTTTTATTTTTGTTTTCAAAATTTTAAAATTAATTTCCCCGCATAGATATATACAGATATCCTTATTACGAATATTAATCCTCCAGACATCATCATCATCATCATCATCATCATCATCATCATCATCATCATCATCATCATCATCATCATCATCATCATCATCATCATCATCATCATCATCAACTAAGCAAATTTTTCAGATTTTTATCAAAAATACTTAAAACTAAGTAAATGTTTCAGATTTTTATCAAAAATACTTTAAAACTTTTCATAAAAATCTCATTTTTGAAATAAAAATTAAAATTTATATCAATTTTTTTCAAAAACATCCAAACAAAGCAAATTTTTTCAGATTTTTATCAAAAATACTTTAAAATCATCAGCATCATCATTACCATCAGCATCACTTTTAATAGTAATAGTAATAGTAGTAGTAGTATAGAAATAAAACAATTTGATTTATAAAATAATCCTGTAATATTTTGAGTTACAGGAATGAATGTAGTTATATACTATCTTGATAATATGATTTAAAGAGAAGAAAGAAAAATCAATGTTATTTTAAAATTATATTTCAAGTAAAAGATTTTAAAACATGAATTTACAAGTTATGCATTATATGAATTCAAATAAAGTTTAGGACTGTACAATCATTTTCTTTGATATTATCAGAACTGAACTGACTTATAAATAAATTATACGATTTTACAGAAAAAACATTTTTAACAAAAGCAATACAAAATAAACCACATGCAATACTAGTAAAATCTTGAATACAGATTCGATTATAGAGTACTTTTTTATAGTATTTTTTTAGGAATTTGAATATGTCATCTTCTATAATAGGAAACCCAAAACTATCAAAGTAGAAAGCAACATCCTCTTTTAAATGTAAAGCAACCCAGTGATCTCCTGGATGTCCACTTTGAGCTGTATTGATTATGAGTGTGCATGGAATGCTATTTATTTCAGGAATTTTATTTGATGGAAAACATCCTATAAATCCAGTATCATTTTCAAGATAATTCTTGATTTGAATGTTAGATAGTCCTTGCTTCAAAACTTCCATTCTCAATAAATTGGTTCAGTAATAACCTTATCATCAACAAAAATCAATGAACTATCATATGAACCAAACACTAAAACCATGAAATTTTTATCTAAAGCTTTCTTTGATTTAACATTTACAGTTATGCTTCCTCCTTGACTCTTATGTGTATATAATCCGTTATCTTTGGTTGGGAATCGATCAAATGGGAGGATGAAATAGCCTTTCTTGAATTCTTCAAATGTTACATTCACACTGTCCATCTCAAAGGATGATGTTCCAGTGTTTTCAAGAAAACTGAAATATAATTCTTTTTCATCAATTCCCTCTTCAAAAGAGTAAGGTGGAGATGGTTCAGATACTCCATTAACAATTAGAGCTGCTTCTTTCATACCCGCAGTTTCAAAGTTGAATGGATTTTTTAAACAATCTCCATTGTAAGCCTCCTGCTCCACAAAGGCTAAATATACTCTATCTGGTAGACGGTTACCAAAGAATAAATTGTGCTGCTTGAGCTCAACTGCTCCTGCAGGAACAGCGAATGTCTTCAAAACATTTTGAGTGTACTTAATTTTTAAAGCACCAGCCTCTTTCTGTAGTTTTTGATGATTTTTAAACACATGTGGAAAGACTTCCAATAACTTTACTTTCAAGTGTATATCCTCCAACACAATTTTATATTCATTTTTATCAGTATCATCTTTCCAGATTAGGAAATCATTACTTGACTTTCTTATTGTGAATGATAATTTTGTATTAGGAGGAAGATATTTCTCTACAGTCATTAAATCATTATGTAGAGGAATATTGAAATCAACAAAATTATTTTCAATCAGACTTTTCCTTCTTTGACAAAATGATCCATTTGCATCTGACAGATTAGGAGTGTTCATATTATCCGCCTTATCCTTGATAAAACCTCGTTCAGACAGAATTAGATTTCCAGCTTGACTGGCTGAAGCTCCTAAAAGAGTTTGCAGATATGTTGCATATGGATATGAATTATAAGCAATATCACCAATCTCGCAATCATTTACTTTTGCTGTAACGGATGAACATAGTGATTGGTAAAAATTATTGATAACTCCCCATGATTTTGGTCGTGGAGATAATGAACTAACTGGTTTCCATATTCCATCTCCTTCGTTGACTCTAACACCAACTCTACCATGCAGAGTTAAGGTTGTGATATCTGTAAATTTTTCAGGATCAGCTGATAAATGAAATTCAATAGGTCCATCTCCAGAGATTGATTGAGGACGCATTTCTGTCTTGTAACTCCTTTTAACACTATTTTCCACAATAAACGGGGACCAATAGTCAAGTTTAGAAGTTGTCATTTCAACAACACTCTTTGAATGGCCTCCAATACCAAATCCACTATCCATAATGATTATTTTGTTATGTAAATTTATTAAAAGATGCTTAGGTGTATTTTTTATTGGCTATTTGTATTCACAAAAATTAATTGCATTCTTGTTGGAATATCAGGATCACATTCAATGGTTTTTCCACTGATATCTGCAATACGTATTTTTATACGATCAAAGTTCTTGAGATTAAGCTTGAGAAAATCATTATTAGCAAACTCTTGATCTACAATTCTATCCTTTGTTAGCTTCTTTGGAAAGTACTTCAGAACTTGTACATGTTGACCACCTAGAATTGATTCTTCAACAAGATCACAGCAAATGATTAAGTGGTGAGGATGTAGAGCAAACACATTTGCATTATGTGATGATGTTAATGTTGTAATTGGAGGTAAGAATACAGTCTCTGCTTGATCACTTCGTAATCCCAATATTTGTAGTAAGTCATTACTTATCTCAACTTTAAAGCTTTCTCCATATTTTGCTGTTCTAAAGGAAGAAGAACATCTGATTCCAATAACATCATTTGTTATTTTGTAGAATACTAAAAACTCTCGTGTAATGATATTTAATTGTTTAATCACTTTTTGAAGATCATAAGGAAATTTTTTCCCTAAACCACCTGATATTTTCCATTTTCCACCATTAGACTTCACACCACTTAACCAAATACTACAATCTTGAAGAGTGTAAAAAGTATTTGAAAAGTGTATAGATTTTAGACATAACATCCAATCTTTCTGAAACTCCATCCTCTTAGGTAATTGAATACAGAATTCCATATTTGTATTCTTTAGAAATCGCTTTTTGGATTCTTCACATGAAGAGTCTAGTAAGATATGAAAAGGTGTCTTCATCCTCTTTGCTTGACTTCTGACAACAACCTCTATGAATGTAGGAGATCCAAAGGAAAAATTTGGAGTGTTTCCGGTTTCAATGTTAGTAATTTGAAATGATGCTCTGGAAAGATTATGATGATTTGTAGGGAAGAATGTAGGATTTGTAAACTGAAATTGACAAACTCCCTTCTGAGACGGCTTGGTGGTGAATATGGATATGATTTTATCCCAACCGTAACTAGATATTGTATCAAAACTTAAGTTTGTTTTTAATGCTAATGTTTGTTCAATATCTGGATAACTTTCATATGTGTTATCAAAAGATATGGATTTAATTGCCACTTCTATATCACTATTGGGAATATAATCTAAGTCTCTAGGATGAATGTAGGTTTCAAAATTTGATCTTGAATTTGATGGAAACAGTACACTTTGCATGTTACTCGCATAGAAAATAGTCCTCATTATTTCTTCAGTAGATCAAGTAGAAAAGGTAAAACTACACTTGCAATAATGGAAAACACACCATCTCCAGTTTGTGAATTTGATAATATTTCACGCTTTGAATTTAAATCATAGACCGGATTCGCAACTTTTTTTAGTTCTTTTTCTAAAACAGTGAGTTTTTTGTTCACACTTTTTGATTTAGTAGAGCACCGTCCTTTAAGTACATTATGTACAGCCTCACAAATTGTATGAATATTATTCTGTGGACATTCTTTCAAATATTTTTGTCTTTCTCTCTTACTTAATTTTCCTAGATCACTCAGAAAATTATATTTATCTTTTAATAATTTTCCCATGCTTGGAAATATAAATTTAGATAATTGATAATTTTCTCTCTCTTAGGTACATTTTAAACCAATGATTTTTTAACATTATTTAAAATAATAAAAGATGAATCAGTATTGAATCATAAACATATATACTTTACATGATTTATCATTACAATTATGGTATAAAAACATTTGTAGGTATTGCAGTACATCTACAAATTGGACATTGTACTCCTTTGCTTTCATCAAGATCAATAACTATATTGAGTTCACTTGATCCTTGTCGGTATTTAGAGAGTTCAACATTACAATCTGTACAGAGACAAAAATGTCCACACGGCCATAGTAATTTTTTAGCTTCATTACCGCATATTACACATTTTGGCTTAGAATTAGTACATCCCATTTTGATATTTAACAATATATATATATATATATAAGGACCTCTTTATGTACATTTTTCATTAAAATATAAGCATTCATATCTATATACTTTGCATGTCTGTATGTATATCTGTCTGTCCGTTTGTATCCAATAAATGTCAATATGTATATGTATTTTATATATTTTGAAGAAGGAATGAGTGTAAGAGATTGATAGATAGATATACAACATGCATTGTATGTATTGAAGGGAGGATTAAAATATGGCGGGTGGCGATTGGTAGACGAACCCAGTGAGGATGTTATAAGGAAGGGAAAAGAAAAACAGGTGGGAAAATAATGAGTCGAGGAGAATAAAAGACAGGTGAGGGAAATCATGGATAAGTAGATGGAAATGATGAGAGGAATTGAAATATATGAATGGCAATTAGGATGCTACACAATCATCTTCTATTTTAACTGTAAACATATTCATGGATTTCATAAAAAATCGTGAATTTTCAAAAATCTTACAGAAATAATATCACCATTAGGTTGTATAGGTATAGAGTTTGGATTATTATAAGAGAGCGAGATAGATAGAGAGCGAGTGAGATAGATAGAGAGAGATTGATAGATAGATAGATATACAACATGTAAAGGTATAGAGTTTGGAACCCCCCCTCCAGCATATATTATTATTTTAGTTCATAAATATCTTTTCAATTTAAATTTTTAAGTCTAATTAAGAAAATCCGCGAAAAAATTTAGAAGAAATGTGCCAGTTCTGCGCAACAAAACTGTGTCTACCAGAAAGTATGTTATTATATCGTTAAAATCAATTAAATATGTACAACAATAAAAATGTTTAATCTCAGATTCAAAAAAAACTTTAGTATTGGATTCAGAACAACAATGATTTTATGATTAAAATGCCCCATTTTCATTGATTTCATCCTTAGACCTCCGGAGAGCATTACAATTTGGAGGAATACCAAAAAACCTATAATTTGATAGCTCACATCATTTATTATTATTGATTTCATATTTTGAATTCCGTAGGTCATTGATATCTGGAGGTCAAATGCCTTCAGGATCATCTGAGGTCAAAAAGGGGTATTAGAATGGATGATTCGGAACATCAAAATAGAGGTCAATGACCTCTGATCTCCAATTTTCTTTGCGATCTATGTAAGAAGACCACAATTAGAGGCTGCATGCAAAATTTCAGCCTTCTATCTCAATTATTAGGACCAAACGCAGCCTGTACAAAATTTGGTGGCACAAAGTGTCGAATTCCCCCCCCCCGTGATCAGGAAAAACTTGAAGTTGAAAAATCAACGGTCTACAAAATCAGATTGCACGACTCTATAATGGGGTTAGTTAATTAGAGTTAGAGGCGAGTATTCATTTCTTTTATTAATTATTTATATTGCTTTTAGAAGCGTACTCAGGGGAGAAGGGGGGGGGGAAGGGTGCAGAGGCCCACCCCCCTGGAAAGAAAAACATATTTAAGCTATACCCCTGGACAAATTCCTGAGTACGCCCCTGATTACCTTAATTCCTCCTCCTCATCACTGGACTCCCACGCTGTACTCTAAATACAACGACAAAATTAAATTAAAGAGACAGTGGACGTTATTTCAATTAGTCCTCTATTTGTAGATTGACAGCAGTACTCTTCAAACCTTTAATTCTTGGTTAATTGTGTGTTCTCTGCAAAAGTGAAAAGCGAATTTTTGCTGACAGACAATTAAGAAAATTGTCAGAAATCATCACGTTTAAGCTAGAAGAACGAGGATATCTTCCTCTTTATTACTCGGAGGTTAAAGAGATCCATTAAAAGTCGTTTCGGAAAGAAAATGTCGTCAAAATGATACATACATACATAGAGTTTAAATTTGAAATTTATGTTAACAACAAAGCAATTTGGGATAATGGAGAATTTGAACAATTTTCACTTCGTCATCAATCGTTCCAATTGTTGAACCTTTTCAAGTTCAGACCTAATTTTGATAAGATGATAAAAATAGTTTTTATCTTTCATAACGATTTATTTGGTAGCGTTACATTAGGTAAGTTTTTATGTAAGTAGCGATTTTGTGGTGTGATTCTATGAAGGGCGGGTCGAAACTTTTATTCTGAAACTTCCAAATTTATTTGTTTTTGTTACCTTGGCCAACGCTGCAGCAGTTACTGCTTTCTCTTGTAGACCTAATACAGATCGTATTATTTTTATTATTATTATCAGGAAATAATCATCATTATCAAAATTTTAAAAGTGTAAGTAACCAAATTTTGTTGAGACCTTTTTACACACAAAAAAATAATAGAACTATTTTTCTCCAATTACCTAATTTAATAACTAGTACATAACTTTTGAAAAGTACAGTACACTACTATATTAGTAGATCGACTTAAGAAGTTTTATTTATCCTTGGTCTGTAGACTGGATTCTACTACTATACATTCACTCCCAGTTCTTATTTAAATAAAGATACTGGAAAATCACGGTTCAAAGAAATGATAAGAAATTGCCTCGGCTTGAAAAAAATATCCTGAAAATTATCATCCTTGGGTAGTAATTACCGAGTGTTCAAATCAAGTGTAAAAAAGAAAACCTATTTCTGATTGTCGTCTTCTTGGTATCTCATGCAATCTGCTCTCTCGGGAATTTGTCTAAATCAAAATCCATTAATTCAGGTTTCTATGATCTCTCTCTGACAAAATCCAAGATTAGAGTTTAAAGGGACTGTCAACGTATTTCAAGTGACTAGGTTGTACATAGTAAATTAACAACATTACTCTTAATCTGCGTCAAGATAAACCACGACTGGAAATTATCCGTTTATCAGAAAGAAAACCCGAATATCTTCATTGGTTTTGTTCAATCGAAGGTTTGAAATATACTGTTTAAATTGGCCCTCTTTAAATAGAGGGTCACTTGAAATTCCGTTAACAGTCCCTTTAAAATTATATTGATATCTGGAGAGCTTCTGAGACTAGGTATTTTCAAGTAAAATTGCAAAATGATTTCAATCTTCTAGTAAAAAGTTAGGATGAGAGGAAAGATTGAATTTAAGTTTTCAATTTTACAAAATCATCATTTTATTTAGAAATACTTTTTGGTCTCGACATTTTTAAAATTATTTTTTTGATTAGTTAAATAATATATAAATTTCTATTTATAGGGTGCATATTTTTTTGGGTGCATAAGTTCTATTGGTGTGGGCCCAATATGATAATTTTTTGAAGATATTACGTTGATCGGAGCATTGCAAACGGCGGTTTTTGCCAAAATCTTGATTTTTGGTAGAGGTCATGTCAATAACCTCATATCCCATTTTTTTGTGATCCGTGTAGAGAACAAAAAAATCATAGGCTGTGGTACTAAATATCAGCCTTTTATATAAATTTTTATTACCAAATACAGCCTGTACAAAATTCAAGCGTCGAATTGCTCCCCCGAATCCTTAACAAAAATCTTTCCTGAAACTACAAACTTCAACCATCAAGTCTTTGCATTTTAATACTTAGAGTTGATATCAGCCAAAAACCTATGCACCTTTTGATTTTATGACTTTCATTTTTACGTCACCTTAAATTGTTTAACCTTTAAAAGGGGAAAAGTAAAAAAGTAAATTTTCCCCCAATCCCTCCCACAGTAAAAGGGAGTGGAGGGGGTATCTTACCTCTAGTTTTGATAGATTATTCAATTGAATTTGCTTCTTCAATCTTACAGCTCGCATTTCCGAATGTATACTAAATATTTCTAAATTAATTTATAATATAAAATAGATGGAAAGAGATGTTTCTTTAACATACAATTTGAATTCAAAGGAACTGTTAAATGGTCCTCCATGCCTGATTTACCGCGGTTCCTTTGTAACATTTTTCTGTTCAATTATGTGGAAAATATTTAATCTAGGTATTTAATGTGTTTAATTCTGATCATTTTTGTATACTTTCCTGCAGTAGAAATACGACAGAAACCAAAATAAAAAATAATCGGTTTACAAAATTCTATGATATCTTTTTATTACTTAACAGGCAAAGCATTTAAGCGCAACACCACTCATAGAACCTCTATCTTGGTTCTACTCACGGCTGCTGTCTCATCTCCTCTAACCCTACAGGATGGCACCACTCTGTCTACTCACGGCTGCTGTCTCATCTCCTCCAACCCTACAGGATGGCACTGCACTATATGTCTACTCACGGCTGCTGTCTCATCTCCTCTAACCCTACAGGATGGCACTGCACTATATGTCTACTTACGGCTGCTGTCTCATCTCCTCTAACCCTACAGGATGGCACTGCACTATATGTCTACTCACGGCTGCTGTCTCATCTCCTCTAACCCTACAGGATGGCACCACTATATGTCTACTCACGGCTGCTGTCTCATCTCCTCCAACCCTACAGGATGGCACCACTATATGTCTACTCACGGCTGCTGTCTCAACTCCTGCAATCCTACAGGATGGCACCACTCTATGTCTACTCACGGCTGCTGTCCCAACTCCTCTAACCCTACAGGATGGCACCACTCTATGTCTTCTCACGGCTGCTGTCTCAACTCCTCCAACCCTACAGGATGGCACCACTCTATGTTTACTCACGGCTTCTGTCTCAACTCCTACAACCCTAAAAGGATGCCACCACGCTATGTCTACTTACGGCTGCTGTCTCAACTCCTCCAACCCTACAGGATGGCACCACTCTATGTCTACTCACGGCTGCTGTCTCAACTCCTCCAACCCTATAGGATGGCACCACTATATGTCTACTTACGGCTGCTGTCTCAACTCCTCCAACCCTACAGGATGGCACTGCACTATATGTCTACTCACGGCTGCTGTCTCATCTCCTCCAACCCTACAGGATGGCACTGCACTATATGTCTACTCACGGCTGCTGTCTCATCTCCTCCAACCCTACAGGATGGCACCACTTTATGTCTTTACACTGTGATCTTTACATTTTTCATGTCTTTTGTCCTTTCTTATGTCGTATCTATTGTGGTGTCCATATTTCAGATAAATGCAAAGAAGATACTAAAGGCCTTCCTGTATTGTTATTGTATCGATTCCTGGATCCCTCATGTCGTGGATCCATCACTCTCTCTCTCCCAGATACCGGTTCTGAGCGCACTCGTGCTCACGCAGCCTGAGACAGACCGGGCTGTTCATCTACCCCTATCCCCCTACTCTGTTCCTATCCTAAACGTAGTAAAGGCGACTCTCGCTTGGACTGAACTAGGAGGACTACCTCAACCAGAGAAGAAACACAGGTGTGTTACTTGCATAGGGTATAGTTGTAAAACGGCGTAGCCATCTTTGCATGGAGGGTCGGTCACTTGAAACTATGATTATAGTCACTTTAATAAATATTTGGGCTTTTTTAGGATAAAAGAAGCGAAAAAGGACTGAAAACATCGGAATTATCTTTTGAAGGCCCTCCTCACATATTACCCAAAAAAGGTATATTAAGAGTCGACACCCAAAATTTATAAATTTTCACTTGAAAATAGTTCCATCTGAACATAGACCCTGCAAAAACTTAAAATCAGTTTCGTTTTGTAATAACTAAAAAAATTATTGCATAAAAGAAAAATTCAAAAACTAATTTTATTAAAATAAGTACAAAAGCCTAGTACAACATATTTCAGAATTTAGTTGCATATTTGAGACTTTTATTAAAAAAGAAAAAAATACCTTATTACTTTTTTAAGATATCCCTCCAGTCCAACCCCAACCATACCAAAATGTTCCTGACCAGAATTTGACATCTAAAAACAATAAAGTGATTGTATCGATTATACTTGATAATGTAGAAAAAGGGGCATCCGTCCTAGATCTCTTGCTTCTTCTGGAATCCTCCCCCCCATGTCCTCCGTCTGAAAAAAGCAAGCTCCCATGATCCGTTGGATCTGCAACATTTTGGCTTATACTTGATCCGGATCCCCAAAATTATATGGATCCATGTATCTAGATTCAAGAGGGAAAATGTCAAAAAAAAATTTAAAAATTACTTCTTGTACTCAAACCCCAGATCTGAACTGTTAAATACCTTATTAAATGTTCATCTAGTTTTATCATAAAATAAAAGAAAAAAATAATTTGTAATTTTTTCAAACATTCAGTAAATCTTAAAGAAATGTTCTCGACCTGGATGCTGTTTCCAGGACGGATCCGGATCCGCATCAAAATGTAATGGATTCAGGCACTGTTCTCGTGGTTATTCTGCCCCCCCCCCCCCCCCAGATAAAAGCAAACCCCATGAGTATACTAATATATTATATTATTATATTAACCAACTCACAATTCACATAGAAAAAAACATTTAAACATAAAAAAAATTCTTAATTAATTCTTTTCAGTTATTACCTTGTGTTTAGCTGTAGCTGCCTTGAAAGCTTTTATCAGTTCAGTACATTTAAGGCAAATATCATCCGCACTCACATCTACAAAATCATACATAACGATAAAAATTAATTTTCTAAATTTTATCAGTGATTAGAATTCCAAGCTTTAAAAACAAAGGTTGGTATAGTAACATAATCAATGCAGAATCATATCTGCTCTCCAAAATATCTGAATTTTTGTTGTTGTTGGAAAAATGCTCTTTTTTACCTAATTGATCCATTTCTACCTCCGACATCCCCCCTGCTCCTCCTCCCAGCATATAAACAGCTCTACTCTCCATTAACAACTGTTTCAGCTGTCCTATTATAGTAAAACCAATTTATATACCGTATTTATTAATAATGATTTAATAATAATAAAATAACCCCAACTTTGTAAAATTATTTAAGTTTACTATTTCGTTACGACTTAAATATTCTGGACATTCTGCAATAATTTTCATGTCAAAGATTCATTCCCTTAACCAAGAATTTTATTTTTTACATTTTTTAACGAACCAGATGTTATTTTGAAACTGTACTATATTTTAACTAGAATTGATATATTTATGCCTGAATACTGAATCGTGTGTGAATAAATTAGAATAAATATCAATAATTGTCATATTAGGGCCTACCCCCTACAAATATCTTCCTTAAAGGAACCGTAAACTAATTATCATATTAGGGCCTACAAATATCTTCCTTAAAGGGACCGTAAACTAATTATCATATTAGAGCCTACAAATATCTTCCTTAAAGGGACCGTAAACTAATTGTCATATTAGAGCCTACAATATCTTCCTTAAAGGGACCATTAACTAATTATCATATTAGAGCCTACAAAGGGACCGTAAACTAATTATCATATTAGAGCCTACACATATCTTCCATATAGAGACTGTATTCATAATTAAAGTTTAAGATGTTCGATTCACAATGGGACCCTTTTATCCACAATCAGAATTCGGTTAATTTCCTTCGTTGTGTCTGCAGCATAAATCCATAATTCACTTTTAGATGAAGTAATCACGTAAAAAAATAGAAGATCTACCGTTTAAGTGGTAGCCTTGTAAATCGGACATGTCGTTCTTTTTTAACTAGAGGATCACTTAACGTCTAGTCCCCTACAATAGTTTTATCAAATTTTATTATTTTAACCATCTTAAATACCTATAGATTTAACAATAGAAGCAGATTGCCTAGTCAGCTGATTCTCCTGGTTCCTAAGAAATATAATTAATAATTTTAGAGGTCAAAACTTTTAGATTCTAAATCTGCTCATAACACGCTTAGTCAGTTCACATACCCCCTGCCAGTTATATATAGCCTTCGGTCAGAGTCAGGCCTTTGCGAAATCATTTATTAGAAGTACTTAGTTACCAGAAATTTAGATTTTTTTATAGAAAAAGAAGGCTTGAATGTTTACCATAAAAAATTACATTGTTAATTCAGAATTTTAAGAATATGCTGACTCATAAAGGGTAACCCTCCCCCCAAGACTGAGACTTCACGAGATGACTGTACATACTTCATTCAGTCTTTTTCCTTAGATTCACATCTCTTAAAATGTTAACAAATCAAAACGCCGAATTCAAAATGTTTCTTTTCGTCTTAAATTCTCATTTTGTTTTAAGTACCTCTTGTCTTGCATGTGATCCCAACTAAACCCTGTTATTTGATTCAGGACTGAAGTTGGTAAATAATTGATAACTACTCTGCCAACAAAGATTTAAATATTCTGCAGCAACAAAGTTTGTTCCGACCCTCCCCACCCCATCCCCATCTGAAACACAGCGCTTAGCCCTGAAAATTTGTTTAATCTAATTTATCAAAAAACTTGGAATAAAGATGTAAACTTGTTAAAAAGTTTTATTATAATACATTTTCATGTTTAAACATTTTTTTCGCCTTGTAGGTGTGAAATAAATTGTAGCAACTAGATATTACTAGGTTTCCATTAAGTGTTCGGAAGGGGATTCATGAATTATTCAAAGTTTTAATATTATTTCTAGTCTAGCAAGTTCAACGTCAAAATCTTCATCAAAAAAAAAAAATCATATTTTAGTTTATTACAGTTACCTCAAAATTCTATTCTTATCTTTAGCCTCCGAAATCACTTCTCCCTTTTCTCGTAGTTCTGTTTTATGGAAGAAATATTCATTTTAAAAAAATTAAAAAAAAACCGACAACTAACTCTCAAATGAAAAGTTTAAAGGCGTTAATCTACCTAAAACCCCAGTCCAACTTTTTTACAGAGATATGCTGATAATGTCATATTCACAACTGTATTCTTTATCTAATGCAATATATAGTGATATTGTTGCTTTTCTTTGTCTTTGACAGTGTTCAATTCTAATATATTCATATTCATTTGAATCTGCAGAAGATAAATTTCACTAAGAGAACCCACAGTTGAAAATAATCAATTTTCAAAGAGAAAATAATGAGTCTCTCATGCATTCTTTGGCAAGAATACCAACATAACCCGGACAAGCCACTGGATACGTAAATAAAATCTTAACTTCGTTTTCCTTAATTTTCAAATTTTATTGTATTAATTGTTCCATGGTCTCTGTATTAATTGCAGTCGAGAAAACATTACTATTACAGGAAATAAAATCATGAGCAACATTTTAAAAACACAGCTCCCGGGAAGTCTTCATATTCATATGGATGCATATTGCATGATAAAGCATTATGTAGAAGGCAGTCACAATGCACATTGCACGCAGTTAAAGAGTCAGGGGCGTACTTCAGGGGAGACCTAACACCCCCCAGATCACAAATAGACATGCACCGCCCTCCACTCCCCTCAAAAAAATGCACATAAAACTCCCCTAAGCTTGATGCCAATATTCTGTTTTATATTCATATTGTTTTAAGAACACAAAAATTTGGACTTAATTAATTCATAACTTAATTAAATGGTGTTCCCCTTTTAATTTAAATTTGTGGACACTAGACAACACAAAAGAAGTGTAAGGGAAGGTGATAATTACAAGAAATGAGGCCGCTCTGGCGCTCAAACTAAACACCATTTCGAATCCATATTGCGTATATTTCATTAAAAAAATCACTTATTCATAATATTATATTTTCGTAAGGTATGTCAGAGCGGAGCTGAATTATTTTTGAAGAGCTTTAATCGTTGGGAAAGTGGAAGTGAACGATTTTCAGGGGAAATAAATGAATTTTAAGAGGAAAATTTCACCTAACATTTTCATTTTTTCAAGTTATCCCTCAGCGCCAAAAAAAAAATCTCCCCGTGTGCAAACCTTGTAAATATATATCTTGTAAAAAATATCACCCTAACATTCTAACAATGACCCCCCCCCCCCCCACGATAAATTTGATCAAAATGAATTTTTCCCTTGAAGAATATCTTTCCAGAGAGAGTTGAGTTCCATCATTCTAAATCTGTAAAATTAATTTTTATCCAACAAAAAAAAAATCAAAATTAAAATTTATTTCTTTATAATGACAACTATCCGATGATGTCTGATGTAAATGATGCACCCTGCGACCGACAGGGCGTGTTGCTCTAGCACCCTCGTACGTGAAGCGATACCACTTGCAAGCACATTTTTGGAACAGCCTTCCTATACGAACATTTTCACAAGATTTTTGCACCCCGGGACTGGCAACAAATTGTATTCTTTGAAAATCCGAATATCTTGATTCAAATAAGTCGCCAACTTTCCATTTTAACAATTTATCATCTGTGAAGTTTCATTTTCAGAAATCTGAAAATATAAAAAATTTATAAGAAAGAACTTTTAGAGAAATTTAGTAAGCAGAGGCAAGTATCCATCTCTGTTTGGAGGGAGTTCCAGCTGTTTTCCAGACTCTGTTGGATTGAGACCAAGTATTTTCTCAATTCTGGGTCAGATACTATCGTTTCTCCGTGAACCTAAAAAATCAAATTATTATTTAAAAAAATAATGATAAAAAAATCAAAATGCTACTGGGGGTCCCAAAAAATCCAAGGGAATTGAGAAACTTCTTGAAACTACTCTGTTCTTTTAATTACAAAATGGCGTATTTCAAGAATAATTTTATAAATCGTTACTAGAGTCTCAAGTTTGAAGACAGTTATTGCTTTAACCCAAGATTAATATAGCTACCTAGAGTTTTCTCATAGAATTCGGGAGATCGTTTTTTTCTCTTCAAAAATCCTTTCACTTTTATTCCAAAAAAATGAACAATAAGGCTTTTAAAAAAAAAGAAAGAAAAAAAGTCGTAAAATTACCTTAATAAAGAGACCAAGATGTGCCTGAACAGCCTCGAAATTCGTATTCTTCTTTAACTCCAACTCAAGCATCTCCAGAAACTGGGACATCAGGGGCACTGATCCACCTCCCTCGGGACCTGGCAGACATATCAATCAATCAATAAATCAATCAATCAATCAGCCAATCAATCAATCAATCAAAAACCCAACCAACCAACCACCCACCCACCATAAATCCATGAGCTAGTATAACATTAATCTACAAATCAATCATCTACGATGAAATCAATCCTCCTATCAATCAATTATCTTCTATGCTAGTACAACACCAATGAGGAGCATGGCATCAAAAAAGTAAACCATCAATAAAAAAAATAAATCATTCCATCAAAGACTCAATCAAGAATAATATCAATCATTCCCGAGACCCATGTCATCTTAACAGGCGGTCATACAATCATTTGTCTTACAAATCATTTGTCATACATATAATTCGTCCAGTAGATCATTTTTCCTACAGAGCGGGGTAAACATAATTTGTCCCACACATCATTTGTCCTAAACATCATTTGTCCTACAAATCATTTGGCCTACAAGTCATTTGTCCTACAAATCATTAATCCTACAACTCGGAAAAAAATCTTTGTCCTACACATCATAAAATATTTACATATAAATCTGTTAAAGATACAACTTTGCACCACACGACGCTAATCACTGTTTTTTTTACTCACCCTGTATTTACTTAGGTCTTTGGGTAAAACGACATAGGGTCAAAAATTGTGACAACCGGACAATTTTTTTGAGAGACAGCACATCAACAAAATAAGGTTAGAACAGCTTATTATTTAACATTTAAAGGCCGCAGCGCTCAACCCCCTAGCCCATCCTAGCCGCAGCCCTCGGCATAGAATTTGTCTTAACCTAACCCAAAATGAGGTGAGAGACAACATTTCATTTAACATTCAAGATGCCGCAGCACTCGGCCCCCTAGCTCATCCTAGCCGCAGCGGCATAGAAATTATTTTACAACCAAAATAAGGTGATATGCCAGCATATTATTTAACATATCAAAAGAAGTCAAATTCAACTTTACTAAAGAACAAATAGAGTGTAGGACAAATGATATTATCTCCTCTCTGTAGAAAACTGAGGCTTAGACAAATGATGTATATGACAAATGATGTATAGGACAAATGAAGTTTTCCTCGCCCTTTAGACAAATGATTTGTATGACAAAAAAATTCTTACTTAAAGATCTGATCTCAATGTCTAGTGCTGAAGGTCCTTTCTCCAAGAACTCCTTATACATCTCCCCAAAATCCTCGGGTGTTTTTGCCTTCAAATCCGCCAAACATTAAACAAATTAAAAAAGGCGCTTTAAACAAGTTGGCGTCTAGGAAAATTATATGAAAATACGGAAAAATAAAGGCACCATTCAGTTTCACAAAATATCAATAACATCCAATGAAAAAACAAGTGGCTGAATGACATTTCTACAAATTTATTTAATTAGCATAAAAACCGCATTTTATTTTGCTATGAATAAATGTTTGTGAATTTTTCCTGTCCGAGTGCTTTCCCGAACGGTGTAAAACTTGTTATGTTGGTAAGAAACCTCGTGTTCTCAGATCCGTCTTTCTTCTCTTCAATCAGGAATCTAGAGAAAAAAATAAAGTTTTAATCGTGAAAATATCAATTCATGATCCAAAATTATATTTACTAAGCTATCTTTTTGTTGAACTTTTAACTGTTGCTCAACCTTTCATCATTTTCATATTGATAAAACAAACAAAAAATTTGCTGCAGATTTACAATTTTTGTCGAAGATTTTAAAATTTACGGAAATCGAAAATTTGTGGAGACAACCTTTTGTATTTCTAATTATTTCTAAACCTTCCCTTGGGTCATGTGAGGTCACACAAAAAATCTGGGACGGATCGGCTTGACCGTGATGACGTTTATTGGATACAAACAGACAAATATTTAGACGGACAAGCAAATTATACAAATATATAATTTAAATTTCAAAATCCAAAAAGCTACTTACTGCTGCTCTAGACCCGGCACTGTTGGAAGGAAGAAAGGAGCAGCTTTTGGTTTCTTAGGAGCAGCCCGAGGTTTGTTCTTGGCTTTAATCACGTCCAGGTTTAGCAGATTCAACCATCTTAATTAAAAAATTGAATTATATATAGAATAAGTTTTGAACACTAACATTCATATTATCATGCGCAAATGTTCATGAAATATCTATATCTATGAAAGGCTGAAAGAATAAACATGAATGAAAAATTTCAGGACAAATAATATAAATGACCAATTGACCAAATGACCAAATGACCAAATGATCAAATGACCAAATGACCAAATGAACAAATGACCAAATGAACAAGTGACCAAATGACCAAATGACCAAATGACCAAATGACCAAATGACCAAATGACCAAATGACCAAATGACCAAATGATTAAATGACCAAATGACCAAATGACCAAATGACCAAATGAACAAATGAACAAATGAACAAATGACCAAATGACCAAATGAACAAATGAACAAATGACCAAATGAACAAATGTTATCGCTAAGCGCTATACAATTCTCAGTGGTTTACTTGCTGAATTTTTGTTTAACAAATATTTTAAAAAGATGAACTAAGATGCATTTTAATTTCACATTTTCTCCCCGCACCATATAAAATCATTTCATATATGAGACTCCCTATGCGCCCCCCGGGGGGGGGGGCACCCGTAGAAGGGGCAAGTGCACCCAGTGCCTCCCCCCTTGTACGCCTCTGTATACCTTGATGTTGGTAGGTTCGCAAGTGTTATCAAATCTTCTCTTAGCTGTTCAGGAGACGCAAACACATTCTCACCCTGGGATATATAGATAGTAAGTTAATCTTTGGTCGAGATAAAGCAAGAATATGCCCTGAAGATGGTTAAATAAACCGAAAATTTGGCAAAAAGTGTTTTTGTTTCACGGATCTGATAGTGTTAGATTTAGATGAATTGTAGACAGTTAGATAGGTATATAGATGGATGGTCACTGATCAGTTGGTTAGGTCTACTTGGTAAACGTGTAGAAACTGCGTTTAACTCATGTTATGATTTTTGATAGTCAAATGAAAGACAAAAAACATAAAACAGGAATTTTAAAACAAACATCCAATAAACATGAGATTTCTTCAAAGTCGTCATCTTATCCCATTAGTGTATATTCAAGAAATTAAAAGTAATCTAAAGCTTTGGTCTTGAACTGAATGCTATAGTTGCGTTGGTTAATTGATAAGTCTATTTGTGAATTGATAAGATTGTTGACCTCTGTATCAATCTCCATCTTCATCTCCTCCTCCACTCCCTTCTCTCCCCTTGGAACAGCAAGATGTTGAGGTAGACAGAGCTGAAGAGGTTCAGCTCCAGAAGGTACTGGAGCCAGGGAAAGATGCTGATACAGGGACTTATTCATCCATAGATATATACCTAGTAGATAATTAATATAATAATAATAATACTGAAGCCAGGGATAGATGCTGATACAGGGACTTATTCATTCATAAATATAAACCTAGTAGATAATTAATATGAATAATAGAGTAAAAAGGGATGACTGATAAATAAGACTAAAAGGAGAACAAAAAAACAAAGAAGATAGAAAAAGAAGAAGAAGAAGAAAAATAAAGATCTGAATTGAATAAATAAATGAATAGAAAAGATAAAAGGAAAAACAAATAAAGAAATGATAAAAAGCTTAAAATGGAAGGATAAATAAAAAAGTAAATAAATATTGTAATGTCTTCAACAGCGTCATTATCAAAATAATAGAACTGAACAGTAATACAAATACAGAATGAAGAGATAATGAAAAAAAAATAAGTGAATGAATTATAAAAAAATATTTCAGAATAAACAAATAAAAGTCGGCTAATTTTACCTAGATCGTCAACATGAGATGAAGCCAGCATATCCCCTGCTGGACTAAAATCTATAGATGTGGCTGGCGAAGGGAAACTGAAGAAATCTATACAGTGACCAGATGGCAGGTCCCACACTCTGTAATAATTTAAAAAATATTTAATTTTCAGAATATATTTCAATTTTATCTTAGAAAAAATAGTTATGAACATTATTAATTCTTCAAAAGCAAATGTGGGGAAAAAACCGAAAAATTCAGTTTTGAGAAAAAAATTTTACTTTCAAACAAAAAACTAATTAATACAATATGCAATCAATTGCAAAGAGTCAAGAAGACGTAAAACCATTTCTTCTCCAAATTCAGAAAATATTTGTTACTAGGCTTTTAGGGCGCTTCGCGCCAATCTTCTATTTAAATTGTGAACATGTTCTTTTTGTTTACATTTTAAAACAAAGAAATTTTTTTTGCGGATTTAAAAAAAATCGCGGATTTTCAGGAATTTAATTTTTTTTTACAAAATTAAAAACCTTTAAAGCACATTTTTTTTAATTTTTATCATACATAAACCTTCCCTGTGGTCACGTGATGTCCCACAAAAAATGTGGGCCCGATCGGTTCAGCCGTTTTGACGTTTATTGGATACAAACAAACAAACAAACAGACAGACAGACAAGCCAAATTTATATATAGAAGTCAAGGTGGACCCGGATGCTAAAATCCAGATCCATATTTTCAGAGAACGGATCAAGAATCCGGATGTAAATAGAACCAAACCTTGTTGTAGTGTCAAGACTAGATGTAACCAACCATCTACCATCATGAGAGAATGCCATGTCAGTTAACCCAGCCTTGTGACCTTGAAATTTTCTCACTACAGTCCTGTAAGTAAGAATTTATGATTAACTTGACAATTATTTATCAAGTTATAGCTTAAAAGTTTTTTTAATGAAATATTCTAATGTTATTCACTTTATTTGTCTGTTTGCTTTATCACTATTTTTTAATTTTTTTTTTATTTTTGTTAACCAATTCTGTCTACAATGTGTTTACCTTGTATCAATGTCTACAAGAACAACAGTAAATGTCTCTAATGCACAAGCTAACAGACTGCTATCTCTGTGAAGACGGATCTGTGACAGCTCTCCCTCTAGAACTGAAAAAAGACAAATATGATGAAATAAGATAAAATTCCTCCCCGAGGTCCGACGAATGTAGTATATTTTTTGCTCAAACTAATAATTAAGAAAAATAATCACACACCCATTTACAATTTTTGTCGAAGATTTTAAAATTTACGGAAATCGAAAATTTGTGGAGACAACCTTTTGTATTTCTAAGAATATCTTAAGGGGGGGGGCCGGGGGCGGTCCAAAAATCGTATACTAGGACGGACCCAATAAATGTGTTTTTTGTTCGGGGGATTTTTTTAAAACTCAGTATTCACATTTTACAGCCCCCCTTTTTTAAAAAAAAAGCTGTTGAGGTGGGAAAGTAATTCTTGAAAACTTAGCTTAATCCTACATTTAAACTTAATTGTCCAATTGTAGACGTATCAATAAAAATACGAACCTAGTTTCCCTATCATTTCCTTGCTTTTAAATCTCCAGAATTTCAGAATACCAGCACTGTCACCACTGATGACCTGGATATGTACAAACATTTTAAGGGGAGCATTCGCAAAACATTTAATGGGGGATTTGCTTACGGCGAAAAAAAGCGCTTTTGAAATATCAACTTCATAAGAATGCGTCGAAAAATTATCTATTATTGGTTGTAATATCTGAATGATTTGTTTGGAATTAAATTTTTTTTTTTTATGATCAGAGTTGAATGTTGCAACTTTCTGAATTTGTATGGACGCTACGTTCTTCGGTATGAGTCGTTTTTAACAATGTTCACCTTATAGACACAAAAGATAGAAGTGAGATTAGTAGCAATCAACAGAGCTTACTTTTCGCTGTAAGCCTATACAGTACACCCTTTCTTTTTTCGCGAATACTCCCTTTAAGAGAGAGGCGCCATTGTCCTGTGTCACGTTAAAAAGTGGCCGGGCGTTCGAGGTAATGTCTGGGCTACTGTATTTCGGTCTTAAACATCAAACTTCAAATTGTTTAAATAAATTCTTTTACATTATTCCACTAATTAATTATTATTACATAATTTTACATGTGCAAAAGATTAAAGTTAAAATAGTCATGTTTTTAATTTGATAAAAGCAAGACGACATTCGGGACGGAATATTGTTTTTTTTACATCTTTTCTAGTTCTTCTACATTTAAAAATTCATCAACAACATTTTTAAAATTAGAATGTGTTTAATAATGCGTTCACAACTTTATAAAGTGGGGAATATAGGACCCAACTACCAGGGTGAAATTACTACCTGCTGGTTAAGCTGGTCTGATGCAACACCTCTCAATGGATTCTAAACAGGGAGAAAGGAATAGAAGGGAGATATAACTGACGCGGTTCGCCCTACCATATAATTATACATGCTTTGCAGACGGTACTTCATTCGAATAAGAAATTTTGTCTGATGTACAATTACCGCGTATACAATAACCTTTTCTGAATATTTCATATACATATACCCGTCTGCAAAGCATTTATAATCATATGGTAGGGCGAACCGCGTCAGTTATATCTCCCTTCTATTCCTTACTCACTGATTCTAAAACCAAAAAAATGTTAGTTCTAATTCAATTTAAATGGGGTTTAATAATTCGACGGTGGTTGAAATAATTCTGAAATTTTTTTTCACAGGGGCGTTTATAAGAGTTAACATATAGTCTAGGTGGAAGAAAAAAAGGCCGAAGGATTTAAGAGAAAACATAATCTGTTTTAGATAATCTTAAGCAATCCCTTATTTATATTTATAAAGTTGTAATCTCTGTATGTCTGTTTGTATGTCCGATCATAACTTAGAAACACTTTAACCGGTTGGCCTAAAATTTTGATTTGGGAACTCGGAGAGAACCACGGGAATATTCTTAGCTTGGTTTTGATATTCTTAATCAAGTGGGTCCACTTTTATACGTAAAAATAGCCAACAAGCGGGTAAACGGCAGGAGTAACTAAATGTACCCTGGGGAACGCTGGGTTCTCAACCTAGTACAGCATTCAATATATATCTCCGACTGTACCTTATGTGCTGGATGTGAACCGTGATTGAACTCTCCTCTGTGAAGTCCAGATTGAATATTGAACCTGAAATTTACAAAATTATAAAAAAAAATATTAAGAAAGTTAATCAAATCCAAGAAACTTCTGTAATGCTAGCTTACTTGATTAAAAATACTATAAAGTTTTAGAAATACAGGGTGTAGTAGTCATTCACAGGACTAGAAACTTATGTTTTTTGTCCCCATGACCGGGTAAATAATCGTAACATGTCCAGAGTCCGCGTGACCGGAAACTAATCTTACCTGTCCACATGACCGGAAGAGTAGCCAATTATAGCAAAATTTCCACAAGCAGATAGGCAGAGACAGGTAGCTTTAGCGTGCTTCAGACTTTTATCAGATCTAAATAGAGGAAACTAGTTTAAGTTTATTAGAGTAATAAGTTGTTTACTTGAATCTGTCATGAACTAGTTTAAGTTCTCCCATCTTCTGTTTATTCCAACTCCAAGTGGTGGTAACCTCAAGTCCTCTGTGAATACAACCTGAACAGTGAACACTTAAGATATTTTTTCCTATAAAAGTAAATGGGGACCACGCAAATTTTACCTTACAGAAATTGGATCAACTAGAAAATAGTATACTAATAAATGTTGTAAATTCCTTGATATTTCCTCCAGTATATCTGAAGTCAAGATAAAACTTCTTGAGGTCAATGAGAGATGACAACAAAAGAAGTCTGTTACTCAAGCAAATTTAAAGTATTAGCTGTGGGGATATCAATTACAGAAATAGTAGAATAGCATTATTTATAACAAAAGTTCCTAGGTCCGTTAACTCTTACAAGTCTACGACTAGCTTCTTCAATTCAATTCATAAGGTTTAGGGATTGCTTTAGGCTCCTTTATACAGGGTGAGGTTTCAATTCACTGTGTACTTAAGTTCCTAGCTCAGGACTTATTAAGTCCGTTATCTCTGTACAAGTCTACGACTAGCTTCTACCTTTATTATCTAACTTTGCCTCTCTTGTACTCTCTGTGGTAAGGTCTATGACTGATGCCTACCTATATTATCCCACTCTGTCTCTCTTGTACTCTCTGTGGTGAAGTCTATGACTGGTGCCTACCTATATTATCTCGCTCTTTCTCTCTTGTACTCTCTGTGGTAAGGTCTATGAATGGTGCCTACCTATATTATCCCACTCTGTCTCTCTTGTACTCTCTGTGGTAAACTGGTGCCTACCTATATTATCCCACTCTGTCTCTCTTGTACTCTCTATGGTAAAGTCTATGACTGGTGCCTACCTATATTATCCCACTCTGTCTCTCTTGTACTCTCTATGGTAAAGTCTATGACTGGTGCCTACATATATTATCCCACTCTGTCTCTCTTGTAGTCTCTGTGGTAAAGTCTATGACTGGTGCCTACCTATATTATCCCACTCTGTCTCTCTTGTAGTCTCTGTGGTGAAGTCTATAACTGGAGGCATCCTAGCTGGGTCTTCTACTACACGATGCTTCTTACTAAGTTTCCTAAACAGTGATGTATTTTTTATACTTCCATTTGACATTATAGGAAAAATTCAAAGTTTTTTTCTCTCGAAGTTGGTAAAATAGATTTCTTATTGTTTCTGGAAAGAGAAAGTTGATTTTAGAAGTTATTTGCACATATGATATTTTATCGCTTTGTTTCTTTGCCAGAAATTCATGGTTTTTGCAACAAAAAAAAAGCATTTTAGCTTAACAAAAGAAAAAAGAAGACCATACTTAACAAAACCAAAAATTGAGGAAGGGATCTATTTAAATATTTACTCCTAAGGTTTAACCTGTTAAAACTAGCGTGTCCCAAACTCTTGTTGAGTGTATCTGTTTGAGTGCTGAACACTCGCATACTACTGTCTTGACCTAAGAAAATAATTTAGTGAAGGAAATTCTCTTTGTCTTAAAGGGACTTTAAGCGTAATTTCAAGTGACATTCCATTTAAAGGGTACCGTTGTGAATCAAGGATGACCCTCCTTAATTGGAAGGTCACTTGAAATTACGCTTCCGATCCATTAAAGAGACAAATATAAAAAAATTCCGCTTTTAAACAGAATGCCCTGTGGATTAATTTTAAGTTAGACAGGGTATTTTTCCTTTAAACTGTTTAACATCGATATTTTAACTATTACATCTCAAGTACAATGTTCATGAAAAAACCATAATAATCAAATTTTAATACTTACGTCATAAGTGTCAACTTAGTTTTTGTGTCCGACACTTTATTAATAATATTGAAAGTTTTGGGAAAAGCTGCTTATTTTAGTTTAAGAAGTACAATTTTGTTTTCTTCTTTTTTCTGTTTACACTTTTTTATAAACATATATATAAACATGTTTATAAACATATCAACTGATGTGAAAAACTTCGTTTTCCTTGTTGTATTTGACACTTGTGACGTCTCGTATAATTTGTTCATTTCTCTGTTGCCATCTATTGTACTTGATAATCTATTTGATAATGATAATATTTCAAAATTCTTTGTGCACGTCCTGTTGACTGTTGAGCCTAAAAAATGATATCAAGTTAATACCTGCTGAAAGGATATTTTTGCCCAGTGCTCCGTAGAATCGTACTTTACTGGGCGGAGCTGCATGACCTTCGCGGTACCTAATAACAATAACAGATGGCGTTAAAATCAAATCAGAGTTATAGAAGTCCGCTCTTCTTCCACCTCTCAAATTCAAAGTGTATTTTCTAAATCAAGAATGAGATATGGCATCAAGGTTTGTACAATGTACATTTATTTATACTGTGTTTGATGATTCATTTCAAATCTTAAATTCAGAGAATTGTGATAAATACAGCAAAGCAGCCAGGCGTAATTTCCAGATCCACCCCAAAAAAAATTGGCCGGAATCAAAAGTAATTGAATTTTTATCTTACTAGAAAAAGAGGATAAGGGGACGATATATTGACAAAACACAATGAGGACGCACAACCAATATTAGGACGCACATACATGAATAGATCGCAGCTTTATAATATAAAATACATAAAGTTTCATGTTATATATGAATATATGACATTAACGATATATAAAATGTATATAAACTATGCAACTATGCATCCTTTGCATTTAAAAAAGGGTATTATTATTCCTATGGTCTCATATTAGACCTCTATTGACCTGAGAAGACGGGCCCCTGAGTCAGGCATGTCAAAAATCCACATTTTCAGAGTATTGTCACCAGAACTAGTGATCATTAAAGGTTCTCCATGCAGGCATTCCAATCCTTACATAAAGAAAATTTTGATATAAAAAAAAATTCACACTCATATCGTAAAATTTACTCGAATATTATTAAATGTATGTTTTTGGTTAATTAAATCCCCCCCCCCCCCCCGGATCCGGATCCAGGTTCTTTCTTTAGGATTTACTGTAATTTTTTAACAAAGCAGAATTTAAAATTTTATTGTCTTATTTTTTTCGCATATTATTAAGCTAAATTTGACGAACCACTCAGAAATCAGAAAAAAATTTATAATCTCTCTTTTTTTTAGTTCACATTTGGATTAAGAAAGTAAAAAAATTTTTTTGTTGCAGTTTTTGGTTGATATTGTACCCCTTGGATCCGGATCCGTGGATCCGCATATTTTTGCGAATCCGGATCCAGAAAGCAAAAATCTTGCGGGTCCAACGGATCCTCAGCACTGCTTATCAGAATAGATAGAAAGGGAATGAATTCTCTTACCTTGAACGGGTTGTGAATGAACCCCTCGCATCTGTGAGACAAGTTTCCGTTCCTCTAAACTCCAGACTGCGATATTACCAACATTTGATCCACTCAGTAGACAGGGAGGTCCTAAATTCATTCTTTTAATATTGACAATTTTAAATATGTTTGTGCTAAGGAAAAGAAAAATTTATTCATCCTAATTATCACAATGTAAAGATGGATTTTTCTTTTTTAATTGTTAAACTTTATAATGGCAAGCATGGGTGTTTTTCTTTGAGAATTATCCACAATAGCAGGAACGGTGTGAGATATAATTTTCGATAATGGATTTGGGGTGGGGAATGGAGGGGTTGAGTTTTTCCACCCTTTCTGGGTAAAAAAAATAACAATAAATTTTATAATTACATTTAAGTTAAACTCATTGAAGTAATAGATAAACTTTTTTTAATTCAAAAAGATTTCTAGTATTGACGGGCAGAATTGAAAAGAATCTGTTTAAATGAGCTCCAGGCATATATTTTTCACAACAAATTCTTTTTCGATAAACGTAAAAATATTTAAGATCTTTGATGAGGTCTCAGCCATGACTTCTACGGAATGATGGTTGATTGTTTGATTGTTTGTTTGTTTGTTTGTAATTCTACTAAATTCAAAATATCATTATCAACAGTGGAAGAAAACATTTTCTTCGAAGGGCAAACGAAAAGATTTTTGTAAACTCCAGGGTGAATCCTACCGTCTGTTCTGAAGGCTAGTGCTGTGACTGCTCCCCAGTCCTGGTGGAACTTGACAACAACCTCGTCGTACTTGAGGTTGTGGAGGAGAATATCTCCGCTACGAAGACCAACTGCAACTACATCCAGGGCCGGAGCCTGCTCAATGCATTCTACTCCGGAGCCCCAACCTAGAATAATATATCATTATGAGTGATCAGATTTAAAGCGACTGTAAACGAAATTTCAAGTACCCCGTCCATTTATAGTGGAATTACCGTTTCAAAACTTTATCTTATCAAACATGTATTCGTTATTCCGTTTTTAATTTTTAGAAACTGATTATTTTCATCTGTGGTTTCTCTAAAACAAAAGTTACTTGCGCATTTCTTGCATAGAAACAATGGAGAAATTAACAAAATTAAACACTTTTTAACTTCTTCCACATTTTTGACCATATTAAGAGCTTGAAACTATGAGGGTACCGTCGAGAATCGGTCATGCACCTCTATAAATAATCGACTTAACTCAAAATTTGAGCACCCCAAAAACCACTAAACTAAATATTAATGTCCAAAAAATGGCTCAAGATGGCAAGGGTGTTTATCTTTATTTTATTTTCAATAAAAACTAAGTTAGAAACCTTTAAATGTATAAACAAGTTTGGTAGATTTCAGGTTCCAGAGCTGAAGAGACCCCTGCTCACTTCCAATCAAAATCTAAAGAAGAAAAACATTAGTTCCATTTTGAGGAGGAATTTTTTTACAATTTTTAAAATCTAAATTGCTTTAAACAGACTGTATGCATAATTTCAAGTGACCTTCCATGTATAGAGGACAATGCCCGATATATAATAGTACCTTAAAACCTTTCAGTGTTAAAATTAACGAAACCCGCTTGTTCGTGGTGTAAGTAGGTTTTAAGGGTTCCCTTGAAAATCGGGCATTGTCCTATTTGCACGGAGAGTCACTTGAAATTACGCTTACAGTCCCTTTAACCAGGGTTGTATGACATAGAAATCCAAACAACTTTGGAGAACAAATTTCTGTGTAAAATCAATTTTTGTAGGTCGCACAAGACTTTGAATGAAAACAAAAATATATTAAAAATCACTTTAGGTAAAATTATGTCATCAATATACTATGATGTGAAAATTGAAAATTGCTCAAGTTTGGTAAAAAGCAGGTAATAATGACCTTATTACAAAATTTACATCATTAACTGTTTTTATCCTTCTGGGACATTTTATTTAAATTCAAGTTTAACATTCCATGTATAAAAGTTTTACTGCATACAGTGAGAACGAAAAACTGTGGAATAGGATGACGACGTTAAAGCTTTACTTAACTGTATTTGATGTAGTTACAAAGCAAATAATTTTACTAGCAACTTATTAAATCAGTTATTAAGTTAAATTGGCCTGTTTACACTTGCATAGGAACAATGCTGTGTTTCATGGTCATTGCACTGTTAAAAGTCAAAAATTAAAATAGTCTTCCTATTCCAGAGCTTTCTGTTTCTCAATTTTACTATAGTGTAGTCAATCAAAGATCAAATTTAATGAATTTGAGCCAGGTCTAAAGACGGTTCAACCACGTATCTTGAATCGGATTTGTCCATGTTCTATTGATATAACTACACTGCACCGCAGAACTACGAATAAGTATTTGAATCGACGATAGATAGTTGAGCGACCTAGCTCAAATTCATTAAATTCGGTCCCCGGTTACCTTGTCCAGGTAAGTGCTAGGATGACAGATTGCTGAAATCTTGAACTTTTCAGAGTTAAACGTTAACTCCAATTCTTCAACACCTGTCTTGATATCCCACACCTTTATGACATTTAATAAAAAATAATGAAAAAATTGATAAACAAATTGATGGAAAATTAATTACAAAAATTGTTGGGATATTATTTGAAAAATCGATAAAATTATATATATAAATGAAACATAGATGAAAAATGGAGATAAAATGGTTTAAGAAAGATGAGAGAAATTGAAAGAATAGACGAGGAATGTAGAAAGAAAATTAATAAATGAAAAATTATGAAAAAATATGAAAAATGTATAAAATATGGTTAAACTAGTAAGACTATACAAATGAATTAATAGAACTATTAATGTTATTATATAAGGATAATTAGATACTTAAATTAAATACAATATGTGAAAAAATTAATGAACAAGAAAAAATCATTTTATACCGAATGAATAAATAAATGAAATGGTGAATGAAAGAATGAATAATCTAAAAATAAAAATGAAATATAAACCTTGAGTAATGATTTTAAATCAACTGAGATAAGTTTAGGTCCGAATGGGAAAAGCAAATGAACTGGATTGTCATGCCCCTTCATTATTCTCTGCAACTCACAACCTAACAATAAACAATTAGTTCTATAAATTTTATTGAATTTTTGTCATCTTAGTTTTTCTGTTTGACGTTTGTATGTCCGATTATAACTCCTGAACCCCTTGATCGATTTGCCTCAAATTGTTTGGGGGGAACTCGTGATAACCACGGGAATGTGCTTAGCTTGGTTTTGATATTCTAAATTAAGTGAGTCCACTTTTATGGGGAAAAATAGCAAAACTCGTAATTTACGACCACATGCGGGTAACCGGCGGGAGCAACTATGAGTACCCTGGGTAAACTGGGTTCTCAAGCTGGTATCTTTGTAAAGTAATTAATCACTTGCGTGAAACTCTTGTATTTAAAATCCTTAGTTCCGACATATCTTTGTCAGCCAACATAAGATAACTACAGAGGCATAGAGGACATAAATATTAAGTTTCTTCGATATATATACTTTGCTTGTCTGTCTGTTTGTATCCAATAATCGTCAAAACGACTGAACCGGTCGGGCCCAAATTTTGAGTGGGGCCTCAAAATCACCCAAGGGAAGGTTTTTGGAACATTAAAATTGGAAAAACAATTTCTGAAAAATACTTAACATTTTTTAAATGCGATAATTCGAAAAGGAAATCCGGCAAAATTTGAAAAAGGCCTTCAGAGCATCAGGTAAAAACTAAAATAATTTACAGAAAAGGGGGCGCGGAGCACCTTGAATGCCTTGTTGTTAATATTTAACCCTGACAAACCTCTTCTCCAGGCGTAAATATCTGTTCCTGCAGCTGTAAACACGAGGTAGGCATCTGCAGCTAGTGCAGTTATATCCTAAAAATGTTTTAGTAAATATCTGTTCCTGCAGCTGTAAACACGAGGTAGGTATCTGCACCTAGTGCATTTATATCCTAAATATATTTTAGTATCTGTTCCTGCAGCTGTAAACACGAGGTAGGTATCTGCAGCTAGTGCAGTTATTTCCTAAATATATTTTAGTATCTGTTCCTGCAGCTGTAAACACGAGGTAGGAATCTGCAGCTAGTGCAGTTATTTCCTAAATATATTTTAGTATCTGTTCCTGCAGCTGTAAACACGAGGTAGGTATCTGCAGCTAGTGCAGTTATATCCTAAATATATTTTAGTAACATATTTTAAATTTTATTTCAACCATTGTAGACAGACAAAGAAATGTAAAAAAATTGCTAATTTTTTTGTTTATTGGAAAATAAATTAATTAGAAATTTAAAGCTTATGTATTTAATTTCTTGAACACACCTCTTAAAAATCAATTTCCCAAACAATTGTGTTGTTTACTTACCTCTGGATGTTGTTTACTCACCTCCGGATGTTGTTTACTCACCTCTGGATGTTGTTAACTCACCTCTTGATGTCGTTTACTCACCTCTGGATGTTGTTTATTAACCTATGGATGTTGTTTACTCACCTCTGGATGTTGTTTACTCACTTCTGGATGTTGTTTACTCACCTCTGGATGTTGTTAACTCACTCCTCGATGTTGCTTACTCACCTCTGGATATTGTTTACTCACCTCTGAATGTTTTTAATGTTTTCTAACCTCTGGATGTTAGTTACTAACCTCTGGATGTTCTTTCCTCACCTCTGGATGTTGTTTACTCACCTCTGGATGTTCCTTACTCACCTCTAGAAGTTGTTTACTCACCTCTGGATGTTGTTTACTCACCTATGGATGTTGTTTACTCACCTCTGGATGTTGTTTATTAACCTCTGGATGTTGTTTACTCACCTATGGATGTTGTTTACTCACCTCTGGATGTTGTTTACTAACAGAGAGGATACCAAGCCTGTTGCTTCCATAAGTATGAAATGATTTCCCTGTCACAGTGATTATGAGATGTTCCTTCCTACTCGTGATGTACCTAGATAATTACACTAATAAAAATAATAATAATAATAATAATACATTTATACAGTTTTAAACCTCGACTACAAGTAGAAAAAGAAGGGGGAGACTGCAGGGTTACGACTTAGTCCCAAACAATAATTCCTCTTAAACTCCCGTGGTAGTCACGCCCTTCGGGATAACTTTAATTGGGAGATCAAGCATTTACCCGAAAAATTCAAAAGTGCCCACATTAGAAATCAAGATCAAGCGTTCACGATTCCCGATAATCCACACAAAAATTGCAACCTCAGACCATGTCAATTCAGGGTTATCCTTCCCATCATTTTTTGGCAAATTTGGTTCAGTTGTGTCACACCTGATACACATTTATTATGGGAGGAAGCATGCTTCACGTTAAAATCAAACTCAAGTTATTTCCAAGATCTTGACGATTTAATTTGGTATCTGGTGCACTGCTTTGGAGGTAGGTTTCTTTATATTCACTATTCAGCAACCGCCAGACCGGCTTAACAGATCAGGCCCCTGAGGAGCGAGACCATCAAAAGAACTGTCAATGTGTTTTCACGTAACTGAGTTTAAAGTTAAATTATAATTTCGCGCTTTGTTCAACAACGCTCGAAAGTTAATTACCGTATAAAACATTGAAAAAAAAATTTCACTTAAATTTCATGTTTTAGTTTTAAGAGAAATAGAGGTAATAAATGAAAAAATACACGAGGGATGGAACCCCTGGACGACATGAGCCTCTGCTATGCAGACACGAGCCTCCAGTATGCAGACCGTGCCTCCGATATGCAGTATACGAGCATGCATCATACAGCACAGCTTTTTTAAATCTTGATTTTTATGTGTAATGAAAAAAATTTAGCAATTTTTTTTACGTAGTGGCATAAGAATTTTACTACAGATTAGTTTTTCATTGATTGTCAAGATTAGAAACAAATATGGACAAGTTGTTGATAAGATTTATACTAAAACTGAAAACATTTCTTACGCAGATAGGAAGATATTTGGAGAAATATTTCTGGAGTAGTTTTGTTGCGATCTTTAATTTTAACAATACCTTTTTTGAAAATAATAAGATTTAAATAAATGATACAAATTTTCTAGATTTAATTTGAACTACAAAAAAGGTACCGCTTATATCAAAGATTATAAAAGATGAATTAAAATGAAGGTCAATATTAAACTTCAAAATTTTCCTGTTCGTGGTAAAAGTGTTCAGATTTTATTTTCTACTCAATTAGTCACTATTTATGAAAATTGATAAATACTTCTCCATCTTTGAAAAATCCACTCATGCCACTATTAAATTTGTAAAAATAAATGATTAAACTTTAAACTTAAGTTTTAAACCTCCTGTATTACTAAGGCTCATTTAGATGTATTGCGCATGCTCATTACTGCACACTCGGTCTGCCTAGCAAATCTACAAGGCTCGTGCCTGCATAGCGGAGGCTCATGGTGTCCGGAGATTTCCTTCCTCGTTCAACACATTTGTATTTTCGACATTTCTCCATCTTTTCGTAAGTCGTGGAAAAAGACAAAAAACGCACATAAAGGACCAGTACCTAGTCACACAAGGAATATGGTTCGAAACATAACCCAGGGGTCTGAACCCAGCAAATACTTTACTCCCTTCTCCTCTCTCGTCCTCCATCTTTATATTTCTGAAAATATGGCCGAATAAATAACAACGTTTTTGGTTTCGAGATTTATTCATCATATTCTCAAAGTTTAACAAGAGTTTCCGGCAGAACCGTATATTCAGCGGCCGCCGGTCTATTCAGAGGTCTCGACGTTCTCGGTCTGGAGTCCCTTGAAGCCGTTCTTGGGTACGTTGACATGGGTGACGAGAGTGTACAGCTTGTGTACGGAGTCTTCATCCTCGTTACGCATACGGGCCAGCCTCACGCGCATTCTGAACAATTAAATTAATTTTATAAAAATTCAAAATTAAAAAAGAAACATTTAAATAATTAATTTATTAAACAAGATTACATTAATATTTATTTGGAACCAACCATTTAAGACCTTAATAAGCGTTTAAATCCCAATCCATAATCCCTATTATTGAACAAAATCCCTGTCATCCCTTAAAACCAAGATCCCTTCATCAACCCAATACCCGTCTTAATCCCAAGCTCCAATCATAATTCTAACCCTAAACTGAACTTTAATTTCATTCCGTATTATTTCTTCAATCCGTTTTATTAATCCCAATCCCTGTCAATAATCCCTTAAATTCAATCCCTTCAGAACCCCAATGCCTGTTAAAAGTTTAATCAGAATCCCTATGGAAACCTAATGTCTGATTTAATCCCAATCACTATCATAATTCTACTACTTAATGAGCTTTAATCCTAAATGATCTTTAATCCCAATCGAATAATCCCAAATACCAAACCTGAATGGAACTCCTCTGACTCCCTGAGCCCAGATAGCTTTGTTGAGCCTGGTATCAATCCTCACATCTACAGTTCCCATCTGCTTCTCAGCAAACTTCTTGATCTCCTAAAACAAGTTTTCATTTTAAAGGGACTATACACATAATTCAGCCTTACTCTTCATTTAGAGATTGATCCAATTCAAAGCAGTAATGATAAATCTGATTCCTCCACCAATCTAAAAGGGGGGAGAAAAGAAACTAAATCGAAACATTGTTGATCCAGAAAAAACTTCTTATGTAATTCTAAACTGGTTAATATTTTGTTAAAAATTGCAAAAAATTATTTATTACAATACGCAATTAGTGTAGTTCCATTAAAAAAAATAATTTAAATACGCTTTTAATGATGAAGATCAGTATTTGAACTAACTTAAGAGACAAAAAATCGGTTTTTATTTTTTCGACATTCTTATTTAACTTCCATTTAAAGAAACTGTCTGATTCACAATAGTACCATTACCATCTTCATCTTGTTCTACTTTCTAGTCATGTACTTCTCAATTATCTACTGTTCAGAAAGCAGAAACGCGTAATTTTAGTAAGATACGATGTGAATCTAACATTCCACTTACAGGATTGAGTCACTTGGAATGTTTGTCAATTAAAAGAAAACCTCAAACAAATTTCCTATTTAAGTAGAAGTTTGAAAAACTTTGATATGGACGTAAAATTAACCGCGAAATTTAGAATTTCGTTAGACGTTACCTTGACGGCCCTGGGTGCCCTGTACTTGAATCCAATACCATGGAGACGCTTGTGCAGGTTGATGGTATACTCCCTAGAAATTAACAATATTTTAACATGTTTTAATTGCGTGACAACAGAAAAGGAAAATGAAAAGGAAGTATAACTACGAGTCCAACGCGGGGTAAATCAAACTTGTTTGAAAATTGATGCTTAGTGAACTGAAGATCTTTATTCAATCTTAAATTATTTTTATATATTAGACGCGTATTAATCTTTTTCTTAAAAATAAGCCACTTTTATGCCTCAACAGTGCAAAGAGAACTACACAGGGTTTGTATTCAAGAGTGCTGAGAACTACTGTTAATCAAAACAATAACAACAATAGTATACGTGACACGTCAGGATAGCCTTAATTTTTAATTTATTAGTAAACCAGTTTGTAGTAGTTTCAATGTTAAATCAAAAGTTCTACCTGGTGACGACCTCTCCAATAGCGGAGCTCTTCTTTTCCTTCCTTGGAGCCATTATTCTGAAATAAATACAACACTTCATAAATTTATCACTAACATTTCAATTTTATGCCGTAGAAATCTGTAGACTTGTGGCTCGAGTTCTAAATATTTTGAATAGTTATTTAATGGTTTGAACAGATATTCATCGAATGCTTCTGGGAGGATTAAGGGTCGTCGTATTTGGCCTCCAAAGGTTCGGAGGTTATGAGGATTCCTTTCTCCCAGAGATCTCCCACCACCTGCATCCTGGACTCCAGGTCCTCTACAGGCAGGTCTTCAACCTGATAAAAAAATGAAATTATCAATTGAATTGACTCAATTAAACCAAAAAACGACTTATCTCGTACAAAAATAAGAATATTTTCAAAATTTAATTGTATGGATCTGATTGAGACTAATCTCACTGAGAGTACATTAATCACACCCAGAAACAAGTTAATCTACTTCTACTGACGACCATAGTTAACATAATAAGTCGACAAGGTGCTTTTGAGAAGAAAAATGACCCCGAGACGACCCCGAAGGTGCATGTCATCATTATTTATCATTAGATAAGAATCTAAGGTGAAACATTTTTTCATCGACTTTTTCATTAATATTTGTATGGATCTGATTGAGACTAATCTCACTGAGAGTAGATTAATCACACCCAGAAACAAGTTTATCTACTTCTGCTGACGACCATAGTTAACATAATACGTCGACAAGGTGCTTTTGAGAAGATTTATTTATTTAAAGTAATTCTTTCTTTCATTATCCATAAGTCAGGACTGTGTTGTGTTAAGATTGTACAAAATTGCCATCGTCTTTATCTAATATTCCGTGCAACTATGAAATTGTCTTTCTTCACGAAATCATTTAATAACCACGTTCAAGACGAAGACTTATTTTAAACTTAAGACAGTCACCTTTGAAGAGCTTACGTTAGTCTAACAGTTTCATCCTTTGAGGGTAACCCTACAACTGAACTAAATCTCCATCTGCATTTCCTATTACGGAACGGTTTCCAATTTTTTGTTTGAATAATTCTTAAAGGAAAAATTCCCCGGTCACAAAGGATTTTGTTAATAATAAGTCGACAATACCTTTGTCCAGGCAGGATATGATGTAATAAGATGATCAATAGCCGGAGCAAGATCTGAATCCACCTCTAACCACTGCTCCTCAGCCTCATGATACTCACGTGTATTCTCAGTGCTGTAGTACACCTGGACATAGTACAATTATACATAATATAAACGCGTGTATTCTCGTATAGTACACCTGGACATAGTACAATTATACATGAATATAAACGCGTGTATTCTCGTTTAGTACACCTGGACATAGTACAATTATGCATGAATATAAACGCGTGTTTTCTCGTATAGTACACCTGGACATAGTACAATTATACATGAATATAAACGCGTGTATTCTCGTTTAGTACACCTGGACATAGTACAATTATACATGAATAACACATGTATTCTCGTATAGTACACCTGGACATAGTACAATTATACATAAATATGAACACATGTATTCTCGTATGGTACACCTAGACATAGTACAATTATTACACATGAATATAGACACATGTATTCTCGTATAGTACACCTGGACATAGTACAATTATAAATGAATATAAACACGTGTATTCTCGTACAGTACAACTGGACATAGTACAATTATCATGATGGTAATCACGTAAATTCTCATCACTTTAGTACACATATATTGAGTACAATTATGCATGAAAATACTCGCGTGTATTATCAGTATTTTATTACACATATATTAAGTACAATTATACATAAAGGTTCTCGTGTGTTTTCTCATTCCTGTACAAACGGACGTAGTACAATTATTTTGGCCCCCACCCCACCCCCTCCAAAGTTAAGACCAGATCAAATACCTTAATACCGTCCTCCTCCTGAACCATCCTGCAGGCTGTACTACGAACTAACCGTACACCAGTATCTGGGTCTATCTCAACCCTAAAAACAAGATTTTTTAATTTGCCACAATTAAGTCAGTTTAGAAACTAATTTTATTAAAGAAAGCTGTAAAAGGAACTTCACAAGAGCTATCTGGGAACAAAAACAGGGGCATCTTTTGTCGATAATTGATGCGAAAGTGTCAGAAATATTTTTAATAACCGAGTTTTTAGTAGATTTTTTACCTGTTGACAACGCAGTTTTTCTTCGAGTTCCATTTCTCCCCATCTCCGTTTACAGTGCAACATTTCTCCCCTAACTAGAATATTGAAAATAATTTCTCCCCCAACTAGATTACTGGAAAAATTTCTCCCCTAGAACATTAAAAAACATTTTCCCCATTGCTAGAATATTGGAAAATATTTCTCCAACTAGAACATTGAATAGCATTTCTCCCCTAACCAGAATATTGAGAATTTTTTCCCCCCAAAAAAAATATTTCTCCCCAAAATAGAGTTTTGGAAAGTACAATTCATCATAAAATATTTGAGTATCAAGTGAAGCATTGTTTTCAAAACATAAATCTGAACTGCTGAAAAAAGGAGATTTTAAGGCAACCTCTAATGCTGGCGGAAGTGCGTCGTACATAAGTCGCTTCCCCAGTTGATCCACAGCAGCATCTACAGGAGCGTGCTTGAACAGCTTCCCCATCAACCCTTTCAACTTAAAAATTTTATCCATAATTTAATCCTCATACACAAAAAAGTCTAACATTATCAAATTTAAACCAGCAAATAGTGAAAACACTACAAATTGAAGCTGTTCAGATGATTAATTATTTTGAACAGATAAGCTTTAAAAAATGCTCTCCAAAAAAATAAAAGGTGGTTCAAAAAAAACAAGATTGGTGCTGTTTTACATAACACTCATTTTCATATAGCAGAATTCAAATACTATAGGCTAAAGCACAAATTCAGTAATTGAGCAGCTGACTAGGCAGAATTGAGAGTTTGTCCATTCTACCGTTAGTCCAATTGACATAGCACCAGATATTTGCATCACATGGTTTTGGTAAAGTAAATGATACTTGAAACGAGTCAAGATTTAAGATTATTGTATATCTTAATATAAAACCAAATATTGTAACTCCCCAAGTAAAAAAAAAAGAAAAAAAATGCCTCTTAATACTTGATTTCACTTCGATGAAATCTGCGTGTAACTGTTCAAATTTTTACATACGATTAAATACATTTTGTCAACTTGTGTACAATTGTACATTTTGTAAACATATTTGCTACGAAATAATATTTTTCTGAGTTATAACAAAAATTTACTATATTTTTTAAAAGTTAAACTTAAATGTCGTCTTGAAACTTTCAACGCCATCTTTCAACAGATGAAACTCGATTATAAACGACAGTAACACAATGTGATTTTTATCTATTTTGAATGATGGATACGGTCTTACCTTGCCGATGAAGTCAATTCTCTCCTGGGACGTGTTCTCACTGTGAACTGCTCCAAGACAACTCAAATAGTTACGCGGCAGTCCCTAAATATTATTAAATAAATGTTCAATCTCACCCAAAAACCCAATTTAATTGAAATTAAGGTACAACGCATGCATCTTGAATTGAAAGCAGAGGGCGGATAGTTATTTCAATCTGGAGTAGCATTTTTGATCCACTAAGTAAATAAAAACCAGAGGCCGAATTTAAAGAATTTTAGCCGCGGTTTAAATTTTAGCCGCAGCTCAAATACGGGTGGTTCCATTTAAATTTGTATTAAATTTTTCATTATTCGAAAACTAGGTCTGATGATAATCAAATCTACGATTTCTCTCTTTTTAGGTCATTTTCGAGTGGGGTCCCTTTTAATGTTGCATGCGGATTTCTTGCTACAAACAATTGTGAGGAAATTTTTTTCAGCTTTACAATCGACTATGTTTATCACATAAATAAGAAGTTTAAAATGTGAAGACACTGTAGTCGAGTATCAAGTTATGTTAACAGACTCTTTAAATAAGAAACCAAGTACCTGTCTAAACTCAACATCTTCCTGTGATGCTACCGCTAGAGCAGCTGGAAGCAGTTTTTCTAATAAATCAGTCCAGCTGTTAAGCTGATACGCTGATAGTGTTATATGCAAACTGTGCTCTCCCTCCAAACAATGACCCTTAAAATGTAACAAAATTATCACGACAAATTAAGTGCGTTTTTTATTCCAAAATTCACTTAATTTTCTCAGCTGAAAGGTCTGTTTTTTTTTTTGGCAAAAATAGTTTTATAATGGGTGATAAGGGGGTTTAACAAATTAATATGAACACCTGAGCAACTTAATTTCAAAACTCGACAAGTAACTAATGTAAACAAAAGCGATAAAATCCCACGAATCTCATATTCTTAAAATAAAAAAATATGACTCGATTTATCTCTTTCCCATTTAGGCGCATTTAGGGAGGGGGGAGGGGTGTTAAATTATTCCCTGTCACACAATACCTGATGTATTGTTCCTCTTGGCATGTAGATGAGATCTCCAGGTTCCATTTCTACTTCAAGAATAGGTTCCTTTAGATCTTCCTGGTTTAGATTTTTACTGGAATATCTTGGCAACTTATGATCTGGGTCATATAGTCTCCAGTGTTTCTTTCCTTCAAGCTGCATCATGAACACCTCAACATCGTCCCAGTGTGGGGCAAACCCCTGGGTACCAGGGGGGGTCAGATAGACATTAGCCCCAACCATACATTGGAAGTGCTCCTAAAAACAATAGAACAGTGAGACAAAAGAATGTATCTTAATTAAATTGGGTGCTCCAGATCGGCAATATTTTGGCTATGGATACATATTTGCAAAAATTATTTATTCTGTAAATAAAGTTACCCACAAAGAATAAAACCATGAAGACAACTTAACACTTCAAAATTTAACAATAACGTGTATAAATTAAGTCGTATACCCTAATTTAATAGTCCTTATATGGCTTATTCAAAGATTTGGCAAAGAATAAAAGAAATTTTTATTTGTGTTTGTAGAGAATCATATATTAAAAGGAACTTAATTCCGTTCAGTCCTTGATTCTATGTTTATGCCAGTGCTTAGGATTCATTTAATTTTGATGCGGATTCCGCACTGGAAAAAATGGATCCGGATCCATGTCATTTCTTGATTTACTGACTTTTTTTTAAAAAAATGATTATCTAATTTTATGTTTTTTTCGCTTATTTTTATCCTAAACTTGATGGACCATTCAAAATGAGAAAATTTTTAATAATCTTTTTTTCAAATCCGTGAATCCGCATATTCATGCGGATCCGGATCCCGGAAGCCAAAATCTTGCGGATCCAACGGATCCGGATCCTAAGCACTGCAGTTAATACTTCACCATGCGCAGGTGTTTCTATGAAGTGAAAAACGAGGAAACTAGCACCCCCAAGGCAGTTCCTTCCATAAACTACATCGGTCAACATCTTGACGTCTCCTATATTGGTTGTCAAGTGTACGGAGACATTATCTATCAAATAAGAATTTAGAATGAGACATCTAGATGCCGACATATCGTCCCCAAAGTACGTGAACTATACGACCACTATCTATGGAGAGAACGGACTCTATCCTAACCTGCAATGTAGCGCAGAGCCGCCAGACTGAATTGCTGAAATACTGAGGATTTATCATCCGTATACTAGCACCGTTGTTGAAATAATCCCACATTACTGCAGGATACACACGACCTACATACAATATTGGTTTAGAAGACATCGGAGGTCTATATATGTTCCGGAAAAAATTTCGATTTTTAGGAGTTTTTTGGTAGAAGGTATGAAAAAATGAAAAAACTTGTTTAATTTTATTTTTTCCCACAGATCTTNCCCCGGAAGATATCTTAATATTTTGAATAATTTTGTAACAAAGATTCGCCTATTTTCATAAATAATTTTGACGAAAAATGTTCATTCCTAGATTCATCATTGAAAAAAGATCACGATGCTAAGTTGCGAAAACAAATCAAACCGTGAGATAACCCCTCCTACCTGCAGGGTTATGAGTTTCTCTCTCTCCATCATACGATGTTATATCCATATGTTTCCCGTAAAGAACACGTTGTTCACGCAGGATCTTTTCTAATCCTAAAACAAATTTTACTTAATTTTTTAATTTGGATTCAAGTCAAGCATTCTTTCCACTGGAGCTCTCGATTTAACAACAAAAATCGATGTGTTATTTTTAAATCAAGTCATTTCTGCATGAAACTAAAAAAATCTTGGGTCTGTTTAAAGTAAGCAAAAAAAATAAAAATTGCCACGCAAAAAATATAATTTTCTTCCCTCCTTATAAGAAGTTCTTAATTAAAAATCTAATTAACTAATGTTGTTAAAAATAGAAGAATTTCACCTTTAGTGGAGAAAACATCTTTGAAATAATTGCGTTCCGTTCTCTTGATGTGAAGCGGTTTCTTCTCCCAGTATGTTTTATAAAAATCCTAAATATGAAAATGTTACATTTTTACCTAGTTACGCATAAATTAAGAAAAGACGTTAAACTTCTGTCTGATCCGCCTGACCAGGGTTGGTTGTGCAGATATAAATATTTATAACTACAGGAGGTGGTTCAGATCAGAATTTGAGGCTCAAATGCAGTATAAAAGAAAGATAACTTTTAGAAGATTTGGGTTGGGTCTAGGGATGTACATTATCCAGAATTACCCCCCCCCCCCTCTTCTGGAGTGTGTTTCCTCACAGTTTCCATTTTTGGTAAATGTTGCGAAGGCAAAACATTCTGACAATATGGAAATTTACCAATTTTACTTAATATTGCCAGGGCCGAATTTAAAGAATTTGAGCGGCGGCTTAAAGTTAAGCTGCGGCTCAAATATGGTTGGTGACACTTAAAATCATATTCATTGTTTCAATTGAAACCGGTTTTGGGGGGTTTTGGACGCGGCTCAAATTCATTAAATTTGGACACTGAAGTGATAAAAATAAATTGCTTTAACATTAAGCATTAAAAACTTATTTTTAATTGTATGGATCTGATTGAGACTAATCTCGCTGAGAGTAGATTAATCACACCCAGAAACAAGTTAATCTACTTCTACTGACGACCATAGTTAACACAAGTCGACAAGGTGCTTTTGAGAAGATATAACAAAAGGCAAGTTTGAAAATAACCACTTAGAGATACTGAGCATAATAAACAACCGGTTTTTCGCGCTAGATGTTTTACCTCCGCGACTGAATTTCAAGACAAAGCCGCGTTTCAAATAAGAGACGCGGCTCAAACATGCTTGGTTCCACTTATAATTGTCTTCAGTGTTACGAGATTTGAGCCGGGATCATACATGGAGCAGACTTTTGCATGGGGCGGACTCTTAAGTTTCAACCATTTAAACACAATAGACATAAAAAGCAATTTTACGACATTTTGTGTATTTGAATAGAAAACCACGTTAAAAATTATTTATGTCTCGAGTTAATATTAACAGTTTTGTTTTGATGTTTTGAAAGGAAGATGACCTATTAAAACATTTAAGGACTAAATGCATATTCTATAAATTGGACCTCTTGCTGTTTTTAAAGATTGAATAGATTTTTTTTCATAACGTCTTCTTGCCTTGCCTGCAGAGATGTCGGAGAAATGATCCATTCCATCGCTGCATCCCCCTTCTCCAAACTACTAGGCTCAGGTTCAGAATCAGATTCAGATCCTTCCACTTCATCTGAACAATACACAACAATGTCCTAATAGTTGACAAGGTAATTTTCTATTGTACGATGTTTACCAGAAAATGACTTAACCTGGTCTAACCATAGATTGATGCAAAATAAATAAAAATGTTGCTGATAATTTGTTGGTCGTGCACATATACAAGATTGACATGAGGGAAGGGGGAGGCCCAGCTACTCTAAAAATCGCAAAATATGACACACCCGATGACTTATTTAAGAATGCTTTTGTAAGGGATATTTATTATTATTATTATATTTATTATTTATATTATATTATTTATAAGCCGAGTTGGCTTATCTTGAACAAATTGCTTCAAGCCTGGATCGTCACAGTGACGGACGTACTGTGTATGTCACAGTTTTCTGTAGTTTGAGGCTGCTCAGTGCTCGATTTTATTTAGCCGTACTTGACGTCCTGAGACGTCATGTTCTTAAGTTATTAATGGAACGATTTGGGCTATGGGACTTATGAAACCATGAAATTAAGATAAGGGGGGGTCAAAGATCAGAATTCCGGAACCGTCGACCCTCCTATCATTTTAGATGAATGAGCAATTTTTTCAGCAAACTTATTATTCTTAAAGTCTTACTATTTTCGAGGTTAGATTAGATAAGACAATTTCTGGGGCAAGCGCTGCGGCTAGGGGACTGAGTGCCATGGCTAGGACAGGCTAGTGGACCGGGCGCTGCGGTCAAATGCCAATACTATCCATGCACAAATTTGATAGAGGGGGGGGGGGTCATTTTCTTGTAAATTACCGGAATCCCTTTGGTAATTTTCATTTTTTAGTATAAACTTACCTAATTCTGGCACCTTTTCTTCGGCTTTCTTTTTCTTCATCACAGCATCTGCAAACAAAACATGATGAAACAACGACGGTGTAGAGGAATTTAAATGTTGTGTATATAGACTGATTTCCAAGCCAGGTCATGTTGGCCGCCATATCCATGTATTCTCTTTAGGGTCAATGAGTGTGTACAGAAAGCAATTTCTTATAATTCTCAGACGCTACATTGAAATTGGGACGATCATAGAAAATAATATTTGGCTATAACAGGCTTGAAAACATTTATACAGAATTTGTGAGCCAATGACAAAAATGTCGAGTTAAAATTTGACATCGAATTGTTAAGAATAGATGTTAGCAGGACAGCTTGGGGACAATGAACGCTGCGGTTGGGAAAATGTTAACGTGATCCATTACCTGGAGTTCACTAAGAATAGATATTGATGGATTTTAAATGTATGACATGTAGCCGCAGCGCTCGGCCCCCTAGACTGTCCTAGCCGCAGCGCTTGGCCCAGAAAGTGTCTAACTTAACCTAGCCCGTGGCCGCAGCGCTCGGCCCAAACAGTGTCTTAACCTAACCTAACCCTAACTAAAAAATAACTTAAAATTGGGTCCATCCTAGATCTCTAGGAATATACCTTAATATTAAAGGTCATGTACAATATTGATAGGGAGGGGGGGTCCAAAATTCGTTCTCTAGGACAGACCCGGATAAAATTAAATCTTTTAAGCACAAGGAAAATAACTTTGTCGCAGAAAATGAAGCAAGAGCTCGCCGAAATTTAATAAATATTTAATAATATCCTCAAAATTTAATTATAACTGAGGACACAATCTGGTAAAAAATAAAAATATCAACTTACCACTGGTAATCGGCCGCTTCCTTTTAGAATTTTTCCCTTTAGCTCCTTTCCCATTGTTTTTGGTTTCCTTTTCAGGAGCCATGATTATATAACGTTAACAAAACTAACAATTTCACAAGATTTTCCTTTAAATCCAACGGTTTCCAGCAGTTTTCGATTTAAAATTTCGAGCACATTGTTTACCGTGCTGAACGAAGGCCATGTGGAAATAGAATTAAATCGTAATTGCGGCATTCTGTTTTTGACAAAAAATCGAAGACGACTCGGGGAGGGTATGTTAAAGAGAAGCGAATGAGGGAAGGTGGAGGGAGAGAGATTTTTGAAAACGTTTACGTTCATTAACACATCACATATTTTTATTATTTCTCAGTCTGGTCTTTTTCATGTCTTTTCTTTTCATCCTCCTCTCCGCTGTCGTCTTTGTTCGGTAATGATACATCGTCTGTACGCAACATCCCCCCTATTGAACTTCCGACCTACTAGCTTTCCTACCTACTGCAATATCGGACCTACTCCAGCTGTTTATTTTTCTATTATTTGAGGGTTAGTATAGGTGGCTGATGGCTAGGACAGGTATAGTGGGCCGGGAAGACCGGGAACTGCGGCCACAAGTCCATTTTGCAGCTGTAAAACCACGTGATACTAGGTCGGATGTGTATATATAGCGAATTTAGCGTAGGTCAGAAGTGGAGTATAGCAGATTTACGTAGGTCGAAAAATGTACACCAAATCGACTGTTAACTAGCTTTAGCCTAAAGTTTCAGGAACTATAACAGGGTGTCCCACGTATCATACAGGGTGTCCCAAAAAACATGGGAATTCAGTGACGAATTCGATATCGTCTTTACAAATAATTCTTAGATTTAGTATAGTGATACCTACTTTGAAAGCTGAAATCTGTAAGAGTTTCGTCTGCTATGTTTACATTTTGTTTGTTTATGTTTTGACTGCAACCGGTTGTACTTAGTAAAACAAGAAATTTACAGTATACAAACAGAGTAAACTTGTCCGTATTCACTGTTCATCTTGCGGAGACATTATAGACACATCTTTGCAGTCTTTTACCCTTTTCATAAAATAAATACCTACTTGTATTTCATGTTTANGAAAAGACGATATCGAATTCGTCACTGAATTCCCATGTTTTTTGGGACACCCTGTATTAGACCGAGAACGGGTCTAAATTACGATTTTCGGAACTAATAAGAAAATTTCATTAGAATGAATCATTTTGAAAAATAACATAAGGCTAGCTAATATAAGAATTTTCTTGCGGAAAATGATAAGTTTTTCGAGTATTAAGGGTTTATTTTGGTGTTAAGATTGGAGATAATCTAATATGATATGTGACGCTCTGTACATAAAATAAAGGGACAGTTGGCGTAATTGCTCGTAATTCCAGCCCCTTATGAATCCTACTAATCTTCTGTATCCAGCTACCTAAACAACACAAAATTTGTACACTACACAAACTCTGAATCCTAAGCAAACTCTGTATTATGAAATCTAAATCCTATACAAACTCTGAATCATTTAAACACAAACTCTGTATACTACACAAACTATGTTTCCTACACAAACTCTGTATCCTACACAAACTCTGTATCCAATACAAATTCTATAAACTAGACAAACTCTGTTTCATACAAAAGCTCTGTATCAAATACAAATTCTGTATCCTACATGAACTCTGTATCCAACACAAACTCTGTATCCTACAAAAACTTTGGATATTATAACCCTATATCACACACAAATTCTGTATCCTACATGAAATCTGTATCCAACACAAACTCTGTATCTCACACAAACTCTGTATCCTATGCATATTCTGTATCCTACGCATACTCTGTATCCTACATGTACACAAACTCTGTTAGTTCACAAACTCTGTATCCTGCACAACTCTGTATCTTACAGAAACTCTTATCCTACACAAACCCTGGATAATACAATTCTGTGTCCCACACAAACTCTGTTACATCACAAACACTGCATCATGCACAACTCTGTATCCTTCACAAATTTTATATCCTACACAAACTCTGTATTTTAAACAAATTCTGTACACTACACAAACTCTGTATACTACACAAAGTCTGTATCCTACACAAACTCGTTTTCTATATAGACTCTGGATACTACACAAACATAATTTTTGTATTCAAACTATAGATACTACAACTCTGTATCCTACACAAACTCTGTATCCTGTACAAACTCTGTATCCTACCCAAACTCTGTATCCTGCACAAACTCTGTATACTAAATAAACTCTGTATCCTACAGAAATTCTGTATCCTACCCAAACTCTGTATACTGCACAGACTCTGTACACTAAACAAACTCTGCATCCTACGCAAACTCTGTATACTGCACAAACTCTGTATCCTACAGAAACTCTGTATCCTACACTAACTCTGTATGTTACACAAACTTTGTATCCTACACAGTACACATACTCTGTATCCAAACTCTGGATGCTTCAACTCTGTATCCTACATAAAACTCTGTATCCTGCACAAACTCTGTAGTCTGTACACTAAACAAACTCTGCATCCTACGCAAACTCTGTATACTGCACAAACTCTGCATCCTACAAAAACTCTGTATCATACACAAACTCTGTATCCTGCACAAACTCTGTATCCTAACAAACTCTGTATCCTTCAAAAAATCTGTATTCTTCACAAAATCTGTATCCTGCACAAATTTTGTATCAATACAAACTCTGTATCCCACACAAATTCTGTACACTACACAACTCTATATCCTACACAAACTCTTATTCTACATAAACAATCTCTCTCTATGGTATCCAGAGAATTGTAGTTCAGCTGATCTGATTCAGGGTCTGTCTGAGCAGCCTCCTCAACCTCAAATATCTCTTTCAGCTGATCCGGATCAACATCTATCTCAAACTCCACTATGCTCAGCTGCTGTGGTTCATGAGATGCTTCTACTATTACCCTAGCTGCTAGTTTACCACCAGAGCTGCTTCCATTGCATTCTTAGCTGCTTCTCTTGCTGAACTTGAAACTGGTCTGTCTATAAAGAGTGGCGTCTCCTATCTCCAGATTATCTTGTTCTCCAGCTGCTTCTAACAGATATATGAAGAGCTGTCTGTCAAGAACAGGGTCTACAATATCAGATTTAGCTTCCGCTCCTGGAGTCCTAGTTTTGACTGGATCTTATAGATGCTCCAGATATGTGAAGAGCTGTCGAGGAGAGGAGCTGCCTGGTCTAGCCCGAGCAGGAGGAGCTCGAGGACGCGCAGGAGGCCACAGGAGAATGAGAAAGAGTACAAGGATCCGGAGGAACCAGGATCCAGAAGATAATATAGTAGTAACACAGGAAGACATTTTGTATCCTTAGAGGTAATTTAGACGGGGTGGTACGAGAACAATTGGTCCAGTTCCAGAAACTAAAGGAGATAAATCTCTTGATGATACTGAGGATGTATATTCATGGATAATGATGGGGATTGGGGAAGGAGGCTGGTGTTCTTCTTAGTTCTTTGGTGGGCCTGATAAAGATACATCAGTTCGATAGCTGTCTAAAATTGCAGGTCCCCAGTCCTTAGTTGGATAAACAGAGCTTAGCTCTTACGTCTTACCTGTATAAGATTCTTTGGTGTACTGCTCAATCTCCAGGTTCTATATTTAGCTTTGACTCAGAGAAGGGGGCGGGGAGTTTATAGTATGAGTAACCAGTAACCAGTGCTTTAAATACTACATAAAAAAGAAAAAAATAATTAATTATTGTAATACTGTATAATTACATGATGAACAAAGTGCCCAGAAAAACCAGCTCGAACTAAAAAAATAAAGAGAATTTCTTCCAATACAAATTACTATTACTGATTCTAAAATTCAAAAGGACTCTCATACTAAATGTGTTTTGCGTAATTGATATCGCTAATTTACTGCCACTGCCAGCTAATGAAATTCCAGACAGAAAAATGTGCCATGACGTAATATATAGTTGTTTTTTAATGGATCTAATTTAAGTAAATTTTCTTATCTCGCATAAAATGACACATACTTCTGACGACATTTTAATTTACGTTTTACTAAAATTAATGAAAATTCCAAAATGAATTTACGTCATTTACGTTAACTAAAGTGATTAATTTATGAGTCATGAGTTTTTTATTAACATAAAAATCAAAATAAATCTAATCCAAGCGAAAATTCTTTTAAAAAAATTATGTTTTGCAAATATTTATCCCTGAATCTGATACGTGTATGTATTACAGACCCTTATCTTTATAGCTTAGTTTATAAAGGTCTGGAGTTCAGCAAACTACATTTAGTGCTTTACACTGCCTTTATAGTGCTTATACAGGCAGCTAGTTTAGAGGTTTTAGAATTTTGTCTTTAGGTTGGTTTCCTCTGGGTCGGTTTCCACACAGGGTTACCTTTAATGAGTCTTCAGAGACGGCTGAACGAAATTTCAATGTCAATTTTCTGCAAGTATTTCTTTGAAAAGCCATATTCAAGGCAAAAGACTTAATTTAACTTTGTAAGTGTCATATTTTAATAGTTTTTGATCGTCATTAGAATTTCATCCTTATTGGGGAACCCTGATGCATAATGCTAATCATCACTGATTAAGAAATTATTAGTGAAAGTGTCAATTTTTTTATACTCTTAGAAATATTACTAATCCCTCAGAGAGTTTCTCTGAACGGTCTCAAATGAATAAGTTACATGGATGGATGAGACTGTAAAGACGACCGGAAGCTCTTGATATATATAACAATCACAAGGTGTAGAGGCTTCTGTCTTAGATTATAGAAATTTAATGGCTTATTTAATGATTTGGAAAACAAAAAACATGTTTACAGTTGCAGGGAAACATAAATATGTAAGAAAACAGACCGTACACTCGTTTTTCAAGTTTCCTGGGGGTAACCAGCTGTATAAACGTGAGGTGTAAAGCAAACCCCGCTTTCATACACTGAGAACCAGAAAACTGTGAAAAAGAAAGACGACCTAAAAATCAATCTTTTAGATATTTGATGTTGTTCCAAAGCAAATGGTTTTATTAGTAGCAAACATCTCTTATTAAGTAAAATTGGTCTGAGTACACTGCACAATTGTGCTACTCCCCCTTTTTCTTGCTCTAATTTTTAGTTCATATCAGTTAATTTTTGTAAATTCTCGATGTTTCAGCCAAGTCTTAAAGTAATTAGACTGCTTGACTTTCACAAAAATACCCAACGATTTACATAATAATAGAAATTACTGAGGCAGGCTTTTATTTTATGATCTTTTGAACCCGCAGATATTTTGAAAACATTTTAAAACTACTTACTGTATAAAGCTTAAGTTTTGAATACTGATGAAATACTGATGGAACTTGTTGCAAAAACATTCATATTATTCACAAAATCTCATCCAAAAATCGATTAGTATCTTGCCAATTAGTTCAAACTAAGGCTTAAATGAAGTGTTTTAAAGTTCTGATCTGTGCCTGTCTAGGGCTACAAAATGAGTCAATGCGTTAATATCAAAGCCCAAGGCGCTGAGTCACCTCAAAATCATACCCTAGTAATGAAAATGTTCATAGCAGCCTATATATAATTGTATTATTACACTTAAAGTTCACACTAAAACACTGAAAAACACATCAAGTTTTTCTCTTTGATGTTGATTCCGTTTAAAGCCTCTTTAAAATTAAATAGACCATTTCGGCTATAATATATGAGATGGAAACCTTTATACTTTATTTTACTTTTTCCTGGTTAATCTTCATTGCTTCAAACAATATTATTTTCCTGGTTAATCTTCATTGCTTCAAACAATATTATTTTCAATTTATGATATCAAATATCCATATGTAAAATCTAGTTGACATTTCGTGACAAGAAGTTGAACAGAGTTGTTTCAGTTTCATAATAAATATCTCACAGTGATCAGAAGTTGAAAGCTCTCACGATAAAATCAATCAGAATTTCGCCAATTCTTTCTAAGAAACTAAAGCTAAAAACATTATATATTATAGTTCTAGAATGTCTAGGACTACTAAAAAGGAAAAGTGAGTAAGTTAGGCCCAAATCGTGTTGTGACACTTCAAAAGCGACCCAGTCTTAAAGATTGATGTAATTTTTCATAACATATAGTATATAGGGGATTTACATACAAACGTTATACAATGCTAAGACCAAACAGCAATTAAAGGGACTGTTACTTAGACCGAACAGAAATTAAAGGGACTGTACTAAGACCAAACAGCAATTAAAGGGACTGTACTAAGACCAAACAGCAGTTAAAGGGACTGTACTCAGACCAAACAGCAGTTAAAGGGACTGTACTAAGACCAAACAGCAGTTAAAGGGACTGTACATAAGACCAAACAGCAGTTAAAGGGACTTTACATAAGACCAAACAGCAGATAAAGGGACTGTACTAAGACCAAACAGCAGTTAAAGGGACTGTACTAAGACCAAACAGCAGTTAAAGGGTCTGTACTAAGACCAAACAGCAGTTAAAGGGACTGTACTAAGACAAAACAGTAGTTAAAGGGACTGTACTAAGACAAAACAGTAGTTAAAGGGACTGTACTAAGACCAAACAGCAGTTAAAGGGACTGTACTAAGACCAAACAGCTGTTTAAGGGACTGTACTAAGACCAAACAGCAGTTAAAGGGACTGTAGGCGTAATTCCATTTGTTCAGTTGTGAGTTCGACGATGGTAGCTTTGTATGCTCAAGATATGCATAATTTTCTATTCAAAAGTTTATTATTAACAACTAGTGGTTTTAGTGTAAAGAAACTTTAGCATTTCTGCTTTAGAAACAATATGGAGGAATTATTATTAGAATTGAAAACTTTTCGAGTTAGGATAACGGGGATACATTCTGCTTTGTGCTTTAATCCATAAATAAAAACAGCTCTTTTAAAGATTAGAAATCTAGTATAGAGAGAGAGAGACAAAAGAGTAAGTCTGAGCTGAATAATACTATTCTTGTGATGATGAATTTCAAACATTCTTAAAAATAATGAATTTGCATTTTGACAGAATGTCAAGGAAATTAAAATAAACCGACTCAGATTTGAATTATGTAAGACTGAGAGACCTCTGTCTAAATTCAAATCCAACTGAAATTTAGATGTGTTGTCAAACCCAATGTAACAGGGATTTAGTTTTAAATGAAATTTCACAGATTAAGATTGTTGTTGTTCATCTGCAGGGTGTCCCACGAAACATGACAGTTGGTAAATAGTTTTGAATGTCGTCTTCCATGTACTGAATTAAATATAAAAGGCTGTTTATTTAGTTTGAAAAATCTTTTGCTCAAGTATATTTTACTGTGAAATTAATTTTACTATAATATGGAACCTAGTCCTACATGTACATGTACTGTTTAGCCTTAATAACATACAGCTGAATTTTGGACCAATCCCCAAACGGAATTAATTAAACGGAATTAATTCTACTCCGAAGTCTAAATTTCCCATTTCTATATCTTTGCAACCAGAATTCATACTTTGAACTACATCGCAGATCAGAACTTTTGTGTAATAAGTCTCAAGATCAAGTATTGATCGTCATTTTGGATATCCCCTGGTGATCTTACCCTGCATCTGGATAACTAACATCAAGGGATCAAGCAAATATCTCTTAAATTTAAAAGTTTTCACAGTGGATATCTAGATCATGTGCAGTTATGACTTCTGGTTGCAAATAAATAAGAATTAGAAACTTATAGTACTGTGAAAAGTGTTCTGCATTCTTTGTCTAAGCCTTTTTAAGAAAGTTTAAAAGGATTAAAATTCATCGATCATTTTTTCAGAAATCCAAAATGGAGGGATGTTTTCCAAAGATGATGAAGTTTCTTCTCTTTACGACAAATTTTATTGTTTTTGTAAGTAGATTTTTAATATTTACAGAGAGAACCAGAAAATAATTAGATTTTTAATATTTACAGGGAGAACCAAAAAATAATTCGATTTTTAATATTTACAGGGAAAACCAGAAAATAAGTAGATTTTTAATATTTACAGGGAGAACCAAAAAATAATTCGATTTTTAATATTTACAGGGAAAACCAGAAAATAAGTAGATTTTTAATATTTACAGGGAGAACCAAAAAATAATTAGATTTTTAATATTTACAGGGAGAACCAGAAAAGGTTATCTTTTTTTTTAATTATAAAATGCGTCGGTAATGATTATGTCATATTTATTAAACATTTTATAAACAATTGCAATAAAAATGTAAATCACAAATTCCTGGGCGACATTTCTTATCAAAGACGACATTAGTAACAAAAAATTTACATGAATAACATTAGTAACAAAAAGGACTTTGCAATTTAACCGTTTACTGCTTTTTTTTCAGCAATTTTCCATTTTTAATTTTTATTTTCCATTGCATTTTAAAATGCTTTTAGTGATAAAAATTAAATAAAGAATGAATAGAAAATAAACGGCTTGAAATAAGAATCCACATTATGAAACATGGTAAGTGTGTAAACAATTAAAAGTGGTAAATTATTCTAAATTTAAATATACCATAAAATTTAAACTTAAGCATCACATTCAAAGTCAAGAATGGTTAACCTGACGCTAACTAAGCATTATTTGTCTATTAAACACTAATGCTGGAGAAAAACAAAAATATTTTATTTTATTATATCGCTTTCATGCACAAATGGCCATTTTTCCATTGTACATTTAAAACTTGAATTTTGCTGGTCCTTTCCTGGGGTCGTTTGAGGTACCACAAAATATCTGGGTCCTACCGGTTCAGCTGTTTAGATAATTATTCGATACAAACAGACCAAGCAAATTATATGTCCGAATAACGTATGTAAAGTAGTAATATCTGTGTTCTGTTAGGATATCCAATCATAACTCATGAACCCCTGAACCCAATTGCATCTATTTTATGTGGGGAACTTGGTAGAACCACGGGTATGCTTTTAGCCTGGTTTAATGTATTCGAAGTTGAGTAGGTTGATTTTTATGGGGGAAACTCCAGGTAAAGCTGAGTTTCCATGCTAGAATTGTATGATAAGCTGAAATGCCAGCTGCGTTGACCAGGTTACTCAAAGTTACTCCCTCGTTAAACCCGCATCACTTGGTCATAAAATACGAATCTAGCATTTTATTCCTATAAAAGTTGACCCACTCAAATTAGAAACCAAGCTAAGAATAATCCCGTGGGTCTCCTGAGTCTCCCAATCAAAATTTAAAGTAAATTGGTCAAGGGGTTTCTGAGTTATGATCGGGCATACAAACAAACAAACAGAGATTACTACTTTATATATTTAGATAATAGGATGAAATAAATGTTTAGATATTGGGTTTGGTAACACTAGGGTTCGGGTGCTGGATTCTCGTGGATAAACCTTCCTTCCTCAACCTTTTCACAGATGTAAGGTTTTTTTATAATTTTTAAAGTTTTAACATTTTTTTCACAGAAATTTTGATCATTTAACCCATAACCAACTCCCCTTTCGACAAAATTACATGAAATTTTAAGTACAGCTTCCTTAGGGGTCTTTAAGAAATTTTTGTTTCCAAACTGAGTTTTCAGTGATGCAGCTACTGATAGAAAAACGTGTTACGTGAATCATCCTTTCCTAGTGATGATATTGCACTTGAATTCAATCGTCATATGATTTGAACAAGTACAAAGATTTACTGGTATCAAGGTTATAATGCAAGGAAAGTTAATTGCAGTTGCGTATACTCGGCGTACATATTGAAACCAGTTCTCTCTGGGTGGAATTTGTAAACAAGAACAGATGCAACAGTGTTCGTTTAGTATCCGAGGAGGTCAAAAGCATTAAATTTTGATAATTTTGATAATTTGCATAAAAGTTTCCAATGACCAAAATATTTCATTGATTTTTATGTGAAAGATGGATCCCATGTCAGGCTTCAACATCTGTCTTGTGTGTACATTACCGCCCAGAGATAGTACACTGTAGTACAAAAGATGCGTAAGCCTCTGAAATAACTTTCCTTGCATTATAGCCTTGACCAGTTTAGAGTTCTACATACACATCTATTTGAACTAGCCTGTCTTGTGTACCCAGGATTAGTGAACCCAGCACATTTAATGCAATAAGACTGGCAGTATTGTATCGATGTGATTATGGTTTCTTTAGGCTGAAAGTATTCTGGCTGAAAATGATATTGAAGTGGCTGGGTTTGATCTGGGGATCTATGCCGGGGCCCCCATCCTTCTCATCATCATCGCTATCCTCGTTGTTGTCATTTCATTCTTCGGCTGCTGCGGGGCATTCAAGGTAGGATACAAGTCAGGGGGATTATGATTCCAAACCTTGGGGTAGAATACATGTCAGGGGGATTATGTTCAAAACCTCGGGTAGAATACAAGCCAGTGGGATTATGTTCAAAACCTCAGGTAGAATACAAGTCAGGGGGATTAAGTTCAAAACCTCGGATAGAATACAAGCCAGTGGGATTATGGTTCCAAACCTTGGGGTAGAATACATGTCAGGGGGATTATGTTCAAAACCTCGGGTAGAATACAAGCCAGGGGGATTATGTTCAAAACCTCGGGTAGAATACAAGCCAGAGGGATTATGTGCCAGTGGGATTATGTTCAAAACCTCGAGTAGAATACAAGCCAGGGGGATTAAGTTCAAAACCTCGGGTAGAATACAAGCCAGGGGGATTATGTTCAAAACCTTGGGTAGGATACAAGTCAGGAGGATTATGGTCAAAACCTTGGGCATAGGATACAAGTCAGGAGGATTAAGTTCCAAACCTTGGGTAGAATACAAGTCAGGGGGATTAAGTTCCAAACCTTGGGTAGAATACAAGTCAGGGGGATTATGTTCAAAACCTTGGGTAGAATACAAGTCAGGAGGATTATGTTCAAAACCTTTTGTAGAGTACAAGTCAGGGGGATTATGTTCACACCTTGGGTAGAATACAAGTCAGGGGGATTAAGTCCAAAACCTTTACTAGAATACAGGTCAGGGGGATTAAGTTCAAAACCTTGGGTAGGATACAAGTCAGGGGGATTATGTTCAACAAGTCAGGGGGATTAAGTCCAAAACCTTTACTAGAATACAAGTCAGGGGGATTAAGTTCAAAACCTTGGGTAGGATACAAGTCAGGGGGATTATGTTCAAAACCTTGGGTAGGATACAAGTCAGGGGGGATTAAGTTCAAAACCTTGGGTAGGATACAAGTCAGAGGGATTATGTTCAAAACCTTGGGTAGGATAAAAGTCAGGGGGATTATATTTCTAACTAAATATGTTCAGGAGAACAGGTGTATGCTGACTACCTACTTGAGACATCTAATGGATATATTTCAAACTAAATATGTTCAGGAGAACAGGTGTATGCTGACTTCTTACCAAAGACACCTAGTGGATATTTTTCTAACTAAATATGTTCAGGAGAACAGGTGTATGCTGACTACCTACTTGAGACACCTAATGGATATATTTCTAACTAAATATGTTCAGGAGAACAGGTGTATGCTGACTACCTACCAGAGACACCTAGTGGATATATTTCTAACTAAATATGTTCAGGAGAACAGGTGTATGCTGACTACCTAATAGAGACACCTAGTGGATATATTTCTAACTAAATATGTTCAGGAGAACAGGTGTATGCTGACTACCTACTTCGTTCTCATTCTTGCAATTTTTATCGGAGGCATTGTCGGAGCTGTTCTCATTTTCCAGGCAAAAAAACATTCATTTTTTATATTTGAGAAATTTTACGTTTAACAAACGATCAACTGAATTTATTGAGAAATATTTTCTTGAATATTCAAATTTGAACTGTTATTTTATACCAATTTTTTTCATAAAGATATGGGTTTCATTATTTTAAACTATTCAAATTTTTTTAATATATATTTTTCTTGTGTAGGGTACATTGGATACTCAGATTAAAGATCCTCTTCTAAACTCTATCAAGTACTACAATGTGAGTAAAACAAAAGTTAAAAATACAAACCAGAGGCCGATTTTAAAAAATTTGAGCCGCGGCTTAAATTTAAGACGCGGCGGAAATATAGTTGGTTTTTGTATTTAATGTTTCAACATTTAAGCCGGCGCTTAATTGAAACTGGTTATTCGCGGATTAAGACGCGGCTCAAATTCCTCAAATTCATTAGATTCAAACCTGGAAATGGTAAAGTTGCACATTGATCGCTGATAAATGTAGATTAGCTTATTTGAAAATAAAATTTAAGTTAATTCTGCATTTGTATTGTATTTGATCAGTTAAAAAATGTGAATTTACGAATTTATTTAATTAGTTCCACACTAAATACGGAATTTATGGGACATTTATTTACGAAAGCAAGCGCGCAAAAAAGGTGGAATTTGCAGGCAACAATTTTTGTCAATACATTCCGCTGGAACCTTAGTCAGTATTGTCAATACATTCCGCTGGAACCCTCGTCAGTATTGTCAATACATTCCGCTGGAACCTTAGTCAGTATAGTCAATACATTCCGCTGGAACCTTAGTCAGTATAGTCAATACATTCCGCTGGAACCCTAGTTAGAATTGTCAATACATTCCGCTGGAACCCTAGTCAGTATTGCACAATACATTCCGCTGGAACCCTAGTTAGTATTGTCAATACATTCCGCTGGAACCCTAGTTAGTATTGTCAATACATTCCGCTGGAACCCTAGTCAGAGTAAAGACAGTACATTTCCTATGACCAGAATATTTCATAGATAATTTTTGTGAAAATGGATTCCATGTCAGGCTGTGACATCCATCTTGTGTTTACTTTTCCGCTCAAAGACAGTACACTGCAGTACAAAAAATGCGAACACCTCTGAAATAACTTTCCTTGCATTAGTACCTTGATACAATTTCTGTTTTGTTCATGAATTTCAAACTCTAAATTTTGTTTTAATTGCTAATAAAAATATTGGATATTTGATCAATATTATGACTTATTTATAAAGCTGCAATTTAAAATTAATTTGTTTTTAACTGCAAAGTTGCAAGGAATCATTTCATTTAATAAAAAGACTGTGAGCTTAATTTCGAGCGACCCGCCCAAAAAAGATGTCAATGCTCTATTTACAACGGTATCACTGATAAAAGATATCCATGTTTTTGGTTCTTTAAACTGATTATTTTTAATTACGGGTTTCTGAAAAAGTGCACTAGCGCATTTATTATTTATTATAAACATTGGAGAAATTCACAGAAATAAACACTTTTCCAGAAAAACGTTAAACGACGTTGTCTTCCACATTTTTGATCCGATTAAGGTTTCAAGGTCATATATCGTTGCAAATCGGGAAATTGCCATCAAGTTTATTTGAAATAACGCTTACAGTCCCTTTAATCAATAAAAAGTTATTGATTGATTGATTGATTGATTGATTGATCCAAATAATTTTAAAGGATGAAGCTAAGGACGATACGAGCGAACTTGCATTTAAAAAAGTGTGGAACGAAGTACAGAAGGAGGTAACTAATTCTCCAGAGATGGAAACATAGATAAATAGATAAACATAGATAGCTTATGTACGCAAAATCACCAAGAACTGTACAGCCCGCGAACTCATACTTCTAGGGGTCGAAGTGTACTTCAATGACAAGCGGGGTGGTTTGGTGTTTTAATGGATTTCATAATAGAGCGTAAAATAACTCCGGGAATGGAACTATTTGAACAGCAATATTTCACTGAGCAATATATCATATTGACAAGAACTGAAGAAGGAAATGAGAAGGACTAAACTAACTTTAATTTCTCTCTACGGAACTCATGTACACCACAAGTACTCAATGACATAAGAACAGCCAATGTTTACAACCGACCTAGTTATCTATATAATAGGAATATCTTTAAAACATCTAGCTGCACATTTATATCTTTTAAGATGGAAAATGTCGTCTTATGCGCAATCTATCTTTATCTATGGATGGAAACTGTTGAATAAACGAAAATCGTTAATCTCGTTCCTTAACTCGCAATCAAACCCAAACCTATACTTTTTCTATGCTCTCTCATTTCACACAAGATCGTCGAGAGAATTTATGATTTCGATTATTTCACGAGTATACAAAATTAACAAATCTTAATTATACAATTAAACAATGGAATAGGAAGACGACATTATAGTGAATTTGATGTTGTTACACAGCAAATAGTTTTACTAGACACTTACTAAATCAGTAATTAAGAAAAAGGAAATTACACAATTGCTTTGCCTTATGCTCCTTGGATTCTAAAAGTCGTCTTCCTATTGTCCTGGTTAACATTTTAGTTAAACTAAGTTTAAATCCCAATACTTTTTTGTACAAATTGTTAGTGATCTTTTCTTAATTTTTTTTATGCTTTTTAATTCATGTTTTTTACTAACTTACTAAATAAGAACTTGGTTAAAATTTACCCCCCATATTTCCAATTTTGTCCAAAATAGATGCATAAATTGGAATCAAGAGATCAAAATGGGAATTAAGATTCTTAAAGGGAAAATATTTTTATAAAAATATCCAAAGGACAAAAAAACCGTTGATAAAACTTAATGTTTTGCTTCATGTAAAGCCACAATTCCAGGGATTTCCGAGCTTTTTTATCAGGATGGATTTATTAATACCTCAGGGAGATAAGCTTTATTTGCCAACCTTTACACATAGTCATACTGATAAGCATAATTGACAATATTTATGGAAAATTAACAAAAAATATTCATTATTATCATTTTTTTTCCATTTTTTCGGTTCTTTCAAAAAACATTTTTCAATAGTTAATATCTTATAATATTTTAGATTTTTTTTGGAATAATATTTCTCTGGCGCTGGGTTTTCTACCATTCCTGGGAAATATGAAAATGTCGTCTTTATTATCAAAAGTCAAACAGCTTGTTGGGATAAGGACCGAAATGTTAAATCTGCGTGTGAATGAATGATCTATTTTTAGCTGAGATGCTGCGGAGTAAACAATGCTACAGACTGGAACTCTGCACTAACTCCTAACTGGGAAGGTAGTATACAGGGTGTCCCAATAAATCTGGAAATCAGTGACGAATTCGATATCGTCTTTTAAAATAATTCTTTGATTTAGTATAGAGATACCTACTGAGAAAGCTATAATCCGTAAGAATTTCGTCTGCTATGTTTACAATATGTTTGTTTATGTTTTGACTGCATACGGTTGTACTTAGTAAAACAAGAAAATTACAGAATACAAACAGAGTAAAACTTGTCCGTCTTCACTGTTCATCTTGCGGAGAAATTATAGACACATCTTTACAGCCATTCACCGTTTTCATAAAATAAACTCTAGCAGACATAATAATATTATGTTTTAGAAATCAGGTATTACAATGATAATTCATAACAAAGACGATATCGAATTCGTCACTGAATTCCCATGTATATTGGAACACCCCAGTAAGAGTAAGAGAGTTTTAAAAATTCAATTTCATCTCATTTTTGGAGGCTCTGAAATTTACAGTGATAACTAGAATTCAAAAGAATAAAAAGACGATCACTATGGCAATCCTTAATTGTACCTATTTGATGTTGTTTCATAGAAAGTCATTTTACTCGACACTTATGTGAAAAGGGTCTTTTTACACTGCACAACTAGATGTTTCTCATGCTCATTGAACTTTTTATAGTAATAAATTGAGTAGCCTTATTAGAGTTTACTGGTTTGAGCGATTGAATTAAACTGTTTTATAGTTTTTTTTTGCTTTTGCTTCGTTCGTTTCTTTTGTTAGATAAAAAATTTTGCACTGGATGATAACAGCAAACTTGAATAGAAATAATTTATCTATTTTAGCTAGAGACATCTCTTTAACTGTTGTTGTATTTAGCTAGAGACATCCCTTTAATTGTTGTTGTATTTAGCTGGAGACATCCCTTTAATTGTTGTTGTATTTAGCTGGAGACATCCCTTTAATTGTTGTTGTATTTAGCTGGAGACATCCCTTTAATTGCTGTTGTATTTAGCTGGAGACATCCCTTTAACTGTTGTTGTATTTAGCTAGAGACATCCCTTTAATTTTGTTGTATTTAGCTAGAGACATCCCTTTAATTGTTGTTGTATTTAGCTAGAGACATCCCTTTAATTGTTGTTGTGTTTAGCTGGAGACATCCCTTTAACTGTTGTTGTATTTAGCTAGAGACATCCCTTTAATTGTTGTTGTATTTAGCTAGAGACATCCCTTTAATTGATGTTGTGTTTAGCTTGAGACATCCCTTTAATTGTTGTTGTATTTAGCTGGAGACATCCCTTTAACTGTTGTTGTATTTAGCTAGAGACATCCCTTTAATTTTGTTGTATTTAGCTAGAGACGTCCCTTTAATTGTTGTTGTATTTAGCTAGAGACATCCCTTTAATTGTTGATGTGTTTAGCTGGAGACATCCCTTTAATTGTTGTTGTATTTAGCTGGAGACATCCCTTTAACTCTTGTTGTATTTAGCTAGAGACATCCCTTTAATTGTTGTTGTGTTTTGCTGGAGACATCCCTTTAATTGTTGTTGTATTTAGCTGGAGACAATACCTTTAATTGTTGTTGTATTTAGCTGGAGACAATACCTTTAATTGTTGTTGTATTTAGCTGGAAATAAACCTGTTGGCTGTTGCTTTTACTCACGAAATAAAGACGCAGAAAATACAGCAGAAGAAATAAAAGTAGGATTTATGTTAGATTTTCGGAGCACATACAAAACATATCATCACCAAACATATCCCACCGTTGCGTTTTGAGATGTTAGTAATTGGATATGTTCTGTTTTGATATGTTTAGTAATGGAATAGGTTCTGTTTTGATATGTTTGGTAGGCATATGTTTGGTGATGATATGTTTAATATGTGCTCCAGATTTTGATCTTAAGATTCATTTTGATTTTGATCTAGTGGTATCTCTTGACTTTGCATTTTATCTAAATCTTACGTAATTCTTAATCTTGGGTTTAATATTGATATTTAATTTGTTGATATTTATAATGTTGACCTTTACCTTATCTTAACTCAAATCTTTTGATAATGATCTTAATCCTGAATTCTACATTAACCTTGGGATTAGTTTTGACCTTTAGTTTGATCTTGGTGCAAATCTTTAGTTTTATTTTGACCTTGGTGTCAAACTTGGTCTTAGGTATCATCAAGACTCTTATCTTGATCTTTATTCTAATTTTTATCTTTGACTTGAACTTTGTGTTAATCTTGACTAACATCTTGATCTTGTGTTAATATTAACCTATACCTTGGTCTTTAGTATCACCAAGACTCTTTACTTAATCTAGATTCTTTTTTGACATTTGACTTGATCTTTGTGTTAAACTTGACCCATATCTTGATCTTGGCTAATCTTTTACAAACATAATGTTGATCTTTTTCTACCTTTAGAAATATAGACTGGCATTCTTGTGATTTCATAATTTCTTATTCAGTTTTTTATTTAAATTACTACAATTTTATTTTTTTTTTATTTGTTTATGTTTTAATATTTCTCTATCTTAGGTGTGTAGGGAGGCGCCTTATAACGAGAATGACAAATATTACTTTCAGGGAAACAAAAATCATTCATCTGGGGCTGAATTTAATAAATATGAGCTACGCGGCGGAACGAACAATTGCAAAGTGTTGGATCAAATTTGAACCACCGATTTAAAATTAAGAATTTGAGTCGGGGGTGACTCAAACTAAAACCGGAGGTGGGCAGTTCTATGCCCCTACAAATTCGGTCCCTTCTCATCCTTTAAACTTATCTGAGGGTCCAAAAAAGACCTTGATGGGTTCGTCACACAGATGGGCGTGAAATCCCGAAAACAAGTCCCAAACCTTGGATGATACATTTTTAAAATGTTGAATTTGTCTTTAATATTATACATTATAAATTCATTCCCGTACATTTATTCTGCAATATAAAAATCAGCAATTTTTCTTTCTTTCTTGCATTACATTTTTTTTACCTTTTCACCTTTTTTTTTAAAAGAAGTAATCTTAAAATCTAAAAACAAACTTATTTTTCAAGTGTGTAAGTTTAGTTTTTAAAACCAGAATGAGTTTTGAATAAATGATTTCAGGGTTGCTACACTGTTATTGAAAATGAAATTACAGGACAACAAAACAAGATTTTCGGGGCAGCTATGGGGACCATTGCTGTTATGGTGAGATTTTCATAACAACAATAATGATAATAATAATTTTTATAATAATGTTAATAAATGATAATAATAGTAACAATAATAATAATAATTTAGTTCTTGAACATGCTGTTTTCCTTTGCCCTTTGCGCTATGGTGGATTAAGGATTGAAGAAGAAAGCTCTTCCTGGGGCGTACACAAGGTTGCCGATCTTTAAACCCCCCTTTAATAACTTCTTTTTCATACCATTCTACAAATGATTCAGACTGATTCCAAAAACTTAACATTTTTTGGTCCAAATATTTTTTTGGCCAAAATTCTTCTAATCCCAGATTTCCTTGTACGCCCCTAACAGATAATCAGCTGTAACCCAACTATCAGCGAATATTTTATCAGATTTGAATCATAAACGGCTGATTTATTATCATCCAGTTAATTTAAAACAATATTTACCAATATAATTATAAAAAAAATAGAAATTAACTTAAATATTTGAATTAGGCAACATTTTCTTATCTTTTTTTTTCATAAATCAAATCCTTTGCAGTTTTATCTTTAACCAAAGCAGGAATTTCTTACCTTTTATATATTCATACTTATACAAATACATTCCTCAGTTGTTTGATCAATATAAAGATAACACACTGTAAAAAATGTCAAATTTTCATCAACTATTTGTTAGAGCACAGAGCCAAATTCAACTATATGTAGTATTATTCTTAAAATTTTGTTAGATGAAATTTATTATTCATCAACATTTGAAGAATCAAGATTGAAAATTTGACATTTCTTAAAGTGCAATGACTGAATTTAATTGATTTGAGCTGAGTCGGTGAACTTGTACCTATTCTTTATCACCGATTTAAAGTTAAAAAAAGATTCACGAGGATTTGAATCAGTGATTCAGGATGTTAACCGGCGTTAGGTAGTTCAGTGGCCTCTCTCCAATTTAATAAATTCGTTTTAGTGTTAATTTCTTAATATCTAAGTTATTTATGCAGAGGCCCAGCACACAAACTCTCCGCCCATAAAGAGTTAAAAACACAGTGAGACTGAACAAAAAAGAATCCTTGCTGTGTTGGGCATCTGTCTCTATTTATTGTATTTTGAGAAATAAGCATTTTTAAGAAATAAATGTTTTTTGATAATAAATTTTTTTTAACAGATTTAATAGTGGTAATGGTTTGAACCACAACAAAGTTGACAGTACAGTGCATATATTATTTCAATATTGTTTTGAAAACATGTTTTGGTATGGGTTGATCCTTCTCAGTTTTTCTTCAGATTCAAATTTAACTGAATTTTTATTAAAAAATGCTTTTTATATCTCTTGCTGACATAATTCTATTTAAATACTGACTAATGTCTAATACATCGACGCTACTTTTAACAAATGTTTGCGCATTTTATACTATTTTCTTATTTTTCTTATCAAGTTCAATTTAAGCTAAGATTCAATCTAAATTTTTTTTATTAAAATGTTAAAAGAAAAAATGAAGAAGGCGACATTTAAAATAATATTCTCTACCAAATCCTCCAAGAAGACTAAACTGGAAAATCAAATGTGTAATTGGATAAATATATATAAATATATATATATATATATTAATAAATTGGATAAATGAATATATATAAATGAATTGGATAAATAAATAGATATTTGGATGAATTATTTATTGAATAACACTGAATAGGGTGAATGAAAAGCGACACTACAATAAATCACAGCCTGTTTCATATAATAGAGGTCATAAAGTACAAGCAACCCTTGCATGTAACATAACTATTAAAATGAATTGTTGAAATTATCGAGGAATATAAAGTAGTTCCCAGGTTTATACCTTCAAATACCATTTACGGGCTAATCCAACAGAGCTTTAGAGGGAGATTAGTTTTTCTATAATTTATACTTCAAATAGAAAACTTAGATCGAACAAGTTTATTATACTTTTTTTTAACTGGCTCTGAAGAATAAAGGGAGGAGGAATCATTATATTTTTAAACCGGCTCTGAGGAATAAGGGGGGGGGGGAATCAAATATATTTTTTCACCGGCTCTGAGGAATAAGGGGAGGGGGAATCAAATATATTTTTTAACCGGCTCTGAGGAATGAAAGGGGAAGAATCACCATTTTAAAAAATTCAAATATAATCTGATTTTAGATGATTTAAAGGACGAGGGTCTAAATACTACGTTCTATCTAGAAATAATCTGTGGATATCATTTTAAGCAGTACACATTTTTTTATGTGAAACATACCATTTAAAGAAGTAGATAGGACTCTATTTTGCTTCCTTTTTACAAACAATTTTTTTAAGAAAAATGCACGTTTTGAAATAGGGTTTAAGTTCTTAATAGGGTTTACATGTTTAACTTGTTTATATTACATATATAAATATAGTTTTAAAGCAAATGCATCTAAAACTTGTTTAAAGACTGAAAAAGCAGTTCATAAATATTGAATTATATGCTTGAAAATAAATAAAAGAAGAACTATTTAGTGTAAATGTAAAAACAGAAATGGCGCATGTATAAATTTGAAAATAATGAAAGCCAAAATATTTGATTGAAAAGCTCATTTTCAAAACATTTTTCAGATCATAGGTTTTTTGCACTTTGGATAAATATAGGAAGATTCAAAACTGCTTTTGATATTCACTACAATTATATCAGTCAATGGCCCGTGAGGGGCCGAATAGACTTTTAAAAAAAAATACTAAAAGTTTACTTAAGTTTGATAAATAAATAATTCTAATAATTCTACTTAATGTTGTGCTCAAACATTGCGGCCATATTTTTTATCTTACTCGGTGAGGTTGGATTGACGGCCGAAAATTTCCTGGCCGATTCAAAACTCGGCTTTTCTGATCCTATGGATACTGTGCGTTTCTTCCCTTCCTGCGTGTTACAGGGTCTCGATTTCGAGTCCAAATGTACATTTCCGACCGATACCGTTCGAGGCTTCGAGTCTTGGGAGCGAGGACCGAATATGGTCGCACGCTCTTTAACATTCACGGAATCGTCAATATGGCCGAAGTTTATTTTACTGGTGCTAATATCACTATTCTTGACAAGACTAGATTGTGTGGGTTCAGATATCTTTTGTATGTCCAATTCTGTGGGGCGGGCCCGGCCCGCCCAAACATCCTTGGTGGCCGTCCAACTCCGCTTTTTATCTGAATCGGTTTTCCTGGAAAGAGTTGAAGGTTCAGGTTGCTTGAGATCGACCAGCTTCCAGAGCTCGGGGGCCTTCTGTCGTAGTATTATAGGACTAGACGCCGTTGAAGTCTCTGTACTCCTAGCCTCGCTTATCTTCAGGGAGACATCGGTGGTCAGCTTGAAAGCAACCTCTGGAGGTTTGGAAATCTCTAAAACCTTGCCAATGGGTTTAGTCAACTCCGAAGGTTTAACGAAAGGTTTCAGGGTTTGGTTGATGTCTGAAGAATCATTAGACTCCACCGATGATGTGTTGCTGAGCTTCTTCTTCTTGGAGAATTGGTCGGAGAGGTAGTCCTCTGCCTTGTACTTCAACCTTAGCATCGACCTTCTCTCCTCCTTGTATCTCTCCATCCGACATCTGAAATAAATAAAATTAAAATTATGAAATATTTTTCCTCATTAAAGATTGAAATTATCCAGACCTCTGTTTAAAAGCATTGATGTTACAACATGATTAATCACAACTATCTATGGAAAAAAAGTTTTTATATATGTATGTACATTGTACATTGTACAGTTGGTAACGATAAAACTGTGGAATAGGAAAACGCATAAGCCGTCTTTTGTACATTTGATATTAAGTTTTGGAGCAAATAGTTATAGCAGTCTTCCTTGTAGCAGTCAGTCATTGAACTACATAAAATCAAAACTGGAGAAAAAACTAGTCTTCATATTTAATACACCCTCAACTAAGCTTTCGATACATTCTGCAATAATTTGCAGTACACAGAGCGAAGATATAGTAGGGTTTAGCGAATAGTGCACAGTTATGTGCGTCCCCCTGGGGTACCATTAAATTTGATATTTACCTTGTATCTGGATCATGAACATCAACGAAAGGAACGTTGTGAATAGAATTCCGTCGCTGTAGAGGCGCTTCCTCGGAAAGCTCTGTCGTCTTTGTTGCGTGAAGCGAGAGTGTGCTAGATTTTGCACGGCATTTGCGAACTGGACTGTCGGATTTCCGTTTCCCGGATTTCTTGTGGTTAAAGGAAAGGTTCTTTTCAACCTAAAAAACAATAATAATTAAACATTTTAAAATATTTTTTTTATGTAAGGGATATAATTATGAATGTTAATATATGAAACAAACCATCTTCATTTAAATTCTTTATCCATTAAAAGACAGTTGATTCAAACACAGTTTCAAGAAAAGACACATCTAACTTGAAACCATCACAGGTTTCTTATGATTTTGAATACACATACATGCAGGGTTACCCACAAAGTATGAAAATGTAAAGACGACCGCAAACTCTTTAAATATGACGCTTCCAAGGTTTAATAAAGTCTTTTTGACTTCGAGAAGAAAGAAAAAAGTTCACAATTGCAGAGAATCCTAAATGTAAGAAAGCAGACAGTACAAATTTCACAAAGTTATCTATGAAGTCACATTTTTTGTGAATAACCCTGTATGTTAAAGTTTGTAAGAGGAAGGTGAATGGAAGGCAGGGTATTCAATATTTTGATTCATATCTTTACAGCGTATGCTCATATCATTTAGACACAGTAAGTTCAGCCAATTCGTCATACCTCATATACGTATACACAATTCATCCTTTTCAGGAGTGTTACCAATACATTCCTTACAGGGGCACCCCCTTGTACCATTAATAATAATAATAATAATAATTACAATGATAATGATAAGGCTAATTAATGAAAATGATATAATGATATAATAATACAACACAAAAAAGCAAACAAATCAAACTTTTTGGAATGAAAAAAGTTTAAATGTAACAAATATTTAAATATTATGCACATAAAATGCACTTGCTTTTTTCTAAAATTTTGAAAAACTGTACCATCATACAGGGCGTCCCAATAAACATGGGAATTCAGTGACGAATTCGATATTGTCTTTTTAAATAATTCTTTGATTTAGTATAGTGATACCTACTGAGAAAGCTGTAATCTGTAAGGGCTATGTTCACATTTTGTTTGTTAATGTTTTGACTGCATACGGTTGTATTTAGTAAAACAAGAAAATTGCAGTATACAAACAGAATAAACTTGTCCGTCTTCACTGTTCATCTTGTGGAGACATTATAGACACATCTTTACAGTCTTTTATCCTTTTCATAAAATAAACTCTAGCAGACATAATAATATTATGGCTTTTGAAATTAGGTATTACAATGCTAATTTTTTATGACAAAGACGAATTCGTCACTGAATTCTCATGTTTTTTGGAACACCCTGTAGAAATGCTAAGAGAGTTTTAAAAATTCAGTTTCATCTCATTTATGGAGGCTCTGAAATTATAGTGATAACTTGAATACAATAGAACAAAATGACGATCACTATGGCAATACTTCTATTTAGTGTGTGAAATTGAAATATATAGCACAAATAGTTAAAAATAAATTCAATATAAATTCTTCATCTATGACAGAAGTACAGAAAGAAAAATGGGTTAGGTCTGCTAACCAATGATTGATTACAAAGCATAGAAGTTAAATTATTCAGGTTTTGACCACACCAATATTATTCAGCATCTTATTTTCTTTCTAGCTATTGACTATATTATCTCAAACTACAGAGGTATTCACAAAAAATGAGACTTTAAAGGTACTCTATATTTAGAGATGGGCATGCACAATTCACAACAGCTTACCCATGAAAACCTTTTTATTAATCAATAATGTGGAACAAATAGTTGTTTTTCTATCTTTAAAAGTTTTCAATTCAATATCCTCCAAATTGTTTCTATAAATGCGCAAGTCACTTTTCAACAAAACCATGCTATCAAAAATAATTAAATTTCAAAGTTAAAAACATTGATATCCCATTCATTCTTGATAAAACAAGGACATACAGCTATATAATTATGGAGTGTCCTTGAAATCAAGTCTACAGTTCATTTGGATCAAAGGGTTAAATTCATTCTTCAGCATTTTGTACATTTAAAAAACAATGTGATAATGAAACACAAAGAAGACAAATCTCATTCTTTTTGTGTGGCTCTGACTGCCAGAGAGAACCAGAAAACATGAAACTTAAATATCGAAATTTTAAAAATGTACCTCTGGTATTCCTTGAGTACTTCTTCGGCCGTCCAATGGTACTCTTTCCTCATACTCGATCAGGGATTCGTCAGACTGGCCGAAATGGTCGAGAGATGTAAGGGAGTCGTTCAGCTGCTCCCTGGGAGCTTCTTGGTTTGTTCTGGAGCTGTCTCCCTGGTTCTCTGGTATATCAGAGCTTCTAAACGACCTGAAAAAATATAAAATGTTAAAATGTAACATGACAAGAGCATGTTTAACTCCTAACTGTTCGCTTTTTTGAAGAAAATAAGTTAACTTTTAAACATAAAAGTGATTCAATTGAAGGTATTAAGTCTGCTTTTTCCGGGGAAATGACATTTTCATGTAGCCTCTCTTAAAATTAGATGAACGAATTTATCTTAGTTTTGTAACATTTTACTCAGTATCTTGCATTATTGCATACCTACTACCGTGGAGTAAAGTCACTTTGTTTATCGAATGGTGTTTTTTAGATTTTGGAGAAACATCTTCTTTCGGAACTGGTGGGGGCTTGGAGATAACAGGATCTGTATTTAGACTAATAGAAGGGATTGAGTCTTCTTCTACCCTTGATGGTTCAGCTCTCCAGACCAGTTCATTTTCCCAGCTGGGTGTGCGCTGAGAAGTTTCAGAATTTCCAGGATTTTTCGGGAGAATTGCGGATTTTTGGCTGGTGTCCTCTGCAGATTTGATCTTTGGATTAAACTCTTGGGAGAGGCGGGGGTTGTAGACAGAGGTTTTGTTGTAGGGCTGTGGAGACAGGGCTTTAGCTAGGCCTAAAATAACAACTTTTAAAAGACTATTTTTTGATGATAAGAAATATACTTACAAAAAATTTTATTACCTGAAATTTTGGATTTTTGAACAGGGACAGATTCTATAGGTGGTATTTCAACTTCGAGACTTGGTTTGGTTTCAGCAAGAGATAAGGGTTTAATTTCTTTTGCAGGAGCTTTGACTCTCATCTCTATTTCTTCTGTTACAAATTCTGGATCTCCAGAATTCATCTCAGTTTTAGAAAAATCATCAGGTTTAGTTTCATTTTCTAGAGATTCATGATTAAGAAGGGTTAGCTTGGCTCCAACTTTTTCCAATACGTCACCAGAGTTTGTACCTTCAAAGATACTCTCAGTTTCAGCTTCAGAATTGTTCACGTGATTAACTTTGGAGGAAATCTTGGGATTAAGTTCAGAGATAAATTCGGTTTTCTTTTCAGGGATTAATTCCGGAATAACTTCCGGTAATAACTCAGTCCTAAGTCCTGATATGAGCTGAGTGTTTAACTTTAACACTTCTTTGGGACTTCCGTTCAGTTTTAACTCATTATTATCTTGAGATTTTTCCATCGGTTTTTTATTTAAGATTAACTTGGGGCTGGTTTCTAAGATCAACACCGGTTTGGCACTTTCAGAGGTGAATTCATGGTCAGCTTTAGAGCTTATTTCAGAACCAAGTTCAGAGATGAAATTAGGTTTGACAAGTTGAGAATCAAGTTCTTTAGGAATTTCTGGTTCTGCCTTTAAACTCCCCTCCTCAAAGTTTTGATGGACAAGGTTCAAGATAAAATCAGATCGAACACTTCGATTTCGAGCCGGACTTGTCACTGGACTTCGGCGTAATGTAACAGCTTCGAACTGAGGACTATTAAGTAGAGAGCTTGGAGTGCTCGGCGTCGAGTTTGGATGTTTATCAGCGAGTTTTCTGAGCTCGGAGCTTGTATTTCGACGCGGCTGACGCTCGAAGGATTTTGCCTCCGCATGAATCAATGGATTTTTATCACTGGTGCTAGACTCTGAGATATGATCACTATTTGAACTCTGAATTGACTCTGTGATGCTTGACTTGTCTGAGCTGAGAATGGATTCGGAAAGTCCTTCTTCCAACTTTTTTGTTTCAATCTCTCTTGAACTGGAACCTGACATTGTTGTTTGAAGCTCTGCATATCCTTCAGGACGATGATCAGCTAAAAATAGAAAAAACAGTCAATTTTTATTGTAATTTGACAAAAAACAAGACAATAATATTTTATTATCAGATGAAAACTCAAAAAAATTAATGGATGAACTGATTTTGTCTGATTTATCTACCTGCTGAATTATCCAAACTTTCTTCCATATCCTCACTTGCTGATTCATCCATTCTACCAGAATCCTAAATAAATTCGACGTCAAGTAAACAAATTAGGATAACTAGATATCTATAGTATAAATTAAATAAGTATCCACATTTTCTAAAATCTTGCTTTAATTGCAATCTTTCAAGCTATAGAAGATATGTATTTGACTTGTTCTATGGTTTGATGTATTCTATAAACGTCAAAACAACAGAACCTTTTTTCGAACTGTTAGAGTTAAAAGTTTCAGCCTCCAATTTAATTTTTTTTAAATCCGGAATTGAAAACAGAGAAATTTGCGAGATTATTTACAAAATTAGTGTTGATGGATGTCTAGTAAATTAATTATTTTTCACCTGCAGGGTATTGACGAAGGTATCCAACCCTGCGGATACGACAGAGGTATCAATCTCCGACGGTTCTCCGGGATCATTCATATCTTCTTGATCAGACCCAACCATCATCTCATATACTCCGTCACCGGTAGACGGAGAGTCAAAGCTCTCATTCTCTGATACCGTAGCTCCAGCGACGGAGAAACTCAAATCGGATCTAGTACTTGATGGCTTCCGGGAGGGCTGGGTTGAGACTTCACTTCCGGTCGCCGAACTTTTCCTACTTATAGACCCCCCTTGGGATAGTAATTCTTCAGATGATCTCAACCTCAATCCATCCTCATTCTCCAGATGACCACCCAGCTCAAGAACATCTGGCCGAGCGCCGATAATTGATATTTTAAATCCCTGTGTTGGTGTGGGGGTGTGTGCTTGAAGGGGAGCATGTACTTGAGCACAAACTAACTGTTCAACGCCGAAGCTTGATTTAGCTTCCAAATCTGGTTCAGGAAGTTTAGCAGGAGTAGGTTCGGCAACTGTATGAGCTTCAAAAGCTTCCGTTTTAGAGATATCTTCAGATCTGTGGATGGTTTTTATAGAATTTGATGATTTTCCAGAACTTTCATAAGAGCTGGATTTTTCAACAAGTTTAAGCTTAGCTTCAGCTTCGGGTTTAATTTCAGGTTTAATTTCTGGTTTAATTTCGGGTTTAATTTCTGGTTTAGGATCAGTTTCTCTGATTGTTTCTCCGCCATCCCGCCAAGTATCATTAAGTGACCTAGATAATAATAGTAATACTACTACTACCACTAATAATAATGATAATGATAATGATGATAATAATAATAATAATAATAATAATAATAATAATAATAATAATAATAATAAATGATTGTTTCTCCGCCATCCCGCCAAGTATCATTAAGTGACCTAGATAATAATAGTAATACTACTACTACCACTAATAATAATGATAATGATAATAATGATAATAATAATAATAATAATAATAATAATAATGAAAATAATAATAATAATAACAATAATAATAATACTAATAATGATTACAATCACAACTAAAACTAATTCTAAATCGTTATTAGTCAAACTTTTATAATAATTTCCATAAAAATAAAACTAATTAACACGAAAAGAAAAAGTTTAAATCATGAATAGTTTAAAACATAACTTTTAGAATTCCATTAACCTAATTACCCTAACAAAATGTTATTCAAATCTGGTTTTATATTTACTAAATAAACACAAGAAACAAGCATTCTAAAATGTTGTAGACAATTATAATTAACTTAGCAAACCTAGTTTAAATCCCCAAGCTTCCCTTAAAAAAATATATATATCCCTGTAAAGAATTACATGATGTCTAATATCAAATATTGGAAACATGTTGAGAATTAGATTTTTGGCCGTGGGGGACATCTAACTGTATACATTTAAATTATATATTTATATATATTTGTAGATATAAATAAAATTTTGGCGATTAAAACATGAACAATTCTTTCTTTTAACAACAAAGATCAAGAATACTCATTCAGAAGAAGACTTCAAAACAAACTGTATAGAAGCTATTTCGTTCCATGATTTGGCTGTAACCTTAGGATTTTAAGAAATAAGATGAAAGATAAATGGAAAGGATGGAATGAGATGAAAGATAAATGGAAGGGATAGAATAAGATGAAAGGATGGAAAGGATGGAATGAGATGAGAGATAAATAGAAGGTATGGGATAAGATGAAAGATAAATGGAAGGTATGGGATAATATGAAAGATAAATGGAAGGTATGGGATAATATGAAAGATAAATGGAAGGTATGGGATAATATGAAATAATAATAAGAAGAAGAAGAAAAAGAAGAAGAAGAAAAGGAGAAACAGGAAGAGTAACTGTGAAGTATGTTGAAGGAAGAAAATTCTCGAATTTTCCCTTTCCTATTTAATGTAAGCTTATCCCCCCCTCTCTCCTCACTGCATGCAAAGTATAATTTTCATCCTACACTCATGCCAATTAGTAAATGCAAATTTATAGATATTAAACCGGTTTTTATTAAGGGGACGGGCGGGGAATTCCCCCCCCCCACCTATCTTAACGCCAAAAACATGTACTTTTAGGCTTGAAAATTGAAACTGAAAGATCAAGAGATTGTTTTAAATGAATTAGAAAATAGAAGTATAATAAATCACGAAACCTCAAACATTGTCTGAACAAATATTTCGAACCTACAAAGTTAGTATAGATCTTGAAATTTAATAAATCAAATATATATTTGACTAGACAAAAAAAATGTAAATTTATGTAATATTACTGGTACAACTTTGTGACCTCGTAGCACCAATACAATTATGAGAAGAATATATATCGTTAGAACTGACGTAGGTCAACCCAGACCGAAATATATTTTCAATAAATGTGGAACTAACATATACTTTTTTACTCTACAGAGGTTTGGTCCATCACCATCACCGAATTTTAAAGAATAAATTTCTTTGGTTACCATATCATAAATTCAGGCAAAATTTAAGTTCTTCTTGAAGTCATGTCAGATTGCAGTCTAGTGTAAACTTTAATATAAACTAATTTCTATGAAGAGTATAAACTTTCCAAAATTACTGCAACACCCAAATTGTACCTGGGCGTGTCTGCATCGGTCTCGCTGTCGCTAACCAGCTCGTAGGATGATGATGCGTCGATAAATTTAATCGACGGAGAGAAACTCAGAGACGGGAGGTCGACATTCAAACCCGACCTAAAATACAGTCGACATTATTAGAATAAACAGTCAACATTCAAACCCGACCTAAAATACAGTCGATATTCAAACCAGGCCTAAAATAAAGACGCCATTAATAGGATGGACATGTCGACATCAAAACCCGACCTACAATACAGTCGATATTTTTAGGATACGTGGTCGACATTCAAACCCGACCTACAATACAGTCGACATTATAAGGATAAGAGGTCCACATTCAAACCCGACCTACAAGCAGTAAAGTTGACATTAATGAAGATGATGAGATAAAGTCGGTATTCTAGCCTGTTTCTGTTTTGTACAGAAATCACAATTAAAAATAATCAAATTTTAGAGAGATAAACATTGAACTATAGGTAAACAAAGTACAATCCTTTTAAAGGCCGGTAAATATCACAATTCTCTTTTATTTGGTCCTTTAAATAAAATACACATACAACCCCTTTGGGCCTTAATATATTTCTATTTTTGAGCGAGAGTGAAGTATTACGGAAACGTAAACCATTTATTATATTATAATTTATTTATAATATTACTTTTCTATTTCAACCAATAAACTTACTAATATGTTCTTTACTGTCTTTACATGTACCTCATAATGCATTATGATGGGCCTTTGTAAAAATGTGCCTAAGCGCTATCCTATATTTATATTCAAACGTACCTTACTGCCAAAATCTCTGGAAAAGTGGCTTTATACCTAATACTATGCCTAAAAAACCTGTAAATGTGCCTAACTAGCTGTTAATATGCCTAAATCTGTGGAAAAGAACCTTACTGCTTGATAATATCCCTGGAAAAGTGCCTTACTACCTGATAATATGCCTAATTACATGGAAAAGTGTCTTACTGTCTGGTAATATGCCTAAATCGTTGAAAAAGTCGCTTACTCTCTGATGATATGCTTAAATCGTTGGAAAAGTGGCTTACTGTCTGGTAATATGCCTAAATCGTTGGAAAAGTGTCTTACTGTCTGGTAATATGCCTAAATCGTTGAAAAAGTGGCTTACTCTCTGATGATATTCTTAAATCGTTGGAAAAGTGTGTTACTGTCTGGTAATATGCCTAAATCGTTGGAAAAGTGGGTTACTGTCTGGTAATATGCCTAAATCGTTGGAAAAGTGGGTTACTGTCTGGTAATATGCCTAAATACCTGGAAAACTCTGTTACTACCTGATCATATGCCTAAATACCTGGGAAAAATTGTCTTATTGCCTGATAGTATGCCTAAATCCCTGGAAAAGTGCTTACTGTCTGGTAATATGCCTAAATACCTGGAAAAGTGCCTTACTGTCTGGTAATATGCCTAAGTCTCTGAACAAGTGCCTTATAGCCTGATATTATACCTAAATCTCTGGAAAAGTGGCTTACTACTTGATAATAAGCCTAAATCTCTGGAAAAGTGCCTTGTAATGTCCATAATATGCCTAAATTCTGTTAATTCTCCTAACTTGCCTTAATGGTATAATTATTCCGATAATTATGTTTATTGATCAAGGATAGTAGATCAATAAATAGGCAATCATGCAACTTTAATCTCTACAATTATTACATTAGTCTATTACTCTACCAAGCCTTATCCCCCCCCCCCCTTCATGCATTTTGTAATGGATTGACAACCCTTTTTTATCATGATGATCATGTTAAACATTAACTGTAATTAACACTATTAATTCAACGGGCTCTTTTAACTAACTTAAAACACGGAAGTGGGAGAGGCGATTTTCATGAGTGGGGAAGGGGGGGGTCCAGCAGAACGTTAATTAGAGGTTTTAAAACAATAAGATAGATACGCTACACTGTTGGTTTAAAAAACTGCTTTTAATTCTAAATAATTAATAATGCCAAGGTCAAACGTTTCAAAAGGTGTTTTAATGAAAATATATATATATCAAACCTAATAAAATTACATCTTATCATCAAAATTTTCCTCTTTTTAGTGAAAGCGTGCACTGCGTGCGTGCACTGAACCGTGTCCTACTAAATCAAAACAGACGGAATACTGTCATCTGACTTATTAAAAATATTTCTAATCACATGTCTTGGCATAATTAGAGAATCTACGCCAAATAGGTACAGGGTGTTGAAAAAAGTTTTTAAAAGTTTAAAAGGAAACACTTTTTGGACCTCCTGAATAAAAAAATCTTATCCTCAAATAGAAAACATAAAACCTCGATTTGACCTTATTTGAACCTTGTCTAAACCGAATTTTGGCTTTATATCACAATCAAGATGTGAACTTTGTTTGAAACATAAAATTGAAAACGCAAAATAAACTACAAAAAGAAATCAAAACTCAAGCAAAATTTTTGAAATTATTGCATAACTCTTCTTAATTATGTTTTCCGAAACATTCTGTAAGTTAACGGGTTCAATTTCTCAAAGTATCATTATTATTTTTATTGTTATTGTTGTTGTTAGTTTTATTATCAAATTTTATTATTGTGCAAAGTATATAATCTCGGAGAAATAATTCATGTTTACTTTCAGCTTCTTTTAAAATTAGATTCTTTAACTTTTCATTTTTGGGATTAGAAATGGTTGAAATGAAGTAACCATACAGGGTTACCCAAAATAGATGAGACTTCAAATTTAATTTAATAAATTCAAGCCGCGTCTCAAATCTCCTAAAAACCGGTTTTAATTGAGCACCGGCTTAAATTTAAACCGCGACTCAAATACTTTAAATTCGGCCTCTGGTTAACGTAATTTCTAATTTGAACCTTTAAAGGGACTGTAAGGGATAATTTCAAGTGACCCTCCATGCAAAGATGACAATGTCCGATTCACAACTGTACCCTTTAAAAGCTTAGTCTGTTCAAGTATAAAATAGATATCATTTTTTTTGGTTTCTCTGAACTATTAATTTTCATTTGAAGTTCTTTGCAAAAGTGATTTTCCCATTTCTTTCTAAGTAGCAATGGAGAAGCGCACAGTAGGACTTAGGACCTGTAAATTTCCTTAGTGTTTGTTGATTAAAATCTGTCAGACAACGTTCTATTTGATCAATTAGAGTCCAGTGTAAAACCATTATTTGAAGCGTGAAAAGATAAACAAGAATAATTGCCCTGGCTTAATCCAAAGTAATAAAACTTCGGGATCCATTCTTTATATACGCACCTATTATTAGTATGATGAGGACTAGGACTTGATTCCTGTAATCTCCGGGTCCCTGGACTCACTGCTCCAGTCTTAATCTTATCCTTGAGAGATTTCTCCTCCGTCCTGGTTCTACCAGTCTCCTCCGACTCCTCCTGTCTCCGAGATAAGGTAGGAGATGTAAACTTCTTCTTAATCTTCTCCTGAAAAAAAAGTATTTGAAAAAGAACTTTTGAAAATAAATATTTGAAAATAAATGTTTAAACTTGCCTCAAACTCAAACTTTTTCAACTCCTATTTCAATAAAACTTATGGTTTAAACCTTAGATATTTAAAACTATCAACTTTGATAATAAAATATTTGTAGTTTAAAATATCCAAGTTTTACATCAACAGGTTGCAAAAATATAGAAATTAAAAGATAAGTTGCTTTCCAATTTATTTTTACCTTGAAGCTCATTCTTCTAGCTTTAGTTGGAGAATCTAGATTTCCGGTCCCTGAACCTCGAACAAAGCAGCCTGAGGACTCGGTCCCTCGAGATCTGGGACTACTCGTTCTCGGTTGCTCCTCGAGTGGTGACCGAGCCAGACTGAGCTCGCTACCTACTGAGTTCGATATCATTGTTTCGTCTTCGCTAAACAACTTCATTTCTCGATCTTCATGGTCGAAGTTTACCTACAAAAATAGTAATGAAAGTCAATTTTAAATGATGTTTTTAAAAAACGTTTATGAGAAGGTTAATAAACAATTTTGTCTCAAAGTTTTTGTAAAACCAGGAATTTTCAGAAATGCTCAATTGGAACTTTAAAGTATTTAAAGTGTTTCTTTACTAAGGTTTTACTCAGATCAAATATATCTACAGAATTCAGATATTATATTTTATTCATAATAAATGTGAGGGTCAAATGGATCCTTGAAGCACACCTGTATTTCACTGAGATCTAGGTTTGATTCTTCTTGCTCTGGATCTATATCAAACTGTACGGAGAGTTTTCTTTCAAAGTAAGAGTCATGCGAACTACTTCGACTGTGATGTTTGGGACTCTCACGCCTAAGAAAGACTTTGATCAGGTCAAGTCAGGTCAAGTCAGGTCAAGTCAGGTCAAGTCAGGTCAAGTCAGGTCAAGTCAGGTCAAGTCAGTTCAATCCAGGTCAAGTCAGGTCAAGTCAGGTCAAGTCATGTCAAGTCAGGTCAAGTCAGGTCAAGGCGGGTCAAGTCAGTCAAGTCAGGTCAAGTCAGGTCAAGTCAGGTCAAGTCATGTCAAGTCAGGTCAAGTCAGGTCAACCGGTCAAGTCAGGTCAAGTCCGGTCAAGTTAGGTCAAGTCAGGTCATGTCATGTCATGTCAGGTCAAGTCGACTAAAGTATATCAATCTCTCAATGAGTGTGTGTACCTAAGTTCTTCGACTGCTCGCGTTACAGTTTCCAGTGCGCCAAGCTCATCACATTCCCCACTGTTCCTGTAGAGAGCAGAAGATTTATTACTTGAATTAAATTCTCATTGTAAACATATTGTATGCAAATATAATTTGGAAACAGTTCGCACATGTGCAAAGCTAATTTCAAACCAACCAGCATAAGAATATAAGTCTTTGTACAAGTCTGTATTATTATAATATGTAGTATAATCAGGAACGGATAATATAAAAATAATGTAAAAATAGATTTTTGACAATTTACAGTAATTTACCAAATTGTGTACGGATTGGACCAATTCGAATTTTTAGGGGTAACAAAGTAAAACAAAGGAATTCAATCTTTGCCACAAACTCAAATTTTCTAATCCCTACATCTTTTCAACCTGATGCTGTAAAACTTTGAAATTTAAAACTTAGTTTATGTGATCCAATATATTTTATAGTTTATAAAAGCTAAGATCTACGACATTGAGTTACAAAGATATAAGGTTTTGAAAATCAGAGTTTGAGACAAAGACACAATTCCTTTTATCCTTTGGTAATGGCTCTAACCAGAGTAACAGAGGAAATTTATTTATGAAAAAACGCAACTGAGCTCCACGAGGAAAATCCAAACCTTTGTGATGATGTTCTTATCGGAGACATTGCTCCAATAGATCCTGCATCCTTGGATCCACGGAGCACCATCCCTTGATCATTTAATCCCTGCTGTATTAGGGATTCGGCACTTTTTACAGGTCTTAGGGGAACCTTAATACCACCAGCCTTAATAATAATAATAGTAATAAAGTGAAGTTCCAACGGCGTAGAGGTCTTTCTGTCAACCTTCTTCTTCTCTTTCGAGAAAATACTTTTCCAGGCTGTTCCTCCTCCTTTCCTCGACTTGAGGCTACCGCCGGCGTGTTTTGGCAGATTTATAACGGTATGGAAGGCGGGTAGGTTCTCTGGACCCCCGCCGACCTCGATATATTTCTGGTTTTGGATATTGTTGCTTGAGATCATGGCCCTGTGCCTGGCTTCCTCCAAGGAGATGAGCTTGGTGGGGGTGGAGATGGCCAAGGACTTTGGCCGGTTCTTCATCGAGGTCCGGGGGGTCATCATTCCAACCTTAAACATCAAGGATTATAACATCAATAATAATAATTAACTAGTTGGGTGCCCGGCGGTGCCTTTAAAAAAAAATCGAATTTTGAAAGCAAACAATTTCGATTTTTAAAAAAATGAATTTTTTTAAAGCTTATTTTACCCCCCGGGTACCCTTGGGTTCCCTTAAATATATGAGGGTAGAGCTTTATTATATATATAAAACCAGGTATACAATGTGACTTCGTCTGATTTAAACCCTAGTATGATCAAGATAACAAATGAGATATCCATGTTTTAAACTTTATTCAGATAAAGGTTTAAAGGATACAGATCTAAATCAAGTATGGGGGTTAATTTGAAACCACATGGACTGCCCTTTTAAGCAACTTATTAACAATTAAAAAATCAGTGCAGTGTGCAAGTCCTAGTGAAGTGTAGGTATAGCAAAAACATTAAATTCCGATAAATCAATTTGTCAAAGTTAGACAAATTCAGGTTGCAAGATATAGGGATTAGAAAATATGAATTTGAAGTGAGTGTGCAGTTGTTTTTGAAGACATTCCTTTTAATAATCACTGCAAACTATATACAAAATAAGTTTTTACGACATTACAGATACAAAAATACCACTAGTTTAAATTTTATGCACAAGTAAATATAAGAAAAGCTAATTTATTTGATTATTTAATAAAAATTAAAAATTGAAAACAGTTTGGTTCTACTCAATAACACTTAAATAAGAAGAGTTATGAGAGGTGTGAAGTAGAAGTTTTAAGGGTAAAGGATTTACAAATAATAAGGGGCACTTTAAATATTTTCTGGAAGGGGGGCGGCAGATTGTTGGGCCCCTGCCAGTAAAATTCCTACCTCTGAAGCTGGGCTGAGCAAGGTTTGGTTTGGTTCCGTATCCGAGAATATAAGCTCGCAGTATTTTATTAGATATTCTGTCACAACCGCCTAGATTCCAGGGGGGTCAATATTTAATAAAAATTCTAATATTTTATCAAATATCCGGCTAGAGCTGGAAATAATAAAGGATACCTTTAAAGGGACAGTTGGCATAATTTCAAGTTCAGACCCTTTTCATTCATGTTTGACTAGAGCATGGTTTAAAGGGGTTCCTCTGTAAATAGGACACCACACTTTATTAAGTATTTTAAAGAAAAATTGTGTTTTTTTAAAGATTGATTTTTGACGTGACACAGTGATTGAATATTGATCTCCTGCCTGAATGCCCACCCCCTGGAGGGCGGCCACGCCCCCAACCTCGAGGGATTTACAGCGGAGTAGGTTAGGAGCCCAGACAATCGCCACATTCTTTGCGGTCATCCCGGTCTCGGCGTACCTAGCCGCTACACGGTACAAGTGCTTTGTCAGGTATTCCAAGGTCCTAAATATATGAGTCATTAATAGCAAGCTTTGCGCACTTGTAGCGCCTTCACATTTTCTATTTACATCCCAATTCTTCTTGATTTAAAAATTCTAAAACACTTTCCTGGCTGTGTAAACCATTGACTAATTGATTATAGCAGATAGTTTGAAATATTTATTGTCTACGAGATCAGGATGCAAAAATATAAGGATTAGAAAGTTTTATTTAATTTTCACAAGTCTTAAGCTAAATATATTGAGTAAATGTCAATATACATTAACATTAACTAAGATTGGCGTGACCAACAAGATGACCGTAACTAAGCAAAAGACAAGTCACTGAAACATCAACTTTTTTAAAATAAGAAAAAGAAATTTAATACTATTTCCTTCCCCCCCCCCCTGTCCCCAATTTTCAACTGTTTTTTCTTTTTTTTTCACAATGTACATGCGACAGTGGGAAATAAAATATACAAGAAGGGGAAGTGGGGGAGGGAAGGAGAAATGGAAAAAGATGGAAAGGATAAGAGGGAGAGGAAGAAGATAGAAAAGTGAAGGGAAAGCGAAGGGGAAAGGAGGAGAGAAGGTTGGTAAGGGGAAGGGAAGGAAAAAGGATGGAGGAGGAGAGAGGGATGGTAAGGGGAAGGGAAGAGAAAGGGTGGAGGAGGAGAGAGGGATGGTAAGGGGAAGGGAAGGAAAAAGGATGGAGGAGGAGAGAGGGATGGTAAGGGGAAGGGAAGGAAAAAGGGTGGAGGAGGAGAGAGGGATGGTAAGGGAAAGGGAAGGAAAAAGGATAGAGGAGGAGAGAGGGATGGTAAGGGGAAGGGA